CCCCAACTATTTGGATCATCGTCTGCTGCCTTCCGTGCACACTAGCAGGAATCCGGATTAGAACTGTGGAGCAGCCAAGACGTGTGTGACTCTTACCTACCTCTCACTGTGGAACATTCTACAACGCAGACTGCTGAGCTCCGCATGGAGGAGATACCAAGTTGCTGGGCTTGGGGGAGGCTGTGCTGAAGCAGAACCCTCAGGTGGATCTGAAACAGGGAATGGACAAATCAGATTTCAAGGAAAAACTCAAGATGGAGACACACATGGGGGCTTCACTACGCTCCTATTGCATGAGGGCAGTTGATTGGGGAAGTTAATGATTTTGCATCCCGGAGCGTGCAAGGCGAGGACTTTAACTACTATGCTACCGTGCCGGGCCCTTATTTCTTTCAACGTGTGTAATAGTCTGCTTACAACTCGTCCCTGTTTCCCAAGAATAATTTTCTTTTTTTGTTCAACTTCTTTAGAAATCCTTATCTACGGCTCGGCGCGGTGGCTCAGTGGTTAAGGTCCTCGCCTTGCATGTCCGGGATCCCATAAGGGTGCTGGTTCTAATCCTGGCAGCTCCACTTCCCATCCAGCTCTCTGCCTGTGGCCTGGGAAAGCAGTCGAGGACGGCCCAAAGCTTTGGGACCCTGCACCCGCGTGGGAGACCCAGAAGAGGCTCCTGGCTTTGGATCGGCATAGCATCGGCCGTTGCGCTCACTTGGGGAGTTTTGGGACCCTGCACCCACGTGGGAGACCCAGAAGAGGCTCCTGGCTTTGGATCGGCATAGCATCGGCCGTTGCGCTCACTTGGGGAGTGAATCATTGGACAGAAGATCTTCCTCTCTGTCTCTCCTCTCTGTATATCTGCCTTTCCAAAAAAAAAATAATAATAATAATAAAAATTAATCTTTAAAAAAAAAAGAAATCCTTATCTATTAAATACTTGTGATAGTGTGAAAATTCGTATGTTGGGAATTTTTATACCTTAGAAATTGGTAAATATCCTAGCTGTCCCTCTCACCCCTTGCCTTACATCTATATCTGTAATGTAAATTACAAATGCTCTTCCTCTTTTTTGTTTGCGTTTTAATTTTGCTAATGACATGTTTTGCTATACAAAAAAAAATTTGTTGCTGTTATGTATGATCCAGTTTTTGGCCTTTGTCTTACTGCTTTATTTCTTTATTACTTAGAGTTATTAAAAAGCATACCTGGTTTCCTGACTTTTTAAAAATAAAGTAGCCGGAAAAAAAATGAATAAGTTATTTAAATGTATAAAGAAATTGTGGGCCAGCATTGTGGCATAGTGTGTTAAACCACTGCTTGAAGTGCCACACTGGTTCATGCCCCGGCCACTCCACTTCTGATCCAGCTCCCTCCTGGGCAAAAGCAGCAGAGAATAGCTTGAGTATTGGGATCCTGCCACCCACGTAGGAGGCCTCAATGAGGCCTGGCCCAGCGCAGGGAAGTATGGTCATGGGGTGAGTGAGCCAGCAGGTGGAAAATGTCTCTCCCTCTCTGTGACTCTTTCAACACAAACACATAGGTTGTCATGTATCTAAAGACTTCAGTGAACAACAAAGTTCATAAAGTGTCCTTCCAGGTTTATGTTTATTTATTTGAAGGCAAGTGGAGGGAGGAGAGATATTGAATGAATGAATGAATGAATGAATGGGACTCTTCGATCTACTGGTTCACTTCCCTGAAGTTCACATGAGGCAGGGCAGAGGCAGGCAGACGCCACATACCAGGAACTCCACCCGGGTCTCCCACGTGATGGTTAACGCGGCTGCGTCCCAGGAATATGCATCTGAGGCAGAGATGAGACCCAATCTAGGGCATCTCAAGGGGCAGCTTAACCCACTGCACCACAACTCCAGCCCCCGAAATTCAGAATCGGATTCGTTGGAATTGATCTTAGAACGGAGAAAGAGGCGCGGTGGTAGTTTCTTTCTTTGGAAGGACGACCCTCCAAGGCATCTCAGAGTCCCGTGTCCAGATTCCTACTGAGGCTCCTCCCACCCCAGGCTCAGTACATGACAGCCTTCGGGCAGGGTATTTGGCTTGGATCATTGCCCGGGCCTGCCTCAGCCTCTGCCCGTTTGCATTCCGATGTAGGGTTTGTCACCTGCTTCCGCTAACGCTAAGTTGTTCCCCTGTGGCTTGGGCCACTGCACCCAAGCGTGCAAGAGATCAACCTTGGTCATCACACAGTGTTGGAACCCAGGAGCTGTGGAGACACGGCTTGCTCCACTTTGGATTCCAAAGAATGTTCTAGACCATCACAGTGTTCAGACCTTTGTTACAGGGATACAGCCAGCCTAGAAAGTTCCCACGAGGACCGTGGCCCAGGGGAGCCAGAGCGTGTGACTGCTCCTGGGACCTTATTACAAAGCTCCCTGTGTTCAACACGAGCCTGGGAGAGCCACAGGTGCCCACCTGCACCACCCACCTCCGCCCGAGAATGGCATGATCTATGCCTAGCATTGCCATGAGGGCGGGCAGCCAGGAGCCTCAGGGCCAACCCCTGACACTACACGTCTACACAACGGAAGATTTACAGGCAAAACGTTAGGATCTCATGCTTACCCTGTGGGCTTCAGACTTCCTGGAGAGCTGTCATTTCCTTCTTGTTTCCTGTTGTTCCTTTTGGGAGTGGGACTGTCTGTCCTATGCTTGATGCTTGGTTTTGACACGTACCCAGCTGGAAGGAATGTGGCCGCGTCGTGTATGAGGAAAAGATGGCTGGTCTGGGGAGCTCTGGGCGGGATGTTGTGGTTGACCCCTTTGTCCCTTCCGACTCACGTGGAAATGTAATCGCTGTCTGATGATGATGAGGAAGTGATTGGTCCATTCTCACAAGTGGCTTTCATGTCTTAATAAAGGGGCCCGAGGTTCCTTTCTCTCTCTCTCTCTCTCTGTAAACACTACCTTTCAAATAATCAAAATTTTAAAAAGAAAAAAAGAATTTAAGCCGTTCGTGTGAACTCTTCATTTTCAGTAATACATGAATACAGCAGTAAATATGCACAATATGTAAATGAATATGCATAATAGACATAACATCTGTAGTAGCCCTGTCCTCTGAGAGGGCCTTTAAGCGGTGACGTGTTCAAAATAAGGAGCACACTTCGTGCATAGATGCCAAATGCCAATTTCCAGTCACAAGAATCAGGGATCCTATGGGGAACTGGCTGGCAGCCACTGCGGCGTAGGAAGTACAAGGTGTGGCTGGACCTTCTGACGTCAGCAGGTAAATGAGTATACAGAGACTGGGAGGACCAGCCAAAAGGCACCTGTTAGCTCCCAGCAGATTCCACAGGACAAGTCTGAAATGGGTTGGGCATGAAGACGGCAGAAATGACAATGGGCCTGCGATCCATTGAACGAAACAAGGAAAACCGTGTGAGCAAATCCAAGAGGAATGAGTGAATTCGAAATTTGCTAATAGTTATTCCTGACCAAAAGGAGTGATCAAAGTGGACCGTCATGAGCAACGCAGCAGGCAGGGTCACGTGCCAGCCGATGGAATGGGGTATTTCTTGCTGCAAGGAGATGAAGATCAGGAGCTGATTTAACCTCAACTCAATGTCGTTTCCACTGGAGAACAAACCCGCACACACATGCCTGTGTGTGATGAAACACGTGTGCTAGCCACGGCTGCCAGGAGATTTCCCAATCCGGCAGTCCTTAACTTGTTTGGAATCAACAGCCCTCGCTCGGTGAGAGCCAAAGTTGGCCTGGGTCCTGCCGGCCTGCTGCTAGGGCAGGATGAGTCCTTTATTCTGCCCAGGCCACGGTTCCCTGGGATTTTCTTGCCGCTTGCTTTTGAAGTTGACACCATCCCCAGCTTGGCACAGTGGAAGGGGCTTCTCCACCCCTCTGGGTGTGCTAGCGTTGCATCACGCGCTTGTCCAGACGTTGCACGCTCTGTGTTCTGTCTCCCAACTTTCCCCACCCTTTCATTCACGTTGCTTATTTAGTGTGTTCCTTTGCTCACCTTCGGCTGTTTTGAGATCTTCCTAAAGAATTTGTATTTTAGCTATTAATTTACTTTTTTGGGGGTAAAAACAGATTTGTTGAAAGATTGATTCCATTTGTATTTGAAAGGCAGATTTACAGAGAGAAGAAAAGGGAGAGAAAGGGAGAGAGAGAGACACACACACACAGAGACAGAGAGATATCTTCCATCCACTGGCTCACTCCCCAAATGGCTGCAATGGCCAGAGTTGAGCCAATCCAAAGAGAGAGGAAGGCAAACTCAGGGGCCTGCGACCTGGGCTCCGCAGAGCAAAAGTCACCAGCTTTTGTGCCAGAATGTAGGATTTTTGGCAGGTGACACACCATCTCTGGGAAAAGCAAGTTTTTTTTCTGTCCCGTGAGACAAGGAGGAAGGCCTCTAGCCTCATTGTCACTTCTGCACAGTGAAGAGGTAAAAATGAATTGTCACCCAAGAGAGAAAGAGCGAGAGGAAGGAGGGAGTCCCGGGTAAGGGGGTACCCAGTGACCCAGGGGTGCAGAGAGCAGGAGCGGGCACGAGCTGGGGACGCGGAGAAGGAGGCTGGTGGAGAATCCGGAGGATCGGGCTGGTTGGCGCTCAGGACGAGGCCTGGCACGGACAGGGCACGTGGAGGGTACTAGAGGGGTGTTGGGGCGGGGCCAGGGGAGCCTGACGCAGGTGGAGCAGATAGTGTCCCAGGGCCCAGGGGGGCACGAGGGTGGATCTGAGCGAGTCGGGGAGAGGGGCTGGCAGAGGTCCGGGTGGGCAGAGGGGGAGCCGGCGGTGCCCGCGGCCGCGGGGAGGGCGCAGGTACCGGCTGGACGCCCCGAGGGTTCGCGGGGGGCGCGGCTCGTGCCGTTGGGCCAGGGGCGCGGCGGGGTCGCCCAGGGGCGGGCGCTGGGCAGGCCGGGCGCAGGCCGGGCGCAGGCGGGGCGGGGCGGCCGGGGTGGCGGTCGCCTCACTTCCGGGAGCGCCTGGGCGCAGCCGCCCCGTTCGCCCTCGCAGCCAAGCGGGGCCCCGGGGCCGCGGAGCCGGCGAGCGCGCAGGCCGAGGCCAGGCCGAGGCGCCCTTGCTGGAGAGGCGGAGATCGGTTCTCGCTCGCCATGGGGGCGTCGGCGAGGCTGTTACGCGCGGTGATCATGGGGGCTCCGGGCTCCGGCAAAGGCACCGTGTCCTCGCGCATCATCAAACATTTCGACCTGAAGCACCTCTCCAGCGGGGACCTGCTGCGACAGAACATGCTGAGAGGCACAGGTGCGGGAACCCCGGCCGGCCGGCCGGCGGCGGTGCGCGGGTCGCGGGCCGTGGAGGGTGGGTAGGGACCCGGGGCTGAGGGCGCGGTTCTGGAGTGAGGGGTGGGAGCAGGAGAGAGACTTTGGCATAGAGACCTCCTTGAAGTCCTGGGGCCGGTGGCAGGGCAGACCCGCTAGGCAGCTTTTAGGACACGCTCCAAGTTCAAAGAGGAAAACTTGTTGGCCTTGTCTTTTGAGAGGCGCGTCCAGTCCCCGAGCCGAGTTCTAACTTTATTCTTCACGTGTCCTTGACCATGGAAAACTGGCATCAGTTCTGCTGGCGTTTGTACGTGCCCTTGCTTTTTATTTACTTATTAAAAAAAAAAAAAACACGCTGTGGGATCTTGGAGTTCTGACCTTAACCCTCCCCCTCCCCCGCCTTGATCTCAAGGCCAAATTTTATTTCCCCCTCGTGGTAGGGCAACAAAGTTGGCTTCGACTTTGAGGCCCCAGGAGATTTCGAAGACACAACGAAAAAACATTCTTGTGTGCAGCTGCCTTAAAAACAAAAGCGTTGTTTCTCATGCCAGGCCAGTTCTTACCACTCAGCATAAAAGTCCCGGTAACAAAACCGGACGCTTTGCTGTGGGGTGAATTTGTGGTATGTAAATTCCACCTTAAGAAGGCTATTTAAAGAAAAGAAAGGAGAGAGAGAAAAAAGTCATCAGTAGGATGAGCCGTTTTGCCCTCAGAAGGGTTGACCTTTACTTTCCAAAACAGAATCCATCTTGAAAGGCGTCTCCTTCGAAATAATACTTGCATGGTAGAGAAGAGAAAGGATTTAGAAGTGCAAGGGGGGGTGGAAATAGAAAACAGCAGAGCTGTTTCCTGGCCCGATGCCATCCCTCGGAGGGGAACCGTGTGCTTCCTTCTAGGAACCTTGGTGTGTACAAACACACGGAAGTCTAGCCTGTATTTCACGGACCGGGTACCCACAGTGTGTCATTCCGACCTCCTCGCGCTAAATGCGGGTTACGTTTCTACATGCACACAGCTTCTACCGGTAGAGTTATCTTTTTGCTCAGTCTACTCTGATTTATTACCAATCCCTTTTTTGATGCACAGGTTTGTTATTTCCCTGGTGAGATTTTTTTTCCTCTGAGTTTTTTTTTTTTGTTTGTTTGTTTGTTTCATATCTGTGTTTTCTGGCACACGGTGGTCTTGTGTTTCTTTCTCGTCACGCCTCAATCTTAGAAGAAATGGGACCTTGTCTGGTTCATTAAACTTCCAACTTAGACATAATTCTGCGCCAGAAATACAAGTAAGAGGCCGAGTAACTCCGAGAGAGACAGAAAGAGAACACACTGGGCTAATGGTGACGTAGTTTGGCTTGTTCGGCCAGGGTGCCCGGTGCAGCCTGCTGAATTGCTCGGGCGGATTCCCGTGACTTGGACCGTCTGCACAGGGAGCTAACAATCCTGGGGAAAGACGACGGAGCCGTGAGGTCTGACCGTGCTTCGGGAACACCCTCGGTGGGCCAGCATTGGTCAGCTTATAGGGGGCACAGAACGTGGGTGGATTTAAAAGGCAGTTAAACAACCTTGCGCAACATCCACCTTGCATGTCCTTGATGCTCTCTGAGCGCCTGCCTTCTACCTTCTCAGTCCCACCGGCTGAGCAGAGGGAGAAGAGAAACCCTGAGATGTAGTTCAGCTTGCCTCGGGGGATCTGCACGTCCTGCGCTCTTTCTGGGCAACACTTTTTTTTTTTCCAAGAGAAGCAAAGTGGAACTTTGGGAAGGCGCGTGGCTTCTGATTACAAGCGTTTTGTATCTGAAGACTGTAGTCTCAGGAGGTGTTTGTGAACGAATTGGGTAACACCCACAAAATCAGAGCCAAAGAGAGGTGAGATTAAAAAAAAAATGCTTAATGTTTTCTGATACTGAAAGTAAAACATATTTGCTAGGAATGGAGAAAAGTATGTGATGAGAACATAAAGAAGAAGACTAGGACCCTTCGAGATTCTGTCTCATCATTCAGGGACAAGTATAATCAACCCATAGGTTAACGCAATGTTTTCTTTTATGCCAGTTTTTTTTTCTGTTAATTTTCCATGTTTTTGCAAAATTGCTGTATTTGAAGTGATTACTGAGTACTTTTTAAAAGTTACTGTGGGCATGTTCACACATCATTAAGCAGTCTTAAAAATGACATTTACTTATATCTTTACAGAATGATACTAGATCTTTTTTTTTTAACCTTTGCCTATATCTACCATGCCAAGATATGTATACGCGGCACAAAGTTAAACTTGTAATTGTCACTAAAGGACTACACCAGTGTGATAATTTGGGGGAAAACAGTGGGAAGGAGAATGGGCAGGGAGGAAGCAATCCCTTTACCTACAAAACTGTATCATGGAAAATAATTTTTAAAAATGGGATTTATGGGATGGACAGTGACATCTGTGGTGCTGGCATCTCCTGAGGGCTCTAAGTCCCTGATGCTCCACTTCCCGTCCAGTGTCCTGCTGGTGACCCGGGAAGGCAGTGAAAGACGGCCCCAAGGCCTTGGGACCCTGCACCGGTGTGGGAGACCCAGAAGAAGCTCCTGTCTTTGGATTACCGCAGCTCTGGCTGTTATAGCCACTTGGGGAATGAACCAGTAGATGCAAGATCTCTCTCTCTCTCTCTCTCTCTCTCTCTCTCTCTCCCTCTCTCTGTAATTCTTTCAAGTAAAATAAATATTTTTAATGATATATACTTTCATAAGGGTAGTATGTCCCAGTCTTTGGGCATCTATGGTGTTAACCGTCCTTTGCAATGATACATACGACGCTATGAAAGGACTGTGGCAGTTCGCTCTGCAGCCGCCACGCATGAGGCTGGCTTTATGGCCCATGGCTGTGTTGTGTAAATGAAGTTCTAAAATCCTCCTGGGAGACAGGATGAGCCTGTTGACAGGACCAGATTACGAGTAACTGCTGGCCCCCTGGAGGACCCTGCAGGTGTGCACCCTGAATCTGATCCTTAGATGTTAGTGGCACAGCGGATGAAGCCACTGCCTGTGATGTGAGCGTCACACGTGGGCACCATGTCCCGGCTGCTCCACTTCTGTTCCCGCTCCCTGCTAATGTGCCTGGGGAAAGCAGAGGGAAGATGGCCCAGGTGTTTGGGCCTTTGCCACCCACACGGGAGACCTGCATGAAACTCCTCTGATTCCTGGTTTTGGCCCTTGCGGCTATCTGGGGAGTGAACCAGTGGATAGCAGATGCCTTTCTTAAAGCAAGCAAAAGAAGACAGAACTTGCTCAATGGGGGGCAGCATTGTGGCACAGTGGGTCAAAGAGCCACCTGCAGCTCATATGGTTGTTAGTTTGAGTCCCAGCTACTTGCTTGCCAAGTACCTCCCCACTGATGCTCCTGGGAGGGTAGGGGGAGAGGGTGCAAGTAGTTGGGCCTCTGCCACCCGTGTGGGAGACCTGAAGGGAGTTCCAGGCTTCTGTCTTTGGTCTGGTCTCATCTAGATGTTAGCTATCTGGGGAGAGAACTGTTAGAAAAATTCTCTATCTCAGTCTCCTTTCTCTTACTGCCTTTCAAGTGAATCAATGAATCTAAAATAAATAAATAAATAAATAAAAGAAGAACTTTTAAAAAAGAAAAGCCGGTGTACCAGTTAGTCACGGTTCCCATTACGCAATATTCCACAAAGTGAGATTCATGAGACAATTTTAAGCAGACAAAAAAAAATTTTTTTTGGGGGGGGGGTTCCCTGAACAATACTGCTTTCCATAAGAAAAAATCTCATTTCTGGATAAGCTTGATTGAAAGGATTCACATATCATTTAAGTTAAGCTATTGACAAATCTGTAATTCAGTGGATCCTTTGTCTATGCATGGTTGTGCAAGCATCAGCGAAACAAAGAAACATTCCCCATGGCCCACAAAGGCAACCACACACCTGTTAGTCACTCCTGCCCCGCCCCGGGCCTGTGGCGGTACGGCGGCGCCTTCTCTCCTGAGCGGCCCAGCCTGTGTGTTTCATGCACGTGGAATCGTGCTATGCGAGGCCTTTCTCACTGGCCTCTTTCCACTTAGAATAATGTTTTCAAGGATCTCTCACACTGTGACTTCCATCTGTGCTTTGCTACTTTATGCTGAATAATATTCTGTGGCATGAATCGATCATTAACCCATTCAGGGCCCCTCCCTGCACATCTCTTTCCTGACCCCCGGAATAACCGCTGCTTTGACTCAAGTCTTTATTATTGGAGGGATGTTTTGTTTTTTTAAGACTTTGATTTGTGTCAAGTGATCGTTTAATTTATTCCCTGTCATCTTCCTGCTTCTATTTCTGGTGTGGGTTTTTTTTTTTTACATATTTTTAAAAATAAAGTTTTATATTGTTTATTATGTCACGATGCTGAAAGCAATTCTGGCAGGAACTAAGTTCTTTGTAGCGCTTTATCTTGGCACACGTAAGAGGGAATGGTTATTTTTAGGGTAGTCTGGTCCTGCTTTTGTAGTTGGTTACTGTTCACAGTTTCAATAAGCTCCTTGAGATTCAGATGTGAGGTGTGGTTGTTTGGGGTCTTGCTGTTAAAAGGAAAATCCCCACAGTTGAGCCACCACCACTTGGCAGGCCTATATCCCGGGACCACTTCTGACTGGTTTCCACCTGCTGCACATCTTGGGATACAGCAGAGATGGCCTCAGGAGCCAGTCCCCTGCCATCTATGTTGCAGATGCTGATGAAGCTACAGGTACCACAGGCATTAGGGGAGAGGACCAGTGGGTGACATTTTATATGATATAAATGTGTATTTCTCAGACCAGTAGCTCCATGTTTGGGATTTGTTGCTATGGCCCTTACAAGTTGATATTAACTTTCCTCATTTTTCTAGAACCTTGCTTTCTTATTTTTGTGTATAACTTTGTCGAAAATTAGCTAACCAGGAATAATTTACCTTTTTTAAAGAATTTAAATTGTTTTATCTATATAAGGTGAACCAATTTCGTGTATCACTTACGCACAGATTTAGGGGCATAGTGACACTTCCTTCTCTTCTGATGGATTGACTGGCTGACTGATTTTGGTTGTTACAATATGCTTCCAGTTTATTCTATAATCTTAGACTTAATCCTCCACCAGGCAGAGAATTCAACATGGCATGTTTTGTAAGTGTGAAAGTTCCCCAATTTAGTTTAATATTTGAATCAAAAAGAAAGCAGTAATTGCATGAGGAACCCAATAAATTATGGTGATCAGATGAGTAGAAATTTTTCAAATGTCCACGAGTTATGCTGGATGGGATGAACATTTGGAATGCAATTAACAAGCTACTTAGACCATGACGTAGGGAGTTGAGTAATTTTTTTTTTCTCTCTTTAAGGTTTATTTACTTTTATTAGAAAGGCAGAATTACAGAGAGAAAAGAGAAAGATCTCCCAACTGCTGGTTCAGTCCCCAAGTGGCCACAACCGCTGAAGCTGAGCCAACTGAAGCCAGGAGCTAGGGATGTCTTTTGGGTTTCCCACGTGGGTGCAAGGTCCCCAGGCTTTGGGTGGTCCTCTATTGCTTTCCCAGGCCACAGGCAGGGAGATGGAAGGGAAGTAGAACACCCAGGATACGAACCGGAGCCCTTATGGGATCCCAGAGTACGCAAGACGAGGACTTTAGCTACTAGGCTACCGCACCGGTCCCAATGATTCTAAATGTACATAGTCTGGGAAGGGAACAAGAAGAAATGAGAACACAGTGGGATGAGAATAACATATAGTTGTGAGCAGCAGTTTAAAATTATGCATAAACTCTTTTCTAGGCTCTTAACTATTAATAAGAATATAATGTGATCAGCACCGATCTGGCCAAAAGTTAATTGTACTCATGTTACGACTGATATCTTTTTTAGAGGATTAAGGAAAAATGGTCTCTGTATCGATAGCAGGCACTTAAACCAAACCACTTCACAATAATGGCAATGTAAAATTCTTATTAAATGGAAGAAAATAATTTCAGCTATTCTGTGTTTTGCGTGTGATAGAAAAATACTCAAAAATAGAAATAGTTTAAAAAAATAGTCATAATTCTGCCACAAAGAGCAACCACTGTTAAAATGGGGTGATGCATTTGCATCACCTTTTGGCCTAGACATGTGTATATTGTGCATAATGGAAGGACCGAAGGAAGACTTGGATGGTTGTGTAAGTTCTGGTCCTTTACAGGAAAAGCTGAGGACGCTCACTTCTTTCTGGGGTGTAATCCCGAGGCTCCTGTCAGCCTACCAGTTCCTGCGGGGGTCCGGGATGGGATGAAACAAACTTGACTCATTCCCCCTCTTCTCCCGCAGAAATCGGCGTGTTAGCCAAGACTTTCATCGATCAAGGGAAGCTCATTCCCGATGACGTCATGACTCGGTTGGCCCTTCACGAGCTGAAGAATCTGACGCAGCACAGCTGGCTGCTGGATGGTAAGCATCTCCGCAAGGGACGGCTGCTGGCCAGGCGATGGGCACTCCACGGGCTGCCAGTGGACATGCTGGATGGCATGGGCAGGGGGCACCTGCAGCCTGCTCGCCACCACCCGAGCCCTTGGGCTGGCCCTGTTCTCTGTGTCTCTGTTGGATTGAGTGATTTCTGAGTTCCTTCTTTCGTCCCAGAGGAATATTTTATGATAAGGCAGGATCCCCACAAAGAAGGGAGGCCAAGCAATGATAATTCACAAGAATAATTTGTAGTTTTCCCTAGACAGAGGGGTGGCAGCATCCTTCAGGATAGTTCGAGTTCTTTCTTTCTTTCTTTCGTCAGCTTCGAATCGTTGCTTTGTTGAGACCAAGAGGCACAAGATTTTTTTTTTTAAACAAATAAAGCCTTTCTTTGGAGATTGAAGTCATGACTTCCTGTTTTGGAAGAGGGCAGGCTAGCCTAGCCTGGCTATTTTTATCTTCTGCCCCACTCTGCCCCATCCCCTTCACACACACGCATGGACTAGATGCTGTTCCCGCACAGCCTGGCGGCCCTGTTGCTCGCTCTAGCCAAGAAGGTTATGGGATTCTTGGGGTGCCAAGTGAATGAAGTTGTATCAGGAAGACAAATGAAGGGGAGAAGTTCTTCTCTGGTTTGTTGGAGTAAACCATCCATTAAGTCTTCTTCCGGTCCGTGGAAGGTGCCTGCTCTGCATATTTGCACACAAACTCAAGGACTCAGAAATTTATGACCATTTACAGATAGGACCCAGAGACCAATCTAGACAGGAGACGCTGTGCATATCACACTTTGTGTATTTATTCTTTCCACAAATTGATTGGGAATCTTTTTTTGTGTGTGTTCAAAACTGATCATGGAACCTCCACAAAACCCTTGTGCTCACACACAGTATGTTCTAGCAAAACACAGGTAAGAAAAATTGGGTTGGATGCAGACAGCAGCAAGGGCCTTGAGGTGAACTACAAGTTGATGTGAGCAGAGAGTAATGTAGGTGAAGGGGTAGCTTATTACTGTTTTTCATTTTCTTTTTTGTAAATAAGGAATTTAGATACATGGTTCAGAATTCAAGAAGGTTCATTAAAATATTTATTTATTTTTATTGGAAAGGCAGCTACATAGAGGGAAGGAGTGAAAAAATAAAAAGATCTTCCATCCTCTGGTTTTCCTCCTAAGTGGCCGCAGCAGCTTGAACTGAGCCAATCCAAAGCCAGGAGCCAGGAACTGCTTCCAGATCTCCCATGTGGGTGCAGAGTCCCAAGGCTTTGGACCGTCCTCGACTGCCTTTGCAGACCACGTCCAGGGAGCTGCATGGGAAGTGGAACAGCTGGGACACGAACAGGTGTCCACATGGGATGCCAGCGCTTGCAGGAGGGCATTAGCCAATTGAGCCATCGTGCTGGTGGGGGAGCAAAAATTCATTTTAACGACTTATTTTTGTTTTCTTTTGTTAGACGGGGGAGGCTTATGAGCATCCCCAAATGTGAGTAGCCTGTGATAGGTGCAGAAGCAAGTAATTTTAGTGCAAATACAGGGCCTCACGGGCAGAGTCGGGAGGACCCTGCCCCACAGGAAAATGGTAAGTCCTCCAAAGGACAGGGCCCTCTGCCACCAGTGGGACTAAGAGCTGAAATGGGACAATGACAGGGCCACCTGGGAAGGGCCTGGAATGCAAGCCCAGGGAATTGTTTTTCACTTCGTGTCATTGTTCCATTACAAGAATGCCTTTTCCTTTTAAAAATAAAAAAGCGTATATATACATGTACAAGGCTCAGAGACCCCAATGATCACATGTTTTAGGAACAGTTACATATACTCAAGAACACACACATTCATATATGTATTTTGCATATTATATGAGATACGATTCCAGCCACCCACAGCTAAGTAGCATCTAGAATTATAATTTTTTCTTCATATGCAGATGTACACAGTATAAGCATAAACCATATTTTGGTGACTGACTTCATCTGAATTGCACAGCCGGATTCGTCCCCGCTGTGTTCTGTTTCTGTGGGGGGGGAGGTGCTTTGATGGCCCCCCCTGAGGAACAGCTGGGTTGCATCCGGTTTCCAGTGCCCTGTGGAGGCTGTGCGGGACGCCCCTGAAGTTGCCCCTTCTCTTAGTCGGAGGTATTTTGATTTAGCTCTTTGTCCAGAGGATATTTGGCTCCTGGTTTGGGACTGTGAATATTTGCACAAGAATGATATCAGTTGAGAGATACTTTTGTAAGCTTTTTTTTTTAAAGTACCAACTCCTAGTAATGAGCACGGATGATGGGTCCCACATCTGTCACTCGAAAGCTTTGTGGGTGACACGGAGTTCCTTCCTGTGCCACTGTTTTGCCATTTGTCACAGATAGATCTTGGCACCCAGACAGTGTCCAGTAGTTGTGGGTGTTGTATGCCATTTGTTCTCATCGCCTGCACTGATGTTTTTAACAGGACCACTGCAGTGTAAAGATATGATATGAGCTGGATGGGAAGCAGAGCTGCCGGGTTTAGGACCAGCACCCACATGGGATCGTGGCGCATGCAAGGCGAGGACTTTAGCTGCTAGGCTATCATACATACAAACATATTCAGACTTGGGAGCATTGTGGACTTGAGGTTTTACGATGAGAGAATGCTCATTATAAATAGATTCTACGTTAAGTGTTTCTGCACTCATGTGCTTTGCTTTAGCCAAAGTTGAATATCATTTTTGTCATATTCCACAAATGGCTTTCTGAGGTTTTTTCAGATAAGATGGAGGAGTTCAGTTTTTTTTTTTTTTTTTTCCCCTGAAGGCAGGAAACAGTAGCTGCCCCAGACAGATTCCAGTGAAGACCTGAGACGGTTCAGCTTTTTGTTCTGAATGGATTAGGCCTATTTATAGCAGGGAGGGCACTGTGTTTCATTAACCAATCTGCCTATTTCAGTGTTAACCGTATGCAAAAATACCCTTACAGACACATCCTGAATGTGTCTTTAAAATATCTGGGTGGCCCATGGGACGGTCAAGGTGACACCAGAAGATCGCCAGCACAGTTGTTCTGTAGTTGTGGCCAGCTGGCCTAAGGTTACTCCTTTGGTTCACACTGCCCATCATTCTTTTTCTTTCTGCTTTCTCTCCACTCTCTCTCTCTCTCTTCCTCCTTTGCCACTCTTCCCTCCCGCTCTTCGCTCCCACTGCCTCCCATCTCACCATTCCTTCAACTTCCTAAAGGCTTTCCCAGGACACTCCCGCAGGCAGAAGCCCTGGATAAAGCTTACCAGATAGACACAGTGATTAACCTGAACGTGCCCTTCGAGGTCATTAAGCAGCGCCTTACTGCCCGCTGGATTCACCCAGCCAGCGGCCGCGTCTACAACATTGAGTTCAACCCTCCCAAGGCCGTGGTGAGTAGTTGTGGTGGAAGTGATTGCGTGGCCGATGCCCAAGCCGTTGCCCCTACCCCCCGCTTCCCCGAACTGGGAAATCCTCTACCTGATCTGTTACTCCTGCAGGTGCATCTCCAGGGTACTTGGTGTAGTAGAAGGGCTTTGTAATTCCTTCAGAAGCATTTATGAAGTTGCTGTTGGGTGCCAGGGAGCGTTAGGAGTCGGGAATCACAATTGAGACTCCCAGGTTATAACTAAATATGTATCCACGCACACACATTTTATTGATATGCGTATAAAGGCCATGGCTGAGTTCATTATATATAGTTATTATTATGTTTTTATATAAGTATGCATTTATATAATTTTATATGCCGCTTCATCTGAAGCCTGGGCTGCAATGTGGTGTCTTTGTGTGGATTCCATTTACTTAGAGGGTCTTACACTTCGCGCTCTGTGCGGGCGCAGAGATGGCTGTCCGTGGCGCACGTCACTCATCTCCTGCTGTTGGGTATCGGCTCTCCCTCTCTCCCGTTCAGGGCATCGACGATGTGACCGGGGAGCCTCTCATCCAGCGGGAAGATGACAAGCCGGAGACGGTCATTAAGAGGCTGAAGGCGTACGAGGCCCAAACGGAGCCCGTCCTGGAATACTACCGGTGAGAGCTGGCTTCCCATCACTTCTCTTGCGCAATGCAGCACTCAGGCCGTCTTTGATCGCCGCCCCCACACTTTACAGCTGAAATATTAATAATACCAGACCCCAGGATCCGGTGGGAACTGACTGAGGCAATAAAGGGCAGTCCATTAGCTTGTGTCACAGCAAAGTCCAGTGGGTGGTCTGGGCTCCCGTCCCTCCTCCCGTGTGCCGTTCTTGTAGCTTTGTCCTGCGCAGCTGTTGGCTTTCGCCTCTTTTGTGGAAAGACTGGGGAGCAACGTTCCCCCTCCCCGCTAGTGAACAAAACTCCAAGCACCATTCAGACTGAATCAATTGAAGAGCCCAGCCTCTGTGGTTAGGGAGTGCTTGGCACCGTTTTAAGACCTGAGGCAGCTCTGGTCCATTCTCTGCGGATTGCAGTTGCAGGGAGCACACCGATGACTCCATTCCTGGAGCTGAGGCTGGGTCAGTCTCACCCAGACTGCGACATGGTGGAGGGACGGCTGGAGTTGAGTGCAAGGGAGGCCAAGCCTTGCAGTGCCCGCTGCGTGTGCCAGCGGAGGACCTGATGACAGAAAGAGCTCTGACGACGGCTCCTCCTCAGATGGCTCATTCAGCCAGCACTAAATATTTTTTTAGAGGTTTATTTATTTTTATTTGAAAGGCAGATTTACAGAGAGGGGAGAGAGAAAGATCTTCCATCCACTGGTTCTTTCCCCAAACGGCCACAGCTGAATTGATCCAAAGACAGGAGCTTCCTCCAGGTCTCCCCGATGGGTGTAGGTTCCCAAGAACTTGAGCCATCTTCCTCTGCTTTCTCAGGCCATAATCAGAGAGTTGGGTGGGAAGTGGAGTAGCCGGGACACAAACCAGTGCCCATATGTGATGCTGATGGCATAGGGCAGAGGATCAGCCTGTTGCACTGCCATGCCAGCCCCCGCAGCTAACATGAAAGGCTTGAAAGGCTTCTATGTTAACATGATTTTCTCTCCGCATTTTGGGCAGTTCACATCACCCTGTTGTTAATACCGGCGCTAGACTGATTTCACATTTGACTCCGGCTAAGAATCAGTCCTGTTCCCTTCCTTACTCGGCCCCCTTGCTCCCCCTTTTCTCCCGCTCATTCGCTTACAGGATCCTGATCAACGTCAAGTTAGGGAAGTTGCCCTTGACTTTCGCTGAACCTCTGCCTCTTCTCTCCTCTGTGTGATGGAGGATGAGAATAGAATAGAATAGGCTGAAAGATTCGACTTCAAACGTATGCCTTTCTGAATTCAGCCTGGTTATTAGGCATCTTAGGTCAATATTGGTGGTTACTACGGTTGTTATTTTTGCGACAGATGTCAGGCATCCAGCAAAAATATGAAGCAATGGTCTCCAAACTGCCTAAATACCTGATTTTAGAGGGTGACCTTAGCAAGGGAGTTGGCAGTTGACTTTTTACAGTAGCCGGTGTAGAGTCTAATGAGCCTGGCTCTGCCCGTGACCAGCTTGATGGCCCTGGGCTACATAGGAACCTCTGTGCTACAAGTTTCCCATTGGTAAAATTAACCAATATTCAGTAGGGCCTATTTTGTAGGCTTGTTAAGGGCGTTGAGAGAAGGCAGGGCAAGCTTGACAGGAGGCGCTCCGTGATGAACTGTTGACTCTGTTGGACACTGGCCTAGGCCCTTCGTCAACGTAGACCTTGAGACCAGGCCTGTGCCAAACTCCAGCTCACTTTCTGTACATGCATGCAGTGCTGACTCATGCTTGCAGTAATCAGGGACCTGATGCACCTTAGCTTGAACTCAGGGGAGATCTCAATCATGACCACGTGACAGTCCAAAGATAGGTGGCTGGGTCCAAAGGTTGAAAAAGTCTCACGAGGCCCCAGTCACTCTGAGCTGCAGGGCCCCAAGCTCGTGGCTTCTTCCGTGCAGCCTTCCCCAACTTCCGTGCTGTTGCTGGAAAGAATCCACCTCCCTTTGCTGTCTTGCAGTTACACCTGCTGCTCAGCAATGAGGCTTTCTCTTGCCAGCCGCTCTCGGGGCAGCAGGCTCTCTGCCACACTCAGTGCATGAAGTTTAACAGGAGGCTGTCTGTCCAGCCAGTCCTGCCCATCCCTCAGTGGCAGCCCCACGCCCACCTACAACAGGTGAACACAGCAGAACACATCAGCGTGCAGGCGGGCTCTCCTGTCTGTTGGGGGGTTCTCTCCCCATGTAGCAAGGCATTCTCTGCCTCTGCTTTGCTCCTCCCAGCTCAGCTGCCCTGTATGAGAGATTGCTTTATCTTCTTAAAGCATCATTAGGCTTTTTGCTACCATTGGTTCAAGCTTCATCTTAGAAGCTCCTTTGTATGAGATGAAGGTGGGATGTTCCTGGGCTGCAAAATGAGGGCGCATGGTCATCTGAAAAAATGCAGACTGATCTCGTTGTTAGAAGATATTCCTCAGCTGTGGGCCCTCGACAGAGAAGAATGGTCCAGGTTTACCAACAAGCTGATGCTCTCACTGTTGGTGGACTCAGTTGGGGAGCTGGTCCCTTTCCTAAGTGTAATGACAATTGGTCACTCTGGGTGCAGCTGCAGTACTCAAGGGGCCTGCAGTTGTGTGCCTGAGACATCCTCACTCGCCCTTCAAGAGGCTCTTTAGGAAGCTTACACACAGCTAAGGAGCTTCCTCTCCTGCCTCTCCTGGCAGCCTGAGAGTTGAGAAGCAAGAGGGCCTCACTATGCAAAAAACAAACAAACAAAAAAAAGGCTGCATTTGCACAATTTCCCTCCAGTTTATCAAATGTGTTCTACGGTGGCAGACTGAATCGGGCAAGACAGGAAAGAAACGTCCTTCAGACATAAATGTCTGAAAACCTAGTTACAAGGATGGTCCTGGTTTGGGGAATAAACTAGTTCTTAGACAGCAATAAACCCTGGCCCAGTGCAATGGCTCAGTGGGTAGATCCTCGTCTTGCACATGCTGGAATCTCCTATTTCATGTCCCAGCTGCTCTGCTTCCCACCCAGCTCTCTGCTTGTGGCCTGGGAAAGCAGCAGAGGATGGTACAACAAAGCCTTGTGACCCTGCACCTGCATGGGAGACCCAGAAGAAGCTTCTAGCTTTGGATCAGCTCAGCTCCGGCTACTGGAGCCATTTGGAGAGTAAACCAGAGGACAGAGCTTTCTGTCTCGGTAGATCTGCTTTTCTAATAAAAAGATGTATTTTAAAAATAATATCGCCAGTGCCCTTCATTTGCTGTTTAAAGCAGTATTTATGTTCACAGGAGCATGCACGGGTAGGATGGGGTAGAAGAAGGGAGGTTAGCAAGAGGAATGCCAGAACTTCAGCAAGGTATCTGTGTGGTCTGAAAACCAAATGCAGAATCCCGGTCCTCACCATATTAGCTACAGGATCCTTGGCTGAGTTGGCCCAGTAACAAATCAGACAGATCCACAGGGCAGAAATGCAAAGATCCAGCTGGGTAAAAGAATCAACCCTAGAGTCTTATTGCTCTTTCTGTTAAAAGCCAGAAGGACACACAGCACAACAGAGAAGTGTAAATGCAATACTAGACTTATCGAGTTTTAGGAAATTCCTGGGAGGGGCCAGCCAGTGGCATAGTATGCTAAGTCTCTGCCTATGGTGTTAGCATCCCATATCGGCACCGGATCAAGTCCAGACTGTCCCACTGCTCCATCCAGCTCCCTGCTTATGGTCTGGGAAGGCAGCGGAGGATGGTCTAAGACCCTGGGACCCTGCACCCACATGGGAGACCCTGAAGATGCTCCTGGCTCCCAGGTCCTGGCTTCAGATCATCTCAGCTCTGGCCATTGTGGCCATTTGGGGAGTGAACCAGATGATGAAAAATGTCTTTTTTTTTTTTTCTCTGTAACTCTTCCTTTCCAACAAAATTGAATACATTTAAAAAACAAACAAAGCAAGTTCTTGGGGGCAACGGTGTAAGGGGACAGAGCTGAGGCGAATTCTGGTGTTCAATAGCCTGCTCAGAATTCTGCCTCCAACTTGATGATTTGGGCTAACTTATAAGCCCTGTGCCCGTGCCAGCCTTTCTCTCCTGAATGCAACTCACCTTTACCCTGTCAGACATAAAACCATTGAAAAAGCTCTTTGGGGGAAATCTCCCACCTGTGCTTCCTATTGATTGATTTCTTTTCCTTCTTTAGGAAAAAAGGGGTGCTTGAAACATTCTCTGGAACAGAAACCAACAAGATCTGGCCCGACGTACATGCTTTCCTACGGACCAAGGTTCCAGAAATCCATCAGAAAGACTCTGCCACTCCGTGAGCAAGAACCCGCTCGGCCGGCAAGGCAGCGGAAGCGGCTGGTCCTGGCCTCCGATGCCCCTCGGCCTGGGGCTCCAGCATGTATGAATCCTTTGGAGATTGGGTTTTATGTCTACTGATTGTGTTTTTCCTGGAAACCACTAAGGATGTGCCAAATGATCAAATAAATAAGATCCATCTTTTGTAATCCTCTACTATGCTGTCATCCAGTTCTCTCCTGGGTTCTTCTTCAACAGTAGGATGGCTCAACTTATACAGAGAGCCAACATTTCGAAAAACCACTGATACTTTTTGTTCGGTAAGGATAAGTTGTTAAGAATATTTCCAGGGATTTTCTGGGAAAAAAAAAAAGTTAACTGTTATCTGGGGGAAACAGCCAGTTTTGCTTGCAATGACGCCCACAAATAAACTTGTCAGTACACAGTTCAAGCAGCCTGGGACACGGCGTCATGAGCCACTCTTGTTCAATTACAGAGGAAAGAAGCGACTTGGGACTCCAGATCTGCCACCAGGTGCCAATTCACTGATGCCTTACCCTAAGAAACGTACAAGCTAGCCATCCACGTAAGGTGTTAAACCTACTTTCTGTTTACCCAGAGTTTTGAGTCTGCTATAAAAATGTGTCCGTTAGCCTAAAGGAAAAATGTCTTCTTTTGTAAAATACAGGTATCTCGAGGCCTGATTTACGCAAGAAATTGACATTGTAAGTCCTTGGGTGAGCACCAAAGCCGACTCAGTTTTCAGTGGAAAATGTAGCATAGTTTTACATTGTCAGCTATTACTCAGATTAAAATTTATGTTAGAGGTTACCATGTGCTTTCTCCTTTTGGTCCAAATGTGTGATCTGTCTTGATAAAGTATCAAGTTGCAGTTTAAAGAGAAAAAAAAAAAATGAACTAAGAGGAATCCCAGGGAGCTATGCAAATTAAGCAGACTTTGTTCTTGGGCCCGGCACCACAGCATATAGCAGACTTGGTTCTTTCCAAGTGGGCCAGGCTTTCTTGAGGAATGTCCCCTTGACCCCCAGCTGGCCTTCTTAATTAGTAAGCAGGAATGGCCATAAAAGGAAATTATACACTGTGCTAAAAAGGACCAGCAAAAAAAGGACCATTCTGTCAAAGAAATGTGTCGGCATTCACAGCCACTGTATTTTAAGGGGGAGGAATACTGATACCACCTGAGCAGCCACTGTAAGATCTAAATCTTTTGCGAGTGCTCACTGTGGCAACGAGGATGCCTGCGTGCGGACTGAGGCCTTCAGAGAACGAGGCAACTGGAGAGGTGCAGCCATACCCCACCCTATCTCCCATGGGCTACTCCGTGTCTCGCTCGCTCGCTCGGTGCTAAATCAGTTGCAACAAGCCTTTGTACGCGTCCTCGGGGACTGCCTTGGGAAATCTGGTCCATTCGTTGTATTCCACACATTAAAAATGTCGATGTCAGCATGTGGGTCTTACCTATTGTGGGAGAAAAATGAAACCCATTTTCCTTTACTTGTGATTTTTAAAAATTCACTGTTGATTGTGCAAAGAGGACCCGGGCGTTTTAAAGAGGATTACAGCAATCAGCTCATCCTTTAGAATGTTTTCTAGTATGCCTTACGTGACCGCTAGGTTGACGTGTTAACTCTTTGTCCATATATGATCACTGGGCTAATCAGCATCCATGATTCTCTGGTAAAAATAAATGAGCGTGGCTCACTCCTTGGTCCTTCTCGAAAACCCACCACTCTCTCCTTCCTTCTGACATCCCCTTGGCTTCCGAGTGACTGTGTTCTAATAAATTTCCTTCAAACAGTACATAGGCTGGTTTTGTTTTATGGAGTTGTTTTTGTAGTTTTTATTGCAAAGGCAGATTTATGGAGAGGAGAGACAGATTGTCCCCATCTGCTGGCTGTGAAGGCTGGAGCAAAACTGATTCCAAGTCAGAGGCCAGGTGCTTCTTCCAGGTCTCCCACATAGGTGCAGGGTCCCAAGGCTTTGGGCCGTCCTCTGCTGCTTTCCCAGGCCACAAGCAGGGAGCTGGATGGGAAGTGGAACAATTGTAACATGAACCAGAACCTATATAGGATTCCAGCACTTACAAGGGAAGTATTGCACACTTTATCCATGTTTTGGGAAATGCCTGTAACACATCTTTTGATTTAAAGCAAAAATAACCTGTGTTCTGTTGGCTGAGTTGACAACAGAGAGAGTGGTGATTAAGAATGTTATTGCTAGGGCCAGCCCGGTATTTCAACAGGCCTGCAAGCTCCATCATCCCATATGTACACCAGTTTGTGTCCCAGTTGCTCCACTTCCCATGCAGTTCCCTGCTTATCACCTGGGACAGCGGTAGAAGATGGCCCAAGTCCTCGGACCCCTGCACCCACGTGGGAGACCCAGAAGAGGCTCCTGGCTTCAGGATCAGCTCAGCTGTGGTTGTTGCGACCATTTGGGGAACGAACCAGCAGTTGATAAAAGGCGAAAGATTTTATGTGTTCTGAAGAGAAACCAGAGTATGATGAACTCAACTCCCTCTCCCTTTCTACCTTTTAAAGATTTTTATTTTTATTATTTTTTTATTGGAAAGGCGGATATACAGAGAGGAGAGACAGAGAGGAAGATCTTCTGTCCGATGATTCACTCCCCAAGTGAGCGCAACGGGCCGATACTATGCCGATCCGAAGCCAGGAGCCTCTTTCGGGTCTCCCACGCGGGTGCAGGTTCCCAAAGCTTTGGGCCGTCCTCGACTGCTTTCCCAGGGAGCTGGAAGGGAAGCGGGGCTGCCGGGATTAGAACCGGCGCCCATATGGGATCCCAGGAGTGCAAGGCGAGGACCTTAACCACTTGCGCCACCGCGCCGGGCCCCCTTTCTACCTTTTAAACAAACACATTTAAAAAATGTCACAGTGGAGGAGGGTATCTTAATATTTATATATCTATATGGACATATAAAATATAATGACAGCATGATATATGTACTACGTGCAGAGCTGAATTCCATCGCTAGAAGCTTCTCTACTTCAGTTAAAGGCTAATGGTAACAGTGCTTCAACTCATAGCCCTTCTTTTCTGAAATTAAGTTAAGCACAGCGTGCTGTGGGAAGTGCAAATTGGCACGAATTTTATTTCTCCCTATCCTATTTGGAATAATTCAAAACAATGGCTCAAATTTCTAAACTCTAGCCCAGGTCTACTTTCCCATTCCAGCAAAATATTTTGGACCCTCATAGTTTGTGACAAAACTACCCAATGCTAACAAATCACCATAAGTGAGACTTCAGATTGTATTAAATTGCTGTAATACTTGGCAGCTAACGGCAAGAACAAATCTGCTATTTAAACATATCGGTTGTGTCTTTTTGTTGACACAGAGCTTTGTTACCATTGCAATGAAAGATTTCCATCTTAGAAGTTATGACTTGGAAATTTTTAAACAGTGGAAACCGGTCAGCTGTGCTTGAAGTTCTGGTAAAAGCGGTGTGATCTGTGGAGGGAGTCCCGCCCCTTGGGCTTTGTTGCATTCAACAAGCATATTTCCAAATCTCCGGTTGGCTGGGCCTGTTCACAGCCCCACCAGCAGCTGTAGCATCGTGGCTGTAGCTCGTTATTTCTGCTCTAAGTCACTGGGAGCTCTCAAAGGGCTGGCCAGGCAACCTGGGGTCTTTTGAGATCACAGAGTCATTCACAAGCTTATGGCTGGCAACTTGCTTACAAGGGTTCTCAATAACTCTAGCAAAAAAATCTAGGAGAAGCAGCTTGCCTGCTTCTTCACGGTTCTGTCTCTAGATTTGTTCTCAGGGTTGTTTTTGTTTTTGTTTTTTTTTTTCCTTCTTTAAAGATTTTGAGAAACAGCTTTACCAGTCCATCTAAAGGAGGGATTCAGATAGCACAGCGAGAGCTGGGCTTTCTTAACACTCTTGCAAGATTGGGAAGCTCACTGGACCAAGATGGCCAGAGTGGTGCACGGCAAGCTATGTATTTGCTATCACAGGCCTAGCCCCTCCCTCAGTTCTTCACTAAAGGGCCGTGATCTCCCAGGCTTTCGCTTCAGTTGTTCTGGACATTAACATCCTGTCTGCCTAAGAATTTTCAGATGCATGTACCTAAGGTCTCTGTTAGCTACTTGTATGCAAGCTCTTACGCTAGCAAGTTGTCTACTCACAGCCAAATATCAACTTTGAAAAGGAATCAAACATTTTCTCACATTTGAAAGAGTTAACAGAGACAGAAAGAGATCTTCTTTCTGCAAGTTCAGACTCCAAATGGCTGCAATGGCCAGAGACAGGCCTGGCCGAACCCAAGAGCTTCTTCCAGGTCTCCCATGACGGGGCAGGAGCCCAAGTATCTTGGCCATCTTGCGCTGTGTCTCCCAGGTGCATCAGTAGGGAGCTGGAACCAAAATGGAGCAGCTGGGACTTGAAGCAGCACCCGAGTCACAGGAGACAGTTGGACGCCCTGTGTAACCATGCTGGTCCAGGATCCGCACGTTTCTTGGATGACACTCCAGCATCTTTGTTCTTGTCATCCATGAGTGGCATTGTGACAATCACCATAGCTCTGCTAAGATGACAGATCAGGAGACTTTGGTGGAAAGTTCACTGCTTTGGTTTGCAGTACGACTGATGTGCTCCCGAAAGGCTCATGCGTGCTGAGCTTGGTCCTCCTCATGGCAATGACGGGCCTGGTGAGAGGCTCTCGGGCCAGCAAGGAGCATGCTCCCACGAAGACCACTCTGGCTTCCTGCTTCTTCCTCTCATGCGCTCCCCCATCAGGTGATGCAGCCCAGAGGGCCGGCACCAGTTTAGGCAAGCACCACACCCTTGACCTTCCCAAAGCCTAATAGTCTTAGCCTGCTGTGATAACACGAAATAGACCCACAGGACAACGAACATAAATTTTTCCAAATATAGCACTGTTAGTTGTCATGACAAAGCATAAACCAGTCTAATGTTATCTTTTACTTTTCCCAAGTATTCCAAATATCTGGAGAGTAAACGGCATGAAAAAGTATGTTGTTTAAGAAAAAAACTGAAAGATATGGATATGTAAAAAAAAAAATAAATCTGTACTTTCAAGCTTAATTCCCTTGGGAATGATTTCAACTTCATTACTGGATTGTAAATAATCCATAATCAAATTTTACCCATTACCTTACACAGTAAGCAAGCAAATATTTATTAATAACAGCTTCTTAGAAGACGTATGGAACTCTACCTTTACATCCATTACAGATGGGAAAACGTAAGGGTCGGGCCTGGTGTGGTAGCCGGCTGAAGTCCTCACCTTGCATACGCCAGGATTCCATATGCGCACCAGTTCGTATCCTGGCTGCTCCACTTTCCTTCCAGCTTCCTGCTTATGGCCTGGGAAAGCAGCAGAGGATAGGCTAAAACCAGAAGACGCTTCTGTTTCCTGGCTTCAGATCGGCTCAGCTCTGACTATTGCTGCTACTTGGGGTGTGAACCAGTGGGTGGAGGATCTCTCTCTGTCTCTCCTTCTCTCTGTAAATCTGACCTTCCAATAAAAACAAATCTTAAAAAAAAAAAAAAGCCGGGGGGGGGGCTTACAAAATACTTGTGATGCAGTGTTAAGATGGAATTATGGAAAGCCTGACTTCAACCTGGCCAAGCACCATTTCTGTGTCACATCAGTGTAAGAACAGATGCGAAATACATGACTTTCAGAGTGGTAAGCTGACATTTTTGCTCTTCTGTTAATGTCCCAAGCTTCGGGATTACCTTGCCTAAATGTCCAGTTTTTTCATCCAGTAAGAACAGCCACCTACTACAACAGATTCATGTGGTTCAAAGACATGTTAATTCATTTTCCAAGGGTAACAGCGACACGGATATGAGACAGAGCTTGCTACAGTTTCCTATAGAACCATGAGCTCCTTGGCCAAAATTTGCAAGAACTGAACTCATGGTATACTGCGGGAAACTGTTCCTCAACCGTTTCTTAAATAATTTCAAATCAGTTACCTCCACCACCATTGATGAGACGGCAGGGAGTCAACAGAATCAATGTGGTGGCAGCTATGTGACTTTTAAAAAGCACTGTATTAGAAGGCTCAGCAAATAAAACAATAAACTAGCGAATGTCTTAATGTCAAAAAATGTTCTGCTGGACTTCCCATGGCTTAGTTTGTTTAGGGAAAATTGTCCAGCCTGAAATCTGAGTAATTCCTTTGTTTAAGAAACAGAAAGGAGGCCTTATTCTTTCCGAAGTTAGCTTAGTGCTGAAGAAAAAGAGAGGTTTTTTTTTTGTTTTTTACTGTGACTCCTATGAAAGCATTGCTCACTATGATGAAGCCATGGCTTTAGGCACACAAATCAACGGCCGCCCAAACAAATCCAATCACACGCATTCAAAACACAGAAAATGTTAAAAGTTAGAGCAAAAAAAAAAAAAAAAGTAAAAAAATAAACTATATGGTCAAATATCAAAGAATGGCTCTTTACTCATCCCTGTTGCAGAAAATGAAGCTTTCAGGACCAGTGTCCTGCATGTGAGCCGCTTTCCTGACAGTGACGGCAGTACCCTAAAAGAAGGCAAAGTAACGGCTCCAGGCCCATCTCTGTGCAGCTGGAGAAGGGGGTAGGAGAAATGGGCTTGCTCCAGATAGGGAGAGGGGACTGCGGATGGGGAGTAGCAGGGAAGAGAACGTTCTATGATCAAGTAGTAAGTAAAAATTACAGGCTGAAGAATATTACTATATAAATTAGCCAAACACTTTATTACAGAGTATGTGTTTATATCAAAAGCACAGAAAGACTTTTATGCTAAAAACCAGGAAGACTGTGATGTTACAGAAGTACGATTCGATAATTCCAGTTCATTTGTATGGGTACCAGGTGCCCGATGGCCTCAGTTGGAACAAGGTACAAATGAGGCCAAGGGCCCAGGTCTGATCATCGTCTGGGTCCCTCAGCATATTGGTTTCTCAAATTGAGACACGTATTACCAATCCCAGCTGGCCATCCTTCAAATATTTACCATGACTCTGAACGGGTACCGAGTCAAAGATTACAATCAAAGCTCACGTTCTTCTGAGTTAGAAGATAAATCCTTAAATGATAGGGACAGCACAATTAGCACTGTAATCTATCTTCTAAATAAAAGAAATCATCAGATATCCTGGCATATTTAAAGTCAATCACATAGAAGTATTAAAGCTTAGAAGCATTCTATGGGAACTGAACTAAAGAGAGGAATAACGAATGGAATAAAAGCTACCATCACCAACCATGATTACCAAATTCTTAGAAACAAGAAGCTGGCAGCTCACAGCAGTTAGCTCCACAAGAGTTCCCTTGCCTTTGAGAAGAAGTCCTTTTGGAAAGGCTATATCAGAGTGAAACAAACAATAGCCATGATTTTAAAAATCAGGTGTTTTTGTTGCTTGTTCTTTCAGCCCCCTTTAAAACTTGTTCCCTGAGAGATCCCGGACCACGTTAAGCAAGGAAACTGGAGGGTGAGCTTAAAGCTGCTCTTACCAAAAACAAAACAAAAGAAAGCAAAACAAGAAGCCTATCATTAGTTTGTAATTTTTATATCCCTATAATCTTTAACATTAAAAAGTCAACAACGTAAAAATACAGTTTTGAGAATACTTTGAAGGTAAATGTAACATTATTCCAAAGTATGTTACAGTCAAGGATTCTATTGACGGTGCCGAAAATACGAATGTAGTATTATTTTTAAAGGACCCCATCTTATTTAGTAGATTACCAACTACTGATTTATTGCTTTTAATGTGACGACACACCAGATCTTTGACAGCTAAATTAGCAGAATACAAGTACATTTTTCTCTTTAATCGTTTTTATAGAGTAGGACATATATACATCCATATAAAAGAGACTGTAGCAGATGCCTCCTAGAATCAACCAGTTCTTGTAAACATTGCATTTGTGCACATTTTCATACTTTGATTCCAAAATAGAGAACAATATTAAGATTAAAGGCAAATTTAGTAGCCAAAAGAAAAAAGTCCAGTTTGACTTCCTGCAACATACGGTATCACTCCTCTCTTCAGAAAACAAAACAAAAAAACCTAGCAGCACATTAAAAAAAGTTACAAAACGTTTCAGTTTTTTTCCGCTCCCATCAAAAACCAAACAAAAATAAAGTGCAGCACCCATAAAAGTGTCAAGAAAATAGCCAAGTTCTTCCTTTCTTGTAACAAAATAGCACTTGGCCTCAGCAGTCTTAACCAAATTATACAGTGTCCATCATTTTGGGTTCATCATCTTCTTTATGTACCACTGAGTTTAAACTGCAGAGAGCTGTATTGGGAGAATACTGAAGATAATCTGGATTCTGGGGAAAAACAGAGAAGGAGCATTAAGAAAACCAGCGGCAGGACAGCTTGGGCAACCGCAGCAAGCAGGGCAGCAGAGGAGGGAACAAAACGGTGGAGTCGCAGCCTCACTGAAACCCACGGACACAGAGCAAGCTGACAACGTTGTTATTTAAGCCAAAGAGAAGTGATGAAAGGCAAGGAGGGATGTGAAAAACAACTTTAATCTTTCTCCTCTTGACAACACTATAATGAATCAAATTGGGCCATATCTTATGTCTTTATATGTACCCCGCTACTGATAATTTAAATGATAAAAACACGATTTTAAGGCAGCAATGTATTTTGAAGATTACTATTTAATTGCACAGGAAATACTAAAAATGCTAAAGGTTTAGAAAAAAGGGAACCATTTACTAAACCTGAAATTCTCAAACCCAAATTTCTGAAGTTGAGAATAAAAGAATAGGCTTCACTTACTTTTAAAACAGAAGTAGAACTTACAAATGCTTTGTATGCTCACTTGTAGAACAAAGAACAGAAAATCCTAATAAACAAATGCAAAACTAAAACCATTACCTCTTAGAGCACCATGGGTAATGACACAGACCTTAAGATCAAGGAATTCAGGAATTTTTTTCCTAAGAATTCAATTTCGTTGACTCAGTTGTCGTGACCATCTGCCAGTTACTTAAATTTCTACTGCTGGACCATCTAGGGTCATTTATGTTGACTTAATGAGGGAAAACAGCCCAAATGGGATAGACTTCTTAAAACCCGCGGATCCACAGGGGTTTAAGAGCCTGCTAATAAAGTACAGCACATTGCAGCTGGAGTACTGCAAGAGCCAAAACTAGCTAGAACTGCATGATTCCCAAACAGGTCTTCATGAAAAAGTGGCACAAATACCTGGTGCAAGTATGGGGCAGGCACAAACTCCTGCCTCTAAAGCTACAATGCTCAAAGCGGAAAAACAGCATCCCAAGGTAATGAAACAGTTACATAAATAGGCTAAACCGTAAGTAACTATGACTCCTGCCTATATGCAACAGGCCCTGGGTTTATTTCACAAGACTACCGTCAATTACAAAAAGAGACTCAGTGCTAAGTGTTACCCAGACAAAAGACTTTAAATTGATAATTCTCCTTCCATTATCCTACTTTCCATTACAGTGTTAAGACCATTTCTGACAATCTAGACCAAATTCCAAAGGCCTTTAGAATAGAGCTTATATGACTTGTTTGGGACTGGGCTAAATTTGCAGAGACAGAATATTAAGTAGTAGAACTGGCTGAAGAGATTCTCTGGAATTCATGCACTCACCCCTCCTGTGAACTTAAGACATTATCAGGGAGAGATTTAGACAAACAAGTTGGGCCATCATGGTGATGGAGCAGGTAAACCACCACCTCTAACACCAGCATCCTGTACAAGCACTGGTTCGTGTCCCGACTGCTCTACTTCTGATCCAGCTTTCTGCTAATGAGCTGAAAAAGCAGTGGAAGAAGGCCTAAGAGTCTGAGTCTGATACCCAGATGGGAGACGCGCAAGAAGCTCTCAGCCCTTGGCTTCAGCCTGGTCCAGCCCTGACCACTGCAGCCCTCTGAGGATTGAACCAGTGCATGCAAGATCTCTGTCTCTTTTGTCCCTTTCAAGTAAATAAATAAATTTCCATTAAAAAGAAAAACAAATAAGTCAACATTCCTAATCTAACCTCAATTTAAATGCTACTGATTACTTCAAATACATAATTATTATTATACATATTCATATGGCTATATAATTCTATTCTATTGTAATAATAACATTACAATAGATAGTAATACTTTTGACACATCTCTTCTTCCACTGACACATCTTTCCCCCACAGAGAAGTCTGAATTCTTCTAGAAAATGTAGCATGAGAGATCCCAATAGAGTCCATGGAAAACGCATGTAACAGAAAAGGGATGTATGAATTTCAATTTTTTTTCACGCATCCAGACATTTGCCTTTCAATTGTATTTCTCCACAAACACTGCCGAAGTAGCCCTGTTAGCACTCTACAGTAGGGAGCTGGCGGTGAAGGACAGGTACTCAGGACTAGGTGACCAGCTCTGTCACCTGCCCAGATAATGATGAGACTGCACAATAGGGACAACTGACGGGACCCCAATGAATGGGTTAGGTAGACTGTTATTTGTGTGTTTTAATAAGTCTTTCTCGGATCGTGTCTTATAGTCCTAAAGAAATGAGTAAATGAGTTCTGAACAATCTTCTCATCCAACTCTCAACTTCAAGCAAATTATTTTAACCTCCAAAAATTGCAGTTTACTCATCAGAGAGTTTTGGATAAGATTACTTGTAACCTACACAGTGACAGAAAAATGGGATGGTTTTGAAAGGAATGATTTTCTTTCAAACTCTGTCCCTGCACTGGTCTTGCTTCCTCCTGTTCCCCTCAGCTAATTGGTACCCTTACTGTACCTGTAAGTGAAATCTCCAGCCCTTCCAGGCTGCCCCAATGCTCACAGTAAGAGGACATGGTCTGCACAGGGATATTTATCACATCTGAACAACCCTGATAAACCAACTGTCCTTACTTTAACTCTAGCCCCTCCAGTGACTTCATTATAGCAGATGAAGTCAGTTGCTACCTGTTATGTTCAACAAGAATGTCTCAGAACTTTCGGTAATCATTGCCATCTGCATATCTTTTTCCCTCTTAGGTTTAGAATAATGACATCCTTCAAAAGCCATCTTTCCCTTTGCATGAATTATGTGACATCTTGTGTTTGACAGGTTTACAAACTGACAATGATTATAGTAAAATCCCCTTGGAGAAATCAACTCCCCAGGGGCTGCTTCTCAGGAACCGAAGAGGAAAAAAACTACAAGAAGAGATAATCTGTAGGAAACAGGCAGAGGAGGCATTCCCACATGTCTAAGAGGGAACATTATTAATTATTTTTAAAAAATCAGACCTTGATGAATTACTTCCATATCGTAGAATAACTGAGCTGAATATGATGTACTGCTTTCCTTAAAGGACACATAACCAGACAGTAAAATTACAGTGACGTAAAGACATGGGAATCGCACTTTCTCCCACTTCACCAGGTTCAAAGGTAAATATACAAGATCTGCCTCACACTGTCTTCTCAAAAACCCTTTCCTTCTCATGATGGGAACCACAGAGCAAATGGCTAAACTTCTCCGAAAATCCTGCAACTTGAAAACTTAGAGGGGCTGGGTGTAATTTTTAAAACTATTACTGGGGTTGGAGCTGTAGCATGGTGGGGGAGCTGCTGGCATCTCATATGGATGCCAGTTTAAGTGCCAGCTGCTCCACTTCCCATCCAGCTCTCTGGTTATGCGTCTGGGAACACAGCAAGAAGACAGCTAACGCACTTGGGTCCCTGCACTGACATGCGACACCTGGATGAAGTTCCCGACTCCTAGTTCAGCTTGGCTGCACCCTGGCTGTTGTGACCATCTGGGGAGTGAACTAATGGTTGGAACATTTTCTCTCTCCTTCCATAACTCTGCCTTTAAAATAAACAAATCTTAAAAACAACAAAACTTAAAAAAAAAAGATCGGGGACTATGTAACAATAAAACTGTAATCCTTGGACCCAGTACAATGGCTCAATTGGCTAATCCTTCCCCTTCAAGCGCTGGGATTCCATATGGGCACCAGTTCATGTCTTGGCTGCTCTCCACTTCCCATCCAGCTCCCGGCTTGTGGCCTGGGAAAGCAGCGGAGGACGGCCCAAGGCCTTGGCCCCTGAACCCACATGAATGACCCAGAAGAAGCTCCAGGCTTCAGACAGGCTCAGCTCCAACCGTTACAGCCACTTGGGGAGTGAACCAGCAGATGGAACATCTTCGACTCCCTCAATCTCTGTAAATCTGACTCTAATAAAAATAAATAGATATTTTTAGAAAACACCGTAATTCTAAGTACTATGAGGCAGACCCTGGATATGTACTCTTTTTGATGTAAATTCTTTTGCAGAGGTGACAGAGTGATTTTTAAAATTTTGGTCTAATAGCAGATATCATATTTACTCAGTTGATTAATCTTACAAAATTGTTTCCTGAATTACATTAACATATACAATTTCTTGGTAATATGTGCCACTTAGGATGTTTAATGTATGTGCAACAAGGAATGAAATAGTAATAAATAAATTGACCCAACAGAGCATGCCTGCTGCCACTTTCATGTATGCTTCGAAGCTGCTTCACTTCATCTTGAAAAACTCCCAACGCTGCACAAGACATCCTGAAGAGCTGCAGTAACTACCGCTAGGTCGCCGCTGCCTTTAAGAGTGTTTAGATGGGGTCAGTGCCACGAGACGGCAGGCGAAGCTAAGTCTGCAAGCTGGGATGCCGTAAGGGTGATGGTTTGAGTCCCTGCTGTTTCACTTCCAATCTGGCTCCGTGCTAATGGCCTAGGCAAAGCGGCAGAGCTGGCTCTGCCACCACTGCAGGAGACCCGGAAGAGGCTCTCAGTGTTGGCCTGGCTTATTCCTCGCTATGTGGGGAGAGAACCAAGGGTTGGGAGATCTCTGTCCTAAATAATCAAATGTATCTTTAAAAAGAAGGTTTAGATGGAAGTCATTAAAAGGAGATGGTGCATCTTTATATACTTAAAAGGCCCAAGTGTTTCAATGCCAAAATATGGAACACGTTTAGAACACGCATATGTCTTATACCCCGAAGCAAGAATATTTTAAATGGTCAAACATATATTATATTTAAGAAGAAAGAGTAGTCCATAAGAATGAAAGTTATGTGAGCTGATTGGCTTGTAAAGGTACTTTTCCAACTTACCTGTGGTAAGGATTCTAATAAACCTATTGATCCAACACCAGAATGGGGAACATGATTCTGAACTGTCACAGGTTGAAAATTTTGGGATTGAGAATAAAGTCTGACTCTTGACTTGAAAGCTTCAAGTTCATTTTTGAATGCTTCAAAATATCCTTCTTCTTCTGCCTAGAAAACAAATGCACACAAAATGTACTTTCCAGGATTTATAGAGCACACAGTAAATTCTACAAAGCATTTACCAATATGAAGGACATGAAGATAAAATGAACACATCAAATGCAGAAACCACCATGAAACTACTTGTTTATAAAAACACTAATGGTTCGTTCAAACTCTTTTTATTTCAATGAAACAAATAACTCCTTCCCACAAATACACATACAACTGTTAATAAAAGAAAAGTAAGCTTTCTCTTATTTCCCTCAGCTCCTACCTCAACAGGACCTAAAAAAAAAAAAACCCTCACTTGTCCTCTATCCTTTGCCCACTGCCAAAGGAACGCTGCTAAAGCCTGTTAATCCCCCATCAGTTAGTGATGAGGCACCATTACCTGGATCTGCTAAACAGAGAACCTGTGTCCTCTATCTGTCCAAGTTAGGAGAAATCAAACAAAATTCAGCACTCAACTTCATGCTGGGAATATCCAAATGTTCTAGTTGTGCGAGTTTCTAAGCAAACAGTACGGTTACTAAGCTGAGGAAGGAGAACTCTCAGGCATCCAATGACGTACCAAACAGGCATCATTCTTGAATCAAAATTCCCTACAGGCAGTGACATGTTTAGAAAGGAGCCTGCTCCATACCGAGGAATCAGAGAGCATATCCCAGGGCAACAGAACATGGGCTTCCAGTGTAAGCAGCAGCAGCCTCATGGAGCAGCTCACATGGAGCTCAAGTTGAGTAATCACACTAAAACCTGCAGATCAACATCTATACAACAAATGCAGGCAATGAATAGCTTCCTTAACTGCATTTTAACATCCCATCCCAGTCAATACACGGTACCTAGAATGAACATGTGGAACTTCAGCCTTTTGCCTCAACTCATCTTTCTGAAAATCAAGCAGCACATCTGCTCATCCTGCTAAAAGCCTCAAGCATATAGATTTAGGTCTAGAGTTGACTCAACCGACTTCATTTTAGGAAGTCAACAATAGACCATTTGTTTAATTCCTTTATGTCAATTTCCTCACCTACACTATAAAAATAGTAACCCTCATAAAATGTTAGTGAGGATTTAATGAGCGAATGCATGGTAAGTGCATAGAACAGGACTTGGCGCAAGTAGGCATCCCATCAATGTTGCTACTACTTAATTTTTTAATATTTATTTTATTTGAAAGGCAGACGAAGAGAGTCAGAGAGGTCCTTCACCCACTGGTTCATGCCCCAGATGGTCAGAGCTGAGCTGATCCAAAGCTAGGAGCCAGGAGTCACCCATGTCGGTGCAGGGTCCCAAGGCCTTGGGCCTTCCTCCACTGCTTTCTCAGGCCACAGGCAGGGAGCTGGATGGGCAGTGGAGCAGCCGGGGCATGAACCAGTGAGCATTTATAGGTGCAAGCATCGCAGGCAGAACACTGACATGCAACACCACCACGCCAGCCCCTATTACTTAATTAAAAAAAAAAAAAAACTATTATTAGGAACACTGTTATAACTGAAGATTTCAGTGCCTTTCAATTCTATTCTGTCAAAACACATTTCAAAGAATACAGTTTGAACCTATTTCATTTCTTACTAGGTAGCAGTTTAAACATGCCCATTAATACAAGATGAAAAGGCAAGCATGCGGAGGGGATGTGGAGTTAGCTTAGTGGTTATGATGCAAATTAGGACACTCATGTCCCACGCTGGAGTGTCATCATTCAGCTCGCAGCTCCAGCTCTGACTCCAGTGTCTGCCAACAGACCCCGTGGGAGGCGGCAGCACTGCTCAAGCAACTGGTTTCTTATCACCCACGTTAGGGACCTAGAGGACTGCCTCCAACTTTAGCCAAGCCCCGCCCTGTCCTCTGCGAGCATTTGGGGGAGTTTGCCAACAGATGGGAACACTAACTTCCAAACAAACAGAGCAAGTTTTATTTCTCCTACAGGTCAAGTTAACATGCTAGTCACAATTGGCCTAACTCAGTAACTTGATCACTCAAGATTTAGTGTTTCAGGAAAATTTCCCATTTAAGTTGCGGAGCAGAAGAAATTTAGGGCATTTAAGGCAAAATCGCTACCACGCAACTGGCACTGTGCATAACGGGTTAAGCCACTGCCTGCAACGCTGGTACCCTTGGTTTGACTCCCACTGCTTCATTTCTGATCCAACTCCCTGCTGATGCACCTGGGAAAGCAGCACTTACGTGGGAGACCCTGAGGAAGCTCCTGGCTCCTGGCTCTCAGCTGGCCTAGTCTTGGCCATAGCGGCCATACAGGGACTGATCCAGTGGATGGAAGAGCTACCTCAGTCTGTTCCTCTTTCTCTGTGACTTGCACCTTTCAAATAAGTCTTTTTTTTTTTTTTCTAAAAAAGGGGTTGAGGATGGAGAGAACAACTATCAGCTTATGTTTAAAATTTAAAAATGTAACATTTTTCTTCACTGATAAACTGAAATGCTCTTTGGGTCCAGCGCAATAGCCCAGTATTTTGGCTGGTTTTATAACTTTACTTAATTGAGATGGAGAGACAGACAAGATGCCTGTAAGAGCCCAGGCAGGACACTGAAGCCAGCAGGGGGAACAGAATCCAAGGCCCTCGTGTGTGCCAGAGACCAGCTGTCTGAATCATTACCAGAACCTTCCAGGGTTGTGAATATCACATTATTGCAAACTCCCATGCACATGTGCTAACTGGTATCTTATTAGGTCAGATGCCCGTAAGTGTATACTTTAACTGCAAAAACCCTACTCTGTGCCCAGAGAAACCACATTCCAGAGCCTTCCCTCTTCCCAGAGATTCCCAACCGACTTCGGTCTTTTTACTTTTGCCTGTAGTTCTAAGGCTTGTCTATGTGTCCCTCAAATACGTAGCTAAGTTTTGCCTGCTATATATATATAAAAGGAAATATTTTAAAATATAAACCTTACCGAGTACAGAAAATTTTTAGAAAATGATTCTGGATGTATCATTCTGTGGATCATTTTAAGCACTTTTTATTTTTACCCATGCTGATGCATTTTACCAAATGACTATACTCAACTGTTCAAACTACTAACTGCTGGGCACTGAGTTGTTCCCTGTATTAAGAACAACTTCACTACAGAGATGCCAGCTAGTGCACGTGGGTAATGATCGCTGTAGGGTAACAGTCACCTCTAACGCTAGGAGCCTTCCACATGCCACCATGCACACTTTGTCATGGGGCTGGCAGGGCACAGTGGGTTAAGCTGCTCCCCATGACACTAACATCCCATATCAGAGTATCGGTTTAGGTCCCAGATGCTTTGCTTCTGATCAGCTCCCTGCTAAAGGACACTGGAAAGCAGAGGATGGCCCGAGAGAGTGGCCCGTCACCTCCCACACTAGACACCCAGCAGGAGTTTTGGGTCCTAACTTTGCCCTGATGCAGCCCCGGGTGCTGCAGCTATTTGGGGAGCGAACCACCGAAAGGAAGATACTGTGTTATTGTGTGTGTGTGTGTCTATATGTTTGTAAGTGTGTATCTGGTCTAAATAAATGAAACCAAGAGCTTCTGTTCGTTTGTTTACTCCAGGCTGAAACCAGGAGCTTTATCCAAGTCTCCCGCGGGGGGTGGCAGAGGTCCTTCTTCTTGGTCCATCCTCTGCTGCTTTTTCCAGTGCATTAGCAGGGAGCTGGATTGGAATTTGAGCAGCCAGGACATGAACAGAAGGAGAAACAGAAAAAAAGGGAGATCTTCAAACTGCTGGTTCACTCCCCAAATGCCTGCCACAGCAGGGCTGGGCCAGGTCATAGCAGAGAGCCAGAAACTCCACCGGGGTTTCCTACACGGCCACCATCCACGCGCCTGGGCACAGGAGCAGGCAGCCTGACCGGAAGCCAAGGCGGGACTAATCTCAGGCACTCTCATGCGGCAGCTGCTGCATTTTTAAAAAAACCACTCCTTCACTGACAGTTTAGATGGCTTCCTCTTTCCCTGCCAAGCTTTGATGGCTCATTAACTGTGTCTGTTATCAGTTCTGTTCAACACTGTATCCTCAGTATCAGAAAGAACTGTGCTTTTGCATCAGCAGGCACTCAGTGTGGACTGACTCAAAACACGGGACCATCCCAAGGCTCACGCACTAACTTCAGGTTTACACACATGCTCCACTATGAACTCTTATATTGCTCCTTGACGTCTCAACTGGTACAAAACCAGCTTTATTACAAATGGACTCTTGAGGAAAGCTATACAACTGAACCCGTGGGCGTCCTGGTGGTCATCTTTTCTGGATGTTTATTACAAAGGAGGTTTCAGCTAAGACCTGACTTTCCCATCTAGTATTATTAAATAACTACTTACTTTGGCTTTCTGGAAAAATAAACGAAAACACCCTCTCGGATCCACATTACAGTTTTTGGCCATTTCCATAATAAACTGCATTACAACAGCTTGATGTGCTATTTGTTCCATTAAAGCCCCTTTCTGAAAATAAACAGATCAGAGTTACATAAGAAATGCAGCTAATTGCTAAACTGACTCAAACTTCGGATTTTTAGAGTAATTTGATTTTTATTTCTAATTCTAAGTCAAATTCTATGCAGACACATTAAGAGTATTTCTTAGTTTGGATGTTTTTTGATTATTTGTGAACCAGAAAAATTAAAGGAGAATCACACTACTAGTTTAACATTGTGGTTACAGTTTGGATTTGTAAAACACACCATTAACTAGTTAAAAAATAAAAGGTTACAGTATATGGGAATAAGAACACTGAGAAGTGGCAGAAAAATACACTGGAAAGCTGAAGAACTAAAACTTGTCATATCAAAATTCAAACTTACAATTTCATTCCCTTAGATAATAACAAAAAATAACCCCCAAAACCAGTAACATTAGGATCAGAATTCCACACAAGTTCCCAGAACCTCAAGGTTCATATAATACCTGTTCAGCTTCTAGGTGAAAACACCATAAAATAAGATATTGAGCGGTTTCTTCACATACAAGGTACGGGTGGTCAGACAAAAACCTCTGACTATCATCCCAACGACTCAACATACCTGTAAAAAAAGAATTCAACTGTGGATATAAAATACTATCTTTCTTCCCATAAGGAAAGAAATGTTACTTTAAAATGATTCTCTTTAAAAAATAATTGGTATTTCCAGGGGCATATACATTATGGTAAAAGAGCAAACGAAGAGGAATAATATCCTATGAAGGAAAGCTCTGGAAATTCACAGGAAGTGTTATTTCCCACAGTAAGACCAGCAAAGGGTGCTCACCAAAAGCCTGCCTGGGGGAGCGCCTGCAGTCCCAGGTCACTCTGGTTCCAAGCACAACCAATTTCAAGAGACTCAATTTACAGTAAAAGTGAGAAAACTGCACCAGAATTGTGGTGCAGCAAGTTAGTCAACCATGCGCGGTGCTGGCATCCCATATGGGTGTGGGTTTGGGTCCTGGTTGTTTCACTTCCTATCAAGCTCTCTGGTGATGCACCTGGGAGAGCAAAGAGAGATGGCGCTAGTGCTTGGGCCCCTGCACCTGAGTGGTGATGCTCCAGAGGAAGCTCCCGACTCCAGGCCTCAGCCCTGGCTGTTGTGGCCATTTGGCAAGTGAATCAGCATAGACACGAACTGGCACTCCGATCTGGGATGCCGGCACCTGTAAGTGGCAGGTTAGCCTTTGTACTACAACACCAATCACTGACTCTGCCTGTAAGACGCCATTCTGTTGTCTATGATTCTACATAAAAAAAAAAACATATAAACTCAGTCAACACCCCCTCTGCCAAGCCTTAACTTCCATCAATCTCCATCATACTCCTTTTTTCCCAAAACAAAAAGTATCTAAGGACTGTGAATTGCAGCATAGCAGGTAAAGCCACTCTCCAAGACGCCAGCACCTCATGTGGGTACCAGCTAAGAGTCCTGGCAGCTCCCTTCCCATCCAGCTCCCTGCAGATATCCTTGGAGAAGTAGCAGAAGATGCTCCAAGTACTTGGGTAAACCAGGGACCAGCTCAGGTTCTGGCCTAGTTGTGTCCTGGCTGCTGCAGCCAGCTGGGGAGTGAATCAGCAGGCAAAGATATTTCTCTCTCCCTCTCTTTGCAACTCTTTCAAATACATAAATAAATTTTAAACACTTTTAATTGATAAATACACTAATAGTAGACTTATTAGAACAATAGTTCAACAATCTACCTGCATTATACAAGGATTCTTCAAAATTTCTTTTTTTTTATTTTTTTTTTTTTTTATTTTTTAAAGATTTATTTTTATTATTTTTTCATTGGAAAGGCGGATATACAGAGAGGAGAGACAGAGAGGGAGATCTTCCATCCGATGATTCACTCCCCAAGTGAGTGCAACGGGCCGATACTATGCCGATCCGAAGCCAGGAGCCTCTTCCGGGTCTCCCACGCGGGTGCAGGGTCCCAAAGCTTTGGGCCGTCCTCGACTGCTTTCCCAGGCCACAAGCAGGGAGCTGGAAGGGAAGCGGGGCTGCCGGGATTAGAACCGGCGCCCATATGGGATCCCGGGCGTGCAAGGCGAGGACTTAACCACTTGCGCCACCGCGCCGGGCCCGGATTCTTCAAAATTTCATGGGAAGGCTTGGTGCAATAGCCTCGCAACCAAAAGTCCTTGCCTTGCATGTACCAGGATCCCATATCCCATATCCTGGCTGCTCCACTTCCCTTCCACTCTCTGTTTGAGGCCTGGGAAAGGAGCTGAGGACGGTCCAAAGCCTTGGGACCCTGCACCTGTGTGGGAGACTCAGAAGAAGCTCCCGGCTCCTGGCTTCATATTTGCTAAGCCCTGGCTGATCTTGGAGAGCGAACCAGCAGGTGGAAGATCTTTCTCTGTCTCTCTTTCTCTCTGTATATCCGCCTTTCCAATAAAAAACAAATAAATCTTCAAAAAAACTTCATGAGAAATAGAATTAAAAGTGGTTTATTTTAAGATGTTCTGGGAACCTTTTAAAGTTTTTATTTATTTACTCATTTTTCATTTGAAAGGCAGAGACAGAGTCTTGCATTCATTGGTTCATTCCCCAAATGAACCCCAACAGTTGGGGTTGGGACAAGCTGAAGCCATGAGCTGGGACCCAATCCAGATCTCTCCCGAGGCCGGTGGAGACACAGGTTACCACTGGCTGTCTATGAGTGTAAGATTAGCACGGAGCTCTGACATGGACCCAGGCACTACAATAGACACATCTAAACATCTGGACCAATTTACTATCCCACAAAACATTCAAATCCATGCATCTGAGGGCCTTTGAAAAGTTCACCGAAATGTTATTATGAAAAAGTTAGGTGTTTCAATATTTTTGAACAAAAATAAACAATCTTTTTAAATTTACTTTTTGAACTATTCTTGTACAGCAGCATACACAAAAACCTGAAAAAATGCTCATGTTTTAACCAGAAGCACATTTGAATCAGATAGAAAGGGAGAAAGAAGCAAAGACAAAAAATTAGTTGAGAAGTAGAAAGAGAATAGGGAATACAGGCTATTTCAGAGGTCAGTAACACACAATACATTTTGCTTCTCTTCTCCACTTGGCTGGCTCTGTTAATCCATTTTAACTAGTCCTCCCATCACCCCCCACCCAAAAAAAGTCTAAAACAAGATCTGTGTAACTTTACCAGACACAACTGCAACAGTGGAGTTGACCATGTATAACACCTTGTTCTCATTTTATAAATTCCTTTCTTGTAAACATCTACAAGACACCAAACCATGATGAAGAAGGAAATTTAAGTAGCTCACTTACCAAAATGTCTGATTTTTTGCTCATATTTCTGCATAAATGATTTTGATTTATCTTCATCTTCTGTTTCTTTTCTTTTATCTTGATTAATGAAACTCTAAGAAAAAAAAATTACAATTAAAATCAGGTTTTAGATTACAATGAAAACATTTTTCCCAGATGCCGAATGCCTCTCCGTTCTTCCTGCAGACAATATAAAAACCCAGGGTGCTATGACTCTGACCCTGCATTAAACCTGCTCAACTCTTCATTCAAAGAAATTAGTATTTTCTTGTTTGGAAGTTCCATTAGGCTTGCAAAATGATATTTGAAATCTATGTGGAAAATCAGACATTTATCATAGGAATTACACAGAAAAACAAATGAATCTTTTTGTTGAGATGTATTTTACTATTAAAGATCCTTTCATTTTTAATGATTTCTTTTATTAATATACAGATTTGATGAATCTCAGACACAATTCTCCAAATGCAGCTAAACTTTGTGCTCTTTTTACCTCCCTTCCAATTTTTCTTCTATTATTTTTTGCCATAGCATCCTCTCAATTTACTTTACAATTACAGACTCAATGCTCCTCTAAAGGGAACTCCGCAGTAAAAAATTGACCACTGCTCCACAGGTGTATTAGAAACAATAAAGAAATCACCAAAAAACAAAGAAACTGACATCTCACTCGCATACACTGTGGGTTTTTGCACTCTGTTAGCCGCCACAGATCAGAGAGAGCATGATACTTGTCTTTTTGGGTCTAGCTTACCTCACTAAGATTCCTTCAATGCCTAATCTGTGGTTGCATTATTCATTTCCTACAAACATTTGCAACTCTGACCTAATCACGGCATTCTAAAGCATACTTACTACAGAATTATTTAATAAAATGCAAATTAGAAATAGAGTTTGATTTCATTTCTAATAAATTTGTCTTGGGGGGGGCAGTTTGATTCCTGAGACCAAGTACAAATTTCTATTGAGGAAATGCTTATTTTCAATTAATCATAAAATCAGACCAAAAAATCACGTTGTAATCTAGCCATCGAAATGAGAACAGCCCTGAGAATATTCTGGGCTTGCATTTGTCCCCTGATACCATCACTGCCAACCCGCGAAAATCACAAACTAACTCTGCGCCGACTTACAACCAGGGAGCACACAAAAGCTCCCAGTTTCTGAGACAAAAGCATTCTTCTCCTTTCTATTCTGCCATCCAGACCAGCACTGCCCAGCAGAAACATTCCAAATCACAGACGTTCATTTACATTTTTTGTGGGCCACATTAACACAGAACCGTAAGACTGGTAACCTATGCTATTTAAGACATCTGACGTATTATCACTTCGCCGTGTGAGCAGCTCGGCTGACTTCTTTTGGGCACCTGATTGGAACCTGCCGTGCGCTGTACCCTTACAGCACGTCTCCATCGGACTAGCCGCACGCCAAGCGGCCAGAAGCACCTGCGGCTCGTGGCTATGGAGACGGACCGGTCCTTTCCAGTCTCAGGCCCCAGGCAAACGCAATGCACGACCTGGGCAAATGACTGCAACATCAACAGTCCTGATTAACACGGGACGGAAGTAGGCTATGTCAGAAGCTAAGTTTAAAGGAACAACTGAAAACAAAGGCAAAATGAAAATATTTTTTCCATGACTATGGTATTACAAAAGGAGACATTCATTTTACGGAAATAAAGAAACATCACTTGGATCATTTCCTCTGAAAGAAAAAAATTACTTTTTCAGCAGAAAAAAAAATGAGCATCAAAATATCCATACTGAACATCGTGTTCATGGATTTAATTGCTAATGTTTTTCCAAAGTCAGGCTTAATTCAATATAAGGAACTTTCTGCTTTCTCATGCATTTTTAAAATCTAAATCTCCAATGGAGAACAGCAGTTCAAAACACTGAGGAGTTTGAGAAACCCGGCATTGCACAAAACCCAACCAGACCGATGATTTGCATTAATGCAGGCAATGGGGGAAAACTCATTTTGATTAGTAATGGACATCATTTTCATTCTTAAAAGCATCTTTTTAATTAATTAATTTGAAAGAGACTACAATTTAGCTTATGAAATATTTTAGGGCCCAGTGCTGTAGCCTAGTGGCTGGTGTCCTCACCTTGCACACCCACGATCCCATATGGGTCTAGCTCGTATCCTGGTTGCTCCACTTCCCATCCAGCTCCCTGCTTGTGGCCTGAGAAAGCAGTGGAGGATGGCCCAGAGCCTTGGGACCCTGCACCGGCCTGGTGGACCCAAAAGAAGATCCTGGCTCCTCGTTTCAGATCAACTCAGTTCCAGCCACTGCAGTCACTTGGGGGAGTGAACCAAAGGATGGAAGATCTTCCTCTCTGTCTCTCCTCTTCTCTGTAAATCTGACTTTCCAATAAAAGTAAATAAATCTTAAAAAAACAGTTTTTGTAATGCATCCTAATAACTATATGTAGAGCCAAAACACAAGTTTTACGATACAATACTGATCCTAAGTAGGGTGCCTTCTGTTCTTTTCTGCTCAGTTAAATTTGTTTCCTTATCTATTTAAGAAATGACTGATTCCACTTGAGAGAGACAGAATATGATTGACTGGTGCATCTGCTGGTTCACTCCCTCCACGCTTGCACAGGGGCAGAGGTCGCAGCAGGAACCGCACCCAGGTCTGCTGCCACGTGGGTGACTGAGCCAGCTGCCTGCCTCGCAAGGACGCACGTGCAGGAAGCTGTAGTCAGGGGCCACAGCCAGGGTAAACCAAGGCAGAACGACATGCATCGTGGGCACCTTCACCATGAGGCTAGAAGCCTACCTCTCCTCTTGCTCTTTTTACGATTTTTTATTTCAAAGAGTTACAGAGACAATCTTTCATCTGCTGCTTCACTCCCCGGGGCATACCAGCCAGTGAGGGGTCAGGCAGAGGCCAGGAGCTCCTTCCCGGTCTCCCCCTGGGTGCAGGAGCCCTATTCCTTGAAGCACCCCTCCCTGCTTTCCTGTGTGCCTTAGCAGGGAGCTGGCTGGAAGCAGAGCAGCTGGGACGTGGGTCTGTGCTCTAATTTGGCATCACAGTGCTGCAAGTGGAAACGTGACCCACTGCGCCACAACGCCACCCTATCCTCCCCTTTTCATAATACTTGGAATATACCGGGTTATTTCACAACCTGCCTGCATCGGTCACGGCCTCACAGTTTGAAGAACAGCACTCCTCGGTACTCTTCCAGCAACTCTCTTATGATTTTATTCTAATTTAAATCCACTTCCTTCTTCAGATACATGAGTCAAAGAATAAGCTTATATTAGCATATTCTAACACAACGTAGAATACTTCACTTAGGAAACCACTAACTTGGCAAGAGCACTGTACTATTTAAGTGACAGACAAATCTGAATGATTTTGCTTTGTATTCTAAAACAGAGAAGCTAACAGCAGGGCATCACAAACGTGCCCACCGCACCTGCTTTGCCACGCACTAGGCTCTAGGTTGCCACGTTTTTATTTAATCTCCACACTCACCCTACATAATTGAAGACACAACTGCTCAAGAGACTTCAACGACTTGCCCAAGACTACAAAGCCAGCACGCGACAAGGCTCAGGATGGTGGCTGTGACTCCAGAGCCGACCTTGAGTCAGTAGACCACGCTGTGGTCACGTGATTCGGTCAAGGCCTACCCAGATCAGACACTGCTGGGGACTTGGCACAAGCTGTCCGAAGTGAATGTTTCTGATGCTGCTGCCTAACCACCAAATCTGCACACCCGGTTAGCACAGATACTCCAGGTCTCTTTTCATTCTTGCTTCCTTCCTTTCTTTATGGTCCCTTAAAAGGTCATACCTTATTAAAAACATCCTTGCTAATGGCATCCACGTTCCACAAACACATCCTCTCTCTCTGCACCAGGGCCTCCTCCTTCTGCCGCCACTCCTCCTCCCGCTGCCGCAGCTCGGAGACGGCTGTCTGCGCCGTGGCTTGCTCCTGATCCAGGGACTCGGAGTTGTGAAGCGCGAGGCTGCCCAGTTTTTGCTGGGCTTCGGCGAGATTCCACTTGCAGGCCACAGAGCTCTTCATGCACTCCGTTTGCTTCTGGCAGGCCAGTTCAATCCCATGGCCATACAGCTGCATGGAAACACAGCAACCGTGAGAAAGGAAGGCGATGCACATGGCTGTGTAACAACAGCTCGACTGCGTTTTTTTCTTCCCCACTAGACTTCTGTACAAGGTTTTTGATGTACCAAGTACTTTGCGTTCTGCACCTGCAGTTACATTTTTGTATCACAGGCCTTGTTTCATCAACCAGACTCAGTTTCTTGCTTCATCTATGTCTCTCTCCAACCAAATAATAGCAACAACAACAAAACGGTAACTATGGCAATGTCCTGAATACAGCTGGTGCTCAACAAACATCTCATTTAGTCTTCATAATCCTGAACCGGCAGAATAACGGGATCAAGATGAAATCTACTTCAAGACTTCAATATTCCACGTGAGGAAAACTACACCTGAAGAGCCCTTGTCTTCAGGTTCTCCTTGAAATGAAAGCTAATCAGGGCTTGCTGTTTTTCTTTCTGTATTATTCCAACCCTCAGTGATGTAAGAAATTGCTATCAGAAACAGCTTCTGGAGGCCAGTGCAGTGGCACAGTAGGCTAAGCTTTCATCCACAGCACCAGTTTGTGTCCCACAAACTGTGGCTGGCCCACACTTGATCCAGCTCCCCTCCCTCCATCCACCGCTTATGACCTGGGAAGACAGTGGGGGTCAGCCTGAGGCCTCGGAACCCTGCAACCCTGCACCAAGTGGGAGACCCAGACAAGCTCCTGGCTCCTGTATCACCTCAGCTCCGGCCACCCAGTGCAGCCACTTGGGGAGTGGACCAGCTGATGCAAGATCTTTCTCTCACTCCTCTCACTCCATCTCTCTGTAATTCTGCCTTTCAAATAGAAACAAACATTTTTTAAAGTTTCTATCAGGTACCTCTGATTCCAAACTGAATAGGCAAAGTTACTACTTGGTAAAATGCTAGCTGGTTCACTCCGGTGACTTCTTCTCAGCAGTATTTATTAGTGGAAACACTTAATCATTCTACATAAACCACTGTGATTTTTAATTCCCCACATTCTTTAGCTCTATAAAACAAAAGCTGAAGGCACATTCTGACATACTGGTCAAACAGTGACCAGTCTCAAATTACTTATTTAGAGTTATTTCTGGGATGTGTTGGCACGTCAGGCCACTCCTCTCCCTCCAAGCACCTGCATCCCACATAGGCACCAGCTCGCATTCCAGTTGCTCCACTGCTGGTGCAGCGCCCTGCTTGTGGCCTGGGAAAGCAGTAGAGGATGGCCCAAATTCTTGGGACCCTGCCCCCATGCGGGAGATCCGGAAGAAGCTCCTGGCTTCTGCCTTTGAGTTGGCTCAGCTCTGACCATACGAGCCATCTGGGCAGTGGTCCAGCAGATGAAAAATCTTTCTGTCTTTCCTTCTCTCTGTAAATCTGCCTTTCCAATAAAACTAAAAATAAATGTTTAAAAAAAAAGAGAATAATTCCACTCTGATCTGTTTCCATATTTGCATATCTATTCAAGTCCTTATCACTTCACATCTGAATTACTCAGGTAGAAATACAGTCTCTTTTTATCCTTAGTCATTCTCCATCCCACTAGACTGGAGCGCGCTTCCTGAAAACCAAATCTCATCTTACTCATTCTCCAAGTCTTTTGATAAAGTGAAACCTGAGGTCTCTCCCAATGGCATTCCCCAGTCTCTCCTCACAGTTCCTGACTCTCTACTGTGTGTCCAGTCACCCCATTCCCTCCCCGCCATGACAGCTGCGATGCTGCACTCCTTCTCCCCCCAGGGAATTGCCATCTCCACCGCAGACCCTGGCATCCCCGAGGCCTGTCCTTGCCCAGGGTCTCCCACCCAGATGCGGAGTATGCGTATTTCCACTGTGGTGTTTTTCTACACATCACTGTGCTTATCTGTGCATCCAACTCTCAGTCTGCAGTGGGGAGCCAGAATCCAACTGTGAGATGAACAGATAAGCCAGGCTGGCAGTGGTAGAGTTTGGAGGTGAGGAACCAGCAAGGCCCCTCTTCTCCAGCCAGGTCTTCAGGCAAACTCAGGTTTCAACCAGAGCAAGCGTGCACACAGTTAGCTATTCAGACGCTATTTACTCTTTCAGTCCAGGTTCCACACATCATGTCCCTAACTAACCAACTAAAACATTTACTTCACTTTTAGCTATCTTACAAAGTGATCAGGTGTCACTGTGAGCCAGCTATGCTTAAAATGGGGCTGGGACAAAGAAAACCCAAGCCATAAAACTTATTTTGCAAGGAATATCAAGATGTATCAAGAAAGGCAGCATAAATAAGTGGGAGTATCCTGCATTTTCAAATTACATGGGAGCACATGTTTATTACTCAAGTCGGATGAATTCTAAAAATGATTTATGCTCAAGTTCTCCTCCACAGACTATCCAGACAACACGTGGCCTCTAAATTCCCTAACATGTGCTCAGATGATTAAAAAATTCAGGCACATTTTAATCCGCGAACACAGAAAACTCTAAGAGGAACACTAAAAGAGTTGTATTTTCACGAACATAAATTCTGCAAAAGTAACTGTTAGCACTAAGATCTGCTAAGGTAACTTTGTGTCAAAAATCTCCAAGATTATTTACATTCCGAATCCATCTTTAGATCTAGTACATGATGATGCTGAAATTCTCTGTAACGGGCAAATGTCAAACCAGACCTTTGAAAGCTTTTAAAAAGTGTTTTCAAATGCCTGTATACTGGGCTAAAGATTTCATTCTTCCCAAAAGTGTAAGTCTTAAAGTCAGAAAGCTGAGTAAGTAGGTATGTAAAAAAAAAAAGGGGCAAATTTACAATTAGCAACTACCTGGAACATTTTAACAGCACCTAAAGGTAGTTTAGGTCAACAACGTTAAGATGTGCAGTTATGTAGGAATCCAGTTACATAGGACTAAACTTTAGATTTCTAAACTTTAGAATCCTAAACTTTAGATTTAACTTTGCACTAACTAGCTGGGATAGTCCCAGAGCAACCACTTTTTAAGGGAAGAGACAAGCCAACTCCAGTGTAAAACCCCTTTCAGCTAAATAAGTTTGTCAGCACCCAAGGAAAAACAGCAACACTTTGAAAATCCAGTTTCCCTCGCGTTACTTTTGTGATTCAGCCACGGAAACGATTCAGACCTTGTTACTTCCTCTCCAGCTTCTTCCCCCCCAAAGTGACAACAGCAGGTGCCAGTCGCTCTGTGACACACTCTGAGCTTATCACACACTTGTCTATAAGGATGACATCCGTGATCCATAATTAGTGAGCGACTGCTGACCCAGCAACCCCCTTTTCCGCTCGCCCTTTCCCAGCCACCAGCTGGCCCAGGCGCAGTGTACACTTCTCCCTGTGGGAAGCTGCGGAGCCCGGGGAAGCAGAGCATGGATGATGACCCTGCGCTGACTGGCAAAACGATTTCAATCCCTCCTCTTCACTAACTCCCAGCAAAGTGTGTTTGGAAGGCACATCGTCTAGACTGCATTTCCTTGACCACGGTAATGTGTGTGTGTGTGTGTGTGTGTGTGTGTGTGTGTGTAGGGGGGGACGGGGGGGGGGGGGAGCTGTGATCCCGAAACAGACTTTCACAAACATACACTCGGGGCAGCAGAAACAAAACAGCCAGGACTCAGAACATGGAATTATTTGAATAAGTTTCAGGGGCAAGAAAGCTGTGGGCTAAGGACAATGTGCACCAGGGAACCTGAGAAATGAGCAGGAAATAAAGGGCAAGTGCACCTTGCTACTTTGTTGGTGTTGACTGGTAATGCTTTTGTTTTGTTTTTTTTTTTTTTAACCGGAAAAAGGACGTGGAGCCAGACAACAAAAACAAGCGAGCGCGAAGAGGTGTGTCAGGCATGAATAGGGCAATGTATAGGATCTGCTCTGCTGTGGGCTCACGTGGGGTGGAATCTGCGTGGGAAATCCTCCGGGGCGCACGAACTTCACAACAGGTGCCTCTGGTTCCCAACTCAACCCGAGTGTGTGCAAGGAGAGCCGCTCCATGGGGTTCGGATGGAAGCGACAGGTTGGGAGGACAAAGGGTCATCCAGGTTTCCGACAAGAGTGGGGCACCCCAAAATCTGGGTGCCGTCAGGCAAGGAAAGGGGTGGGATGAGGAAAAGAGGGGTGCCTTGCAAGGGTGAGGAGGGAAAAAAATAAATCTGCCACGGGGTTTGAAAGAAAAAAAAGGGGGGGGGGTGTGGGTGCGCGTGGAGGCAGAGGTGACGAATGAACCCCAGGACCACCTCCTCTTGCCCGAGAATGCTACCATTAGCAGCGGGATGGCACCCCCAAAAAACCTCTCCAAATCCCCCGGAGGATGAGCAGCAAAGCACCGACCACCAAGGCCGGGGGCTGGGGGGGCTCTCCAAGGGGCAGGACCACAGCTCCTTCCCATCCCTCCAACCCCACAGCAGAACGCGAACCCCCTCTTCTCACCTGGGCGCCACCGCCCGGCAGCTGCGGGCAGCGGGGGGAAACGGGGGACACGTCCAAGTCACTCTCCTCCTCCGCCTCCCCCTCGACCCGAGGGAGGCTCCAGGGTCCCGGCGGTGGCCACGGCTGCTCCATGGCCTCCCGCACGGCCACTTGTAGGGGGTTTGGGGATGGGGGGGACTGAAGGTGGTGGTGGCTCACAACCGCGACCCGCCAACGGTCTTGAGCCACAGACACCAGACCCTGCTGCGCGGAGCCAGCCGCCCAGCCGGCCGGGGCCGTTACCCACAATCCCCGTGTGCTGGGCCGCCGGGCCGACGCACGCCCCGCGCCAGCCGGGGCCGAGCCGGGCGGCGGGGGGCGGAAGCTGCACGGCCCCGAGCGTCACTTCCGGCGACGAGCAGTGAGGAGGGAGCTGGGAGCCGCGGGGTGGGTCTGAAGGCTGGTCGCCACCGAGGGGGTAGAATTCGTTGTGGTCGTGTCAGAAAACGCCTTCCTGGGCTCCGGGAGGTGTCCGTTGGCGCTTGTCTGCCGTGGACGTGGACACGGGAAGCCGTGGGGTGTCGGGGTGCGGTTGGTGAGGGGTGGAGGGGGCATAGTCTCGAAGGTAGAGCCCGTTTTCCTTGCATTTCAGGATTTTCGGATTTTAGACACCAGAAGGGTTCCGCAAGCACTTGGTTAGAAGAAGAGGACCCTGACTGGCCTGAACAAGCCGTAGTCGGGCTCTCTTGATTAAAAAAATTTTTTTTGAAACCTGATTTCTTTCTCTTTTCACCCACCACCAAGCTTTGCTATCCTCAAAATTTAAAAGATCCACATCAAAACCCACGGGACGCCATTTTTTTTTCAGTCTGTTAGATTGGCAAAACTTTTGTAATTGCTTTCCACATTCTCCCTGTATTGTGCTATCTTAATATTTCCCAGTAACTTACTCGTTGCAGATAAAGGAGCACTGCATCTAAACCACTGAGGGCCTGGTGCACTCTAAGAAGGTGGAAGATTTCTCCAGACCCATTACGGAACATAACATAGGGTTTTAAAAGCATATCAGGTTTTTCAGTTATTTGATGACTTCAGCTACTTGCATTGAAAGAATATAACATGAGAGATCCAGAAGAAGCTCCTGGCTCCTAGCTTTGGATTAGTTCAGCTCTGGCTATTGTGGCCACTTGGGTAGTGAACTAATGCATGGAAGATATTCCTCTCCGTATCTCCTCCTTTCTACATATCTGACTTTCCAACAAAAATAAAATAAATTTAAAAAAATAGACTTGCTACTTTCTTACATCAGATAATAAAATTCTTTGGAAAATTCTTTAAGTCATCATTTGTCATAGATACAGAGCTAGTCAGCTGGACCTTAAAGGATCAGTACTATTTTTTTTTTTTTTTAATGACTAGAAATCACTTCTGGATGGAAGTTTCATGGACTATATGTTCAGGGACACTCATCACGGCATTATTACAGAAGTACTGAGCCTGCAAAAGCCAGTGAATCATATAAGTACCGCGCGCTAACTGATTGCACCACTGGAGCCCTAAAAGCCAGTGAATTAATGCGCAACAAAGAGCAACACAGGGACCCGCCTTGTGAATTTATTTTTTAAGATTATTTATTTGAAAGACGGAGTTAGAGAGAGAGGAAGACAGAGGAGGGGAAGGGAGGAAGATCTTTCATTCTGCCTCATGAATTCTTATTTTGAAAAGATTGATTTATTTTCATTGGAAGGGCAGAATTAAAAGAGATATGGAAACAGACAGATCTTCCATCTGCTGGTTTACTCCCCAATAGCTGCAATGGCCAGAAATGAGCTAATCCAAAGACACCAGCCAGGAATTTTTTTTCCAGGTCTCCCACACAGGTGCAGATTCCCAAGGACTTAGGCCATCCTCTGCAGCTTTTTTAGGTTATAAGCAGGGAGCTGGATGGGAAGTGGAGCAGCTGGGACATGAACTGGCACCCATATGGGATGCCAGTACTTGGAGTTGGAGGATTAGCCATTTGAGCCAATGCTCTAGCCCTTGACTCACGAAATTTAATGAAACTTTGTGAAATGGATCCCATGTGTGGGTCCAGATTCCAAATAATATCAAAATTGCTTGAAGATGTTCGATTTTCATTTGATTTGTTCCTTGAGAGTCTTCCTGGTTCTTGAGGAAAATTCCCAAAGGGATATGCACTTTAAAAGGTGTGCAAACTGCCTGCTGCTAAATTGCATGCAGAAACCACATAGCCCTCAGATGGGTTTTCCTCTGGATTACTTGTAAGCTGTCAACATATTATAGTAGCCTGATATGTCCATTTGGGGTGCATAGAGTCACCTTATATTCCCTCTAAATGCATGCAATACTTCTATTAAAGATAATTACATAGTGATGACACCAAAAATCTTCTTGATGGGCTATTTTAAGACAGGAGATTCACAAAATGGATTTGATCTCTTTTTAAAAAATGTATATATGGGCCCGGCGCGGTGGCGCAAGTGGTTAGGGTCCTCGCCTTGCATGCCCAGGGTCCCATATGGGTGCCGGTTCTATCCCGACAGCCCCGCTTCCCTTCTAGCTCCCTGCCTGTGGCCCGGGAGAGCAGTCGAGGACGGCCCAGGGCTTTGGGAACCTGCACCCGCGTGGGAGACCCGGAAGAGGCTCCTGGCTTCGGATCGGCATAGCATCGGCCGTTGCGCTCACTTGGGGAGTGAATCATCGGACAGAAGATCTTCCTCTCTGTCTCTCCTCTCTGTATATCCGCCTTTCCAATAAAAAAAAAAAACAATAAAAATAAATCTTAAAAAAAAAGTATATAAAACAGGTTTCCACAACACAGATTTAGAAGCGTAAGTGTTCCAACCTTCATTCTCCACTCTCCCCCTCCTCTTTCCCAATCTTCTCTCTTTATTATTAAAATTATTATAACAGTGTATTCATTCACTTCACAAGCCTAACTTTCCAATATTTAAAGGTATCATGGCATAGCAAGTGGAGGAAGGAGAAAGAAGAAGATAGGAAGAGAGAGATTTTCCATCTGCTGGTTCACTCTCCAAATGGTTGTCACAGCCCAAGCTGGTCTGGACCAGGAGCTACAAGCTTTATCAAAGTCTCCTACATGGGTGCAGGGTCCCAAGGCTTTGGACCATCCATCCTCCACTGCTTTCTTTGGCCACAAGCAGGGAATAGGATAGGAAGTGGAGCAGCCAGGACAGAAATGAACAGGGCACATTTGCTACCAGCATGCTTATAGAACCTCTTGGCAGACTAGCAGAAGATATTGCATTTGGTTCTTTTCTCATTGTGCATATTTAGTTCACCTTGATGTGACAGGACATCCCCTCCCTCATCTGTGCACAAGAACTCAAGACTGTCTTGACCACCTCAGCACCTAACATCTATTCAAACCTATATGTTGAGCATCTGCTCTGCTGGGCCTTTAGGATGCAAATGCTTGGCCATGCAGAAGCTACAGTATATGGAGACAGTATGCAGCCATAACAGGATCAAATGTAAAGCTGCTGGTGTGACATTTGCTGCCAAGAAGGTACATTTGGGTTGGTAGTATAGGACAGACAAAGACAGAGGGGAGAAGAGAGGCGTGAGAAGGGTGAGTTCATGCACATGTGTCCATGAGTCCCTATACAGGATGACACCCTAGGTACAGGGTATAGAGTAAGCAAAGGGTGTGATGCTTAACTGATAGCACTGACAGTGTGGAAACAGAGGTTCCATGCCAGTGTGGAAACAGAGGTTCCATGCCCAGCCCTTCCTACCTCCTCTCTCTCCATAAATTGTATGTGCGAAGTCTGCTCCGAGACTCCTTGCCTGTGCCCTGCCCCTCCTGTCTCCTATGGTGCTACTCTATATTAATTAACTACAGGAAAACTTTGGGCTCTGCAACTCCCTTCCTACCTGCTGCTACTTAGTTAATTGGAGATATGGAAACTTTGTCCTGTATGGCTCTCTGATTGGAAGATGAGAGCTTAAAAATTCCTGATCTCAGTCGCCCACCTGGAATGTTGCTAGGGGCTTCTGTTGCCAAGCTTGGCCAATGAAGATGACTCCTAACATCCTATGCTAGGGTCCTGTATATTTCTGTTGGCACTGTGCAACAAGGGAAGGACAAAGAAACATTGTCTAGCCAGCACAGGAGGGTCAACAGACATGGGAGTAGAGTGGCCAGAGTTGGAGGGAAAGCAGCAAGGTTGAGCAGTCAAGCTAGGAGAGACCAGTTCTATGGAGAGGAAAGGACTTGGAAGAACATGCTGGGCTGTCTGTGCAGCAGGGCATGTCTGTGTCCGCATGTGCCTTCCCTGACCCCTTTGGTCCAAAGGCTGTCTGCATCGGAAAATAGGGATAATAGTGGAGATGAAATGAATTTGCCTGAACGATGTTCCTGGCACTGTATCACAGGCCCTCAGTCCTGATTTCTATCTTCCATTTTACTTCTGGCTACCTCTTTATGAGTCTGTTGACTCTTGATACCTTAGCTTCGTCCTTCCCCCATTACCGCCTTTCCAGGACAGCAACTCCAAGCACAGAAATAAGCACCTGGCGTTGGCTTGGGACATCTTTCTGTGCCATTTCGAGCTGCCTAAATCTCTAATACAAAATTTTCACAATAAATGACTCAACACCATTGTGTGTGTGTGTGTGTTTTGTTTCTTTAGGTTGACTAAAAGAAGCCACTCTTACTCATCCATTTTTGGGCAAATCGAGTGAACAGCAACAACGAAAATACGATTCTCTCTATTGTTAAGGATTGCAGCTCAGCCTACTGTTTCTCTCCCTCTCTTTTTTTAGTAACTGTGGTTTTGGGCAAATAAGGCTACCATCCATTGGGATATGAGGTAATTCAATGCTTCCCTTAGGTAAACAATCCCAGAAAAGGTTGAACAACGCGGCCAAGAGAAACTGACAACGATTCCTATTGTCACCAACACAGCATTGTGGAATTGATAAACTTTTTGAAGAATTAGCCTTGCGTCTCTAATCAGCACACATTTTGTTTTCTCCACGATGACTACGCTTGCAGTGCCAAACAGGAGGCCATCACATTTGATGATGCAGGGACTACCTTTGAAGGCAGGAAAATCATATATTCAGTTTCCAGGCAGAAATTGCAGGGCTTGGGGTGGGAGGGCGCGCAGGTTAAGTTGTACTTAAATAACGACGGAGCTGTGTTCTCGTTCTGATTGGCCATTTTAGCACAGGGACAGAGGCCCTAACAAAGGTAGAAAGAAAAAAAACTTGGGGTCCCTAGCATCTCGCAGCGCCTCCATCTAACACACACACATCCAGCGGAGGCCGAGTCGACTTAGGGAGCGCCTTCCCGGAGGGGCACAGGGTGCGCGTGCGCGTTCCAGATGGAAGGTGGCGCATTTGGGTGTCCATGGCAACGCGACGCTTTGGGCTTTTGGAATCTTGTACTTCCAGCTCCGGTTGTGAGACCTGTCCCGGTGGGAGGGACCCGGGCTGGCGGCGGCGGGGACAGATGGGGGTTTGGGGGAAGGGGGCTGGGGAAATTTCTGGGAACACATGCCCTAGGGGGTGAGCTAAGAGAAGTTGATCCAACCCTGCGCAGAAGGCTCTGTTCATCGGGTCGTTTCGCCCACGCAGGGAGAATGCCTCTGGAGGTGGTGGTGGAGCTGCAGATCCGGGCGGTAAGAGATCTCTGACCCTACACTCCTTCGCTCCAGGTCAGATTCCTAAATGATCCTGTGATGGTCACCGCTGCTCTCCCATTTCGTTCACACCTATGCTTTGTCTTCCTCTGTCCCTAACACTGTCTACCTCTGCCTTCCTGAACTTCCTAATTAAGCTCAAGTGTCCTAACATTTGTTTTCTTCTAAAACAAACATTTCTTGGCTTTATCCTGAAGGCTTTAACATAGGTCTGTGTTAAGCCTAAGGTGGATTTTCTTTGCCAGGATAAAGATTTTGTAAAAAGATTAATTTTTTTTTTTTTTTTTTTTAGTAACCAGAGACAGTTTTTTTTTCTTTTTAAAGTTTATTTGAAACACGGAACAAGGAACGAAGAGGTAACTTTCATCTGCTGATTCAATCCCCAAGCGCCAGGAGCACCCAGGGCTGAGCCAGGCTGGAGCCAGGAGCCTGGAATGCTGGTTGTCCCTAAGCACTTAAAGCATCCTCTGGGCTTCCAGGGTTAACAGGACACTGGACCAAGAAGTGTCCAAGTTGAACTCAGCCACTCTGAGGCGGGGGATGCTAGCCATGGCACACAGTGGCTCAACTCATCTCACCTAAGGTCCTCAAGCAGTATGACAACATTATTCCTGTTTTGGGAAGGCGTCAGTCTTGCCTTAATTTCAAATTGCATTTTCCAGCCCTTCGTACAGCTTTGCCTCCAAGCTACCAGGAGCTTCTCTACCACGGCCATGGTCACACACACATTGCTAGCGGGACACTGGAAAGTGTCCAAATGGTTGGGCAGTGCTGTGGTGTCGTCATGTATGCAACTATGAAATAAAAGTCACCAAAATCGTCTCGATTTGGCCCACTTTGCTGACAGCAAATACAGCCTGATTCTATCAAGTGCTCTGGGTCAGTTGAAGGTTTCAAGACTGTGGGAGAAGATGAAGGAGCCATTGAGAAGCTGCGTGACAAGAGAGAATCCCTCCTCCCGAAGATGGAATAAAAAAAAAAAAGTTTTCGGGTCATTTCATTCAACAGTGTGGGTTAAATTTATTCATTGTGAAAAGACATTCCTCAGTGGACAGTTACTTAGCAATGAAATCCGTCTTCTGCACTACAGTACTTAGTATGCCCCCAGAAAGTCAGGTGAATTCACCTGTGTTTTAAAAAGGGATGCAAACGCAGGCCCTGGCAGCTAAAGCAGGGAATTCCAGAAGTACCCCACAGAAGGCAGGTACCCCAACAGTCAAGAGTTGTGAACAGCGCAAGAAGAAATATCACTACTTTGCCCCCAGGGTCTGCATATCCGGGCGGAAAGAGACCTCTGGTCCTACACTCCTTAACTCCTGGTCAGATTCCTGGAAGACAGCAGGAAAACGACTTAGAACTTTCACAGCTTTGCTGATTTTACACAAGAGGTAGTTGTGTTCAGGGGATATTGGGAATGCAAACGATATCACTGTATTTGGGGGGGGAGTGGCAGTTCTTATTTCAGGGTGACTGTCACTCTGGGAAGGGTGTTTTTGTTTTCCTCCAATCAGAGCCCATCCGCATGCCTTGTCAGATTCAAAGGTTTATGGGAATCCTATGTATACATGCTAAAATAACTGGTAATAAAGATTATCAGAAGATTTTTTTCATATATAGATATACGGAGAAGTTTTCCTTCTCTGCTCTAACAGAACGGCATTGGTATTTATTTAGTAGCGATGGCAAGGAGGCAGGGCCCCATCTCCAGCCAGACTGCCCATCAACATGCTGGGTGTGGAGTCTGTCCCCCAGACTCCCAGTTCCTCCAACCTTCCCCTCCCCGTTGTCAGTGGTCACGAGAGCTAATCATGGAGACATACTCTCCCATCCCTGCTTTTCCTGGGAGCACCTTAGAGAACGCATACCTCTTCCATGTTTCTAAGAACCTCCTCCAGCTTGTTCTCCCGACATGAATGGTGGGGAGCAAATATTTCAAGATCTTGTGAGGTATGGGGGATAAGACAAAAAGTCAAGTCCTGTCATTGTTTCTCCCCGCACCCAGTCCACAAGCATGCGAGAGATAAAGGAATAAAGGCTTTCCAAGGAAACCAGAACCCAAGAAGCACTCTGCCCAGCTATGGCAACAGAGCCTCAGGGAGTCACCTGGAAAAATCTATGCCTCTGATCTTTGAAATACTGTTTTAAGTCTACCACACAGAAAGGATTGGGAGTAAGATGTAGCTTATCCATGAAGTCCAGAAACAAAAGGATTGCCAAAAACCAACCAACCAACCAACCAACCAGACTCATTGCTGTTTCAGAAAAAAAACAGCAGCAACAACAAAACAGTAATAGTAAAACCATCCCAGCCTGGTTTCTTTGCAGTTGTCCTGGAGACACAAACAGTTATTAAATGAATATACAGTAGAGGTTTTTCTTTTTTTCTTTTCTGTTTTCCCTAGTACGGTTGTGTTCAGAAACGGCTGGCACTTGCTATTGGCCTAGCAACACCTCAGGACCACAGGACACCTGCCAGGAATTCCAAGCCTGGAATGTTGTCAGGGGCCAGTGGTATGCTGCTGGGCTGAATGGGGGACAAAGAAACCTTGAGAGCGCCTGGTGCCACACGGTCCGTGATGTCACTGCTGATTCCACAGTGCAAAGAGGAACGGAGCATTGTGGGGTGACAGCCAGCAGTGGTCCACAATGCTGTACTGCATGTAGCCCAGCACAAAGCCAAAAGCCACGTCGGTGACATTGTGACGCCCCAGCATGACCCTGGAGAGGCCCAGGATGAAGGCCCACACGATCACCAGCACCCTCAGCGGAATGGCCAGCACCAGGTGTTTCAGGATGAAGCGTGACACCATGGCGGCCCTCGTGGCGTGGCCCGAAGGGAAGGAGTACCTGTCCACCGAGAGGGTCACAAACATGTCCATCTGATTGTGGGCCGGGCGTCGCCTGCGGACCAGCCCTTTGATGAGGCCCACCAGCAGCAGGTCCAACAGCAGCGCAAACAGCAGATTCATCAACACCTCGCGCCCGGCCTGGCTGTCGCTTCTGGTCAGGCAGTAGAGGGTGCCCAGCAGCCAGGGGATGCCGTGCCCTGAGATCTCCAGCAGTTTCATAAGAGGCCGCACGCTGCCCCAGGTCGAGCTTTCCCCGGCGCACACCCCCAGCTTCTTGGACAGCCACAGATCGATGGCCAGCAGCGAGCGCAGGGCGATGCCCAGGAAGGAGGGGTTCAGGTCCATTCGGTCATCCTCGGGCAGCGCGTTCGGGGTCGCCTGCGAGGAGCCCACCGCGGCCACGGGGAAGGAGCCACGGCGGTGCACGGGGCTCTCTGTGGAGGCGCGCAGCCTTGCAGAGGTGGGGTCCGCGGCCGCGGTGCGGCTGCTCAGCAGGGACTGGAACTCGAACCTGCCACCGCCTCCGAGCGCAGGGCTGCCGGGGCTGCTGTGGTTGCTGGAAGAGGAGGCGCCCAACGGCCGTCCCTCGACGCTCCTCCTGGGGCTCGACATGGCTCGATGGCTGGCGTGGGGAATGAAGGGCTGAGGGGGTTAGGGGTAGGGGGTCGGGGTGAGGGGATGGGGGCGGCAGGGCCCCGAGACCCGGTGGGCCTTAGCCGGAGGTTTCCCGGCGCGTGCGCCTCTTCCGCTTCCGCAGAGCCATCCTGGAGGGGCGGGGAGAGGAGGCGGCCAGAGCGCGCGATTGTGACACCTGCCGGAGACGTGGGGTTGTGGAGCCGGGACTGGACTGTGGTCCCTTAACTGGGACGGTTAGGGGATGGACGAAGGAAGGATGCCAGCGGAGATGGGGATGCAGTGTTTGTGGGAGACATAGAACGCAACTGAAAAAAGCAAAAAGGAAACCCTGCTCTGTCTTTTCTCCTGAAGGTTTCCTGCCCCGGAGTGTTCCTGCCGGAGAAGCAGGCTGTGTTCCTGGGGGTCTATCTGCTGAATCAGTACCTGGAGACGGACTGCTTCCCATCCGTGTTCCCTATTGTGATTCAGCGCTGCATGAGATTTGAAAAGGTGCTGCTGTCTGTTCTCCCTGGCTGCTGGTCTCTGAAGATAATCCAGTGGCGCTTCCAGGGGTCACAGTTCTTCCAATGTTGATGGTCCATTTCCTTAAAAAACAAACAAACAAACAAAATCTAAGCTCCGAAGTCACTTGAATTTTGCATAAAAGCCACCGTGGGTATTGAAGCCAAGCTGAAAGCCAATCTCAAGCTGAGCCAAGTGCCCCTGGTTGAGGGTTTTCTGGTCTTGGAACCCCCACGTGCTAACGGGAGCAGAGTGTTGCTGAGAGTGTTAAGAGGCCGTGGGTTACACTGGGAACCTTTGGAAGTGGGGACTTATGACCTTCAGGAAAAACTAAGTAAATGAGGTCATTCCTGTAAGGGAAATGCTTTCATCACACAAAAACTCTTCAGATCTACTGCCTTTCCTTAGGTCATGGGTCCCCGAGTTCTTTAGCCATCATGATAAAAGCTGGCTCCCATTCCAGTGAACTACAGCTGCTGGGGTACATGGTTAAAACTGATTTACCAAGCCTCTTCCTATGTCAGGATTTAATGCAGTATCATTGTACTACTGTGCAAGAAGTAGCAAGGCCTTCACTTTTTTTTTTTTTTTTTTTGGCTTTGGAATTTGAGATAGAATAGATTTTTTTTTTTAAACCTTTGTGGTTTAATGATTTTACCCCAGACAGGGTCACTGATATGAATCGTGTGGGGAGAGTGAAGACTCATCATAGAACAGGATGTAAGCTGTGTGTTCTGACCCAAGGTTGGGCCAGGAGATGAATATTGATTTTCTAAAGTGCTGGAGTAGTATATGTTAGATTTTAAGTCACACTCTATTAATTTAAATAAAGTGTCCAAAACTGTTTGGATGAAAGAGGAGAGAAATGAATGATGATTATCCAAATATACCAAGTTCTCCTATGTACATATTGCAAGTGGTAAAATACAGCCAACCTCTCACACCCTGCCCCTGCCCCCGCCCCTGCAAGAATTTCCTGCTTGGCTTGATTTTGCTCTATAGAAGACTTCTAAAGTCTTTCTAAGAGATCCAAAGACAATTGCTTCTTGACCTTGTGGCTAAAATCAGCTGTAAAAAAATCCAAGGACACAAACTCGTGTAGGCACAGGAATGGCAAGATCTTGGAAAGGGAGGCATCCAGTCCAAAATTTTTTTTGAAGATTTATTTATCTGCTTGGAAGGTGGTATTCAGACAGAGAGATCTTCCATCCAAATGGCTGCAACAGCTGGAACTGGGCCAGTCCAAATCCAGGAGCCAGAGCTGCTCTCTGGGTCTCCTTCCACACGGATCTAGGTGCTCCAGCAGGTGTGCCATCCGCTGCTGCTGCGTTCCCAAGGCACGCTGGCAGAGCTGGAGCTCAAACCTGGTGCCCCCATGGGACGCTGGCTCTGCAGGTGGTGGCCCCCAACCTTCTTGACTTTTAAATCCTTGTGGACCCCCAGGTGGAGTCTTAGGTGCTGCCGAAGCTATTTGAAAAGCTGTGCATTTAATGTCACTTGTCAAACATATCACAGAGCCATTTTTCACCCCCACATTGTAAAGGCAATTAAATAATTGCTCTCCTGTGTGTGTGTGTATTTGGGGCCATATTCCAGCTTCCTTCCTCTGGCTGATTCCAGTTTTCGTGTGTGTGTGTGTGTGTGCGTGCACCATTCTCTGTGCAAACAGCGTTGCAAGGAGCAAAAGCGTCATTTCTTTGTGGGACCCTCTTGTGTCATTTAAGAATGGAATGGCTTCGGTCATTGGCATAAGCAAATTACTGATAAAATCTGTCTTTGGCACAGCCCCTGGGATCATGCTTGTGAAAATATTTTTGGCTATGGGTGTATTAATTGCCTAGGGTTACTATACAAGAGGACCACAAACTAACTGACTGGCAGAAACCAGAGAAACATGTCCAGCAGTTCTAGAGGCCAGAAGTCTACATCAGGGCATCAGTGGGCCGTGGGTCCTCTAGAGTCCTGGAGAAGAACTGTTCCATGCCTCCCACCTTTGGGCAGTTTCTGTACTTCTGGCACTGTGTCCACTATTCACCTGCCACTCTTTCCATGTGAATATTGTTGAGATGTATTTTTTTATTGGCAGGGAGGCAATAGGTATTTGGCCTCACCCTTTAGATGCTGTTTGGGTTGCCTGTGTCCCATATTGAGAGTGCCTGATTTAAGCCAGATGTTTGAGCCTTCACCTTCTTTCTAGCTTCTTGCCAGCGTGCAGCCTTGGAAGGCTGCAGGTGAAGGCTCAAACATCTGGATTCCTGCCGCTCACGCACATGGGAGACCCAGATGGAGTTCTGGGTCTCTAGCTTTGACCTACCTGGTCCAGCCTGGCTTTTGCAGGCATTTGAGAGATGAACTCAAGGATGGAAGATCTCTCTCTCTCCTTTCTTCCCTCTATGTCTTGAAAAGAAAAGAAAAGAAAAGAGAAAAGAAAAGAAAAGAAAAGAAAAGAAAAGAAAAGAAAAGAAAAGAAAAGGAAAGAAAAGGTTAAAACAAAAACACTTTTTTTCCAGTAGGCTATCAGGATGGGTTAGCCCTAATGCCTTAAGTTTCTTTCTTTTTTAAAGATTTTTATTTATTTATTTATTTATTTATTTATTGGAAGTTCAGATAGATATACAGAGAGGAGGAGGCAGAGAGGAAGATCTTCCATCTGCTGGTTTACTCCCCAAGTGGCCACGATGGCCAGAGCTGAGCCAATCCGGAGCCAGGAACCAGGAGCCTCTTCCTGGTCTCCCATGCGAGTGCAGGGTCCCAAAACTTTGGGTCATCCTCGACTGCTTTCCCAGGCCACAAGCAGAGAGCTGATGGGAAGAGGAGCTGCTGGGATGAGAACTGGTGCCCATATGAGATCCCCACACGTGCAAAGTGAGGACTTTAGCCACTAGGCTATGATGCCAGACCCAGTGTCTTAAGTTTCTACATTAATAAACAGGAGCTCAATGTAAAGAGTAAGTTGGAAACTAGAGTTTATCAACTTGATTCATCATCTAATCTTCAATTAGAGACCTCCTATCAGAAACTGCTCATTAAACTCTAACTAGAGTCTCTTCATGCTATCTGATCAAATATATATATTTTTTTCTAATTTCCACATCCACTTATACAAACTGGCAGGAACAGTGCCTTTCCTTGAACCTCCTTAGGTTCTGAATGCTGCCTGGCTCATGAGGTGTCTTTGTGTAGACTGAGTTTATTCTGTCTTATTTTTCTTGTAATATATCCTACTGAAAATTTCCTTTTTGAAATCAGGGGCCCAATTAGCTCCAGTATGTCCTCATTTTGGCTTAAATACACCTGCAAATAAAGTTGAATGAGCACGTGTGTGAAAACAGGTGGGTCGAATCCTAAACTATTCTGTGGGTGGATTTCTTTTACATACGAATTGTCTAGAAGAATATAATCTACAATTTCTATAAGCACTAAATAAAAAAAAAGGATTGAAACTTTGTTTTCTTCGTTTTTTTTTTTTTTCTCTGCAGGTATTTGAAAATGCAGTCGACCCTGGAGCTGTAGCCGACCTTTTAGAAAGTAAGTACATTCAGAGATGAACATTATTTGTGTAATGCATAGCAATAAAATTTGAATGCGTTAAAACTGCGAGGCTTCCTTATCTGAGCCCTATTTATATTCAAGAGTGTCAGTGTTTTTGTTTCTATTTTGACTTTATCACAAGTGCCTTTCTAAATATAGCTGCGAATTTCTGCACGGTACCAGAATGATGGCTTTTGCTTCATCAGATCCTGGCTGGATATTGGGGCATCTGTGGGGAAGTGAACCAACAGGTGGAAATCCCTGGCTGTCTGTCTTGCTGCCATTCAAACAAATAAAAAGATACAGCGGCCGGGGCAGTGGCTTACAAGCTGATCGCTCCTCTTGTGGCACCAGCATCCCGTAGGGGTGTTGGTTCATATCCTGGCTAGTCCATTTCCCATCCAGATCCCTGCTAGGGGCCTGGAGAAGCAGCAGAGAATGGCCAACGTCTTTGGGCCCCTGTACCCATGTGGGAGACCTGGAAGAAGCTCCTGCTGCTGGCGTTGGATCATCTTATTAAGGAATATGGTGGCCATGTGGGGAGAAAATCAGTGGATGGAAGGTCTCTCTTATTTCTCTCTCTGATTCTGACTTTCAAATAAAAGCAAATAAAAATTTTTTAAAAGATACAAATGGTCAAATTAAAAAATGCTTGTACGTGGTGATGTTCTTGGCACTTAGAGTGTTATCCTCATGAATTCATACATTTTTCACAAGTCTAAGAAGTGAAAATTTTAGTATCTCAAGTGTTATTATTTCCAGTAATTTTTTGGAGTTGTATTTATTGACTTCTATTGTTATTTCGTTTATGTTAACCTTGGGCTTTAGGTTTTATTTATTTATTTATTTTTATAATCTGTTTCTAGAGTATTTCAAACTCAAAAAGTATTTTAAAAGTTACGTTCCAAATCTAATTTGTGATCACAAAGCACATTTTAAAAGTAAGGTGAAGTGTTAATGGCTAAAAATTAGATTGTAAATTTTGAAGGTGAAAGGTTCAAGGTTATTTTGGTGTTCTGCAAAGCTACTTTTTTCGATGAAAGTACTCTTTTTTTTTTTAGTAATGTAAATATGTAGTTTTATTAAATTTGAATATAAAAAGGTGACCAAATTTGCTTTTTTAAATCCTTGTTGCTTGTTTCGCCCTTAAACTCAGTATTTTTTTTAATCTTTTTTTTTTATTATTAACATTGTACTATGTGATACAGTTTTATAAGCACTGGGGAGTCCCCCCACGCCTCCCACACCCCTCCTCCCATAGTGGATGAAAGTACTCTTAAGAGAAAATATTGCATTACTTATGTCAATACTTTTTAGGTGGTGAATGCTACTTTTATTGTTTAGTTACTTCATTTCTATTAAGTCTTACGTGACTGATATTATTTAGGATTCTTGTTATTAATGCAAATGGAGTGTTATGGCAGTTTTAGACTCATTCATGAGAAATGGCAGTTTTCTGAACTATTATAATACAATTTTTTTTTTTTTTCGCTTTCAGGCTTCCTAACCAGGTTTGAATTAATTCAACTAGTACCTCCAGGTAAGGTGATATTCGATGTTCAAGGCACGTGTGTAGAATTGCTGGGTCTTATGGTTAACTGTTTTTACCTCTCTGAGGAACTGGAAAGATATGATTTATTTTAGTTTTTTACATTTTTAAAAGGTTGTGAAGGTTTTTGAAAGAATTACGCACAGTGGCACACTTTCTATATTTAACCATACTTTATAGCCTCTCCTTTTTAGGTGTGCTTTAGGATTACCTTGAGTTTAAAATTCACTTCTTTTTAAAAATGTAGCATATCTTGGGGGCCCTGCGCGGTGGCCTAGTGGCTAAAGTCCTCGCCTTGAATGCACCGGGATCCCACGTGGGTGCTGGTTCTAATCCTGGCAGCCGAGCTTCCCATCCAGCTCCCTGCTTGTGGATTGGGAGAGCAGTCGAGGATGGCCCAAGGCCTTGGGATCCTGCACCCACATAGGAGATCCGGCAGAGCTCTTGGGTCCTGGCTTTGGATCAGCTCAGCAATGGCGGAAGATTTTCCTCTCTGTCTCTCTCCCTCTCTGTATATCTGACTTGGCAATGAAAATAAATACATCTTTTACAAAATGTAGCCTATCTTGGACTTGCACGTGCTTTTTGTGGGTACAGAAATCCACCCAGGAGCAGCTTACAGGAGTAGTTGTTTGGAAGCTCTGATGATTCCAGCTGAGTGTGTGAGTATTACTTCTAACTCAAAAAAATGAATCAGATGCGATTTTTTCCCTCTTTTTGTCCATAATTCCTCAGTTGGAGATTATCATTTTAGTGGAATTGAATTTGAGTTGCTCAAAATAATTTCCCTCAAAAGTGGGACAGGTTGCCCGTTAACTTTTTCAGCATATGTAATAGAGGAATGATTCCTTCCTTTCCTTCCTTCCTTCCTTCCTTCCTTCCTTCCTTCCTTCCTTCCTTCCTTCCTTCCTTCCTTCCTTCCTTCTTTCCTTCCTTCCTCAGTCTCTCTCTCTCTGCTACAAAATGAAGAGTTCTAAGGATTTTGCTCCCAAGAAATCAGGATCCCTTTGACTCTTCGGTTTCCAAGGGTGGGGAGAAGTGGTGAACACAGGAGGGCAGTGTAGTCCTGCTTAACAGTGAATATGGCGCTTTCATCTTAACACTGTTCAATACACGCCTCCACTTTGCCAAGTCATACTTATTCAGTCCAGCTGGCAGAATTCTTTTAATGGTGCCCATTCACTTAAGCCAAACGTACCAGGCATCTGCGTGAGAATTTCTGCCTTAGGTAACTTGGGTTTGAATGTCTCCTTTGCCATGTGGCATCATGACAGGTATGTTAAATTTTCACATCCTTGGTTTCCTTATCTGCAGAGAGGGAATCAAATGAAATCCCATAGCTGGCAGCATGTTGGAAGTTTAGCTATGTTCTATAAATGTTAGATATTTCTCTAGCCAGTGTGATTAAAATGAGTTCTGTTGAAGTCTCATTTCTTTTTTTAGGGGAAAATTGTTCATTGATGGCATTGATGATGTCACCACCTATGCTATTAGACTGTTCAGAACGCTGAGTTCTTTCACACTTCATTTGGCATGTGAGATAGGCTCAGCCCATGAATTTGATTACTGTTTATAATGAGGCTTCGATGTAACATCCTCTTGGTGTACTGCCACTTTCACCCTGTGTGGCAATTTGGGTCTGCTGAAAATGACCAAGTGAGAGAAGCCTTATTGAGAAGCTTCACCACCTTTAATTTATTTGTCTCCCATCATTTCGATCTATTTTTTTATTCTTGGCATTTTAAAGAGAGTGGATGAGCTTGCTTCCAATTCTGTGACCTCTTGTGTGTGTGTGTGTGTGTGTGTGTGTGTGTGTTTTAAGTTCTTGCTGAATAATGGGCTAGCAATTTGGAAGTTATTATTTTTGGGGATGTAGTGACAAGAGCTAGCTAAACACATAGGAAAGAAAAAAAAAAAAAGGAAAATCGAAAAGAAACCTATTGCGTATCCCACATGGGTGAGTTTTGTTGCAACACTGATGTAGAGACCAATGCATGAGGATTATTGCTGGAATGAAGTCATGGATCAGTCGTGATCGTTGGCGGTAGTGCCACCGCTGTGTCCTGCACACCCGATCCTGAGTTTCTCCATTTACCTACAGAGGAAACAGAAGTTAAAGCATTCATAGAACTTGAAGTGGTGGAGCAGGGATTTGAACCCAGCTGTGTCCAACCCTGGTACCCGAGTTCTTAACCACTATATCACAGGCTTTAGCAGAAAGTTGCAAGATTTTATTTTCAGATCAGCTGAGTTGATTTGAAACCGGGAGCCCCAGGAGTTTCTACCAGGTCTCCCAAGAGAGCGCAAAGTCCCAAGGAACTGTCTATTTCTCCCAGGCACTGCTTTTTTTTTTTTTTTTTAAAGATTTATTTTTATTGGAAAGCCAGATATACAGAGAGGAGGAGAGACAGAGAGGAAGATCCCCAAGCAGCCACCACAGCTGGAGCTGAGCCAAACTGAAGCCAGGAGCCAGGAGCTTCTTCTGGGTCTCCCATGTGGGTGCAGGGTCCCAGGGCTTTGGGCTGTCCTCTGCTGCTTTCCCAGTCCACAAGCAGGGAGCTGGATGGGAAGTGGAGCTGCCGGGATTAGAACCGGCGCCCATATGGGATCCCGTGTTCACAAGGGGAGGATTTCTCCTTTGAACCATTGCACAGGGACCATGTAATGTTCTCCATGAGGTAAAAAGTAGAAATTATTCTCTTCTGGAATAACGTTTTGTTGGGATCAAAGCATCTGTTTTGTATCAAAGCATTCTAGTCCACTATTCCATTTCTTTTCATTGTGATGGTAATTGTTGTATTAAATACACTTCAACTCTGTTCAAACTTGTGTTAGGACCAAGGATGTAGGCATGCGCACTTATGCCTTTGCTGCTTGCTTTCTAGCATGGGAAGAGTTGGCTTACTATGAAAAAAATACACGAGATTTTCTTTTCCCGGAGCCCACGCTGACAATGCCACACCCTGGGATGTATCGGGAGGTGCTCATGAAGACAGCCATCGGTTTTCCAGTAAGTAAAGTCGTGGCCATCCAGGCTTCCAGTGTGGGAGAAAAGCTTCTTGGAACTTGAACGCTTTATTCAAACTTCTAGCATCCTCATGGACCAATGGCTGGAACCTCTGTGAGCTGTGCTTGGTGATCCTGCTGGGGTGTCCAACTCTAGATTGTGAATGAATCATGCTGATCTCACTGTTGAGCTGAGAGGTGGAAATCTCATTATCTTATCAGACCAAATCATTGCCCTGCTCGCTTTGTTGTGTAGTTATAGAAGACTTGTTCTTTCAACCTCTGGTTGCAGCTTAACAGAAAGATTTGTCTAGTCATTGTGTTGTGACTAAATAAAGTAGCCATAGTAGTGATGTTAGTGCTCTTTTAATTTCTGCTTCCCTTTTTTCCTTTTTTTTAAAAACACATTTTATTTACTTTCCTATTAGCCAAGGCAGGTATTCTGTTGTCCACTAGAAAGAGGAAATTGACAGAGGCTTATTGTTAATTGCTGAAGGAGCTTAGAAGATTCACCACTTGAATGGGGTTTTATAAGACATAGGTTTAAATAGAAGGATAGTCATTCTAAAAGCCATATTTTTATATATTATAAAGTGCATATTGACTATTCAACTTTTTCCCTGCCCCATGAATTGCTGTTAATATTGAAGGAAGTAGCATTACCTCAGCCTTGTTGGTAGCAGTGCAGCAGGTGGAATACACAAGATGTCTGTTTTCAGGATGCTTACGATGACGAAAGTTTCTGATTCTGCCTCTTCAAATGGCAAACACTTAGTACAGTCTCCTAATCAGAATCCCAAAAGGCAGAGTGTTAAGCCCTCTGTTATCACTCTTTTTTCTCTGCAACCTTTTTGTGTCACATAGCCATCATGGCTGGGAGGTGCCTGCCTTTATTATTTTGAGTTACTGGGTTATTCCTCTTGAGAAACAGAAAGGGAACAGAAGTGGATGAGGGTCAGGTAGGGGATACCCTGTTGTCTTTGAGTTACTCATATGCTCCATTTAATAGAAGTCTTTTATGACTATTAGGCTTATATGCAGCTAAGTAGCAAGAGAAGAAGAACCATGGTTTTCTCAAGTGTTAACTTTCTGGGCATCAGCCATAAATATATCCTATAGGAAATTGTGTGTAGGATATTTTTTGTAAAAGTAGATTATCATGAGAGAAAGGCTTTAAGCATCTGTAGAAACATTCTCATATCCAAGAAAGTATCGGTGCTTATAATTAATCACATGATAATTTGAAATGATGTGTAATAAAACAGAAGGGCCGCGTCTTTCTCAAACGTCCTCTTAGGCAAAATGAACCAGTCGGTAAGAATTTGTATGAAGAGCAGTTGCCCACCCTGTTTCCTGAATCGCAGGCCCTGAGCTGTGCTCACTCCATGGCCTATCACGATCGGCTCTCCTTCATCTTGCCAGGTGGCTACTGTCATTTCGCCATGTTGTGGGTGGGGACGGTGGTGTAGGAAGTTGCATGTCCTCAGAGCCTGCAAGTGGAGGAGCATGGATTGTCATGCTGGCTCGTGGGTACCAGGTGAGCTCTGTGTGCCTCTCTGTGATGCTGCTCTTCTATTTGTTCTAGTCCACTATCCCATTGCTTTTCCTTGTTGTGGGGATTGTTGTATTATATACACTTCAAATAAATTTAAACATTAAATAAATACATGTACTCATTATATATACACACATTATGTGTATATACATCCTCGTATCTATACTGTTGGCAGTCATGCCTGCTGTGCAGTTAAGTACATAACCAATGTGAATGCTAGTATTGGTGTTTATTGTGCTGTCTTGTGAGAGTCAGAAGTTACCTCCCTGTAATGCAATATAAAGATTGCAACAAGGCTGTATCTCAAGAGGCGAGTCGTTCAGGCTCAGACTTCTGGCTCATGGGGCATCTGGGGCGTGGCACCCTGGTGAGGACCTTGTGATTCCTCCAGAGGTACCACAGACCCTGGGACTCTCCCTTCCGCTCTTGTTGGCATGGTCAGTCTTGATAAGAGATGAGGCTGCGTGAGTCACATTTTTGTATACTCACTATTCTTTGCTTCCCTGGATTGTCTGACCCTGTCTACCAGCTGGGCCTCTGTGGTTATCAGCCCAGAGTTCCCAGACCAGACCTTGCACTCCTGTGGGAATACTGTGTACCCTTGATCCAAGGATTTGTTGCACAAAGGGATGAGCGAATGTGTGGGAGTCAAGCTTGCTAGTTCATCCACAACTTGGTCAGGCAGAGAAAGTGGGCTCTGGAGTGTGACTGAGTTTCTTCTTTTATTTTACTTTTATTTATTTTAAAAGATTTTATTTATTTGTATTGCAAAGTCAGATATACAAAGAGGAGGAGAGGCAGAGAGGAAGATCTTCTGTCCACGGGTTCACTCCCCAAATGACCACAAACTACCAGAGCTGAAATCCGAAGCCAGGAGCTTTTTCCGGGTCTCCCACACGGGTGCAGGGTCCCAAGGGTTTGGGCTGTCTTTCACTGCTTTCCCAGGCCACAAGCAGGGAGCTGGATGGGAAGAGGGGCTGCCAGGATTAAAACCGGTGCCCATATAGGATCCTAGTGCAAGGTGAGGACTTTAGCCATTAGGCTACCATGCTGGACCTGTGGCTGAGTTTCAAACACTGGCTCTACTAAGCCCCAGCTGGGTGACACTGGGCAAACTACTCAACATTGCAGAGTCTTTTCCTCATGTATAAAATGGGGATTCAGTTGTCTCCACTCCACAGGTTATTTGAGGAACAAACGAGATCACCCATGTGAAAGCCACTGTGTACCCGTGGCCTGTACAGGAAGCCTGCAGTTCATGGTAGCCTTGCTCTCCTCTAGAGTTACAACAGATGCCAGTCCTTTCTAGAAACACCTGGAGTGTAGATGCCTTCGATGAAAGTGAGATAGCAGAGATTGGAGGCACCATGGGCATGCCTGGTGAGGAACCTTCGAGAAATGGGTAGGATTTCAACAGGAAACAAGAAAGAAAAAAAGCATCCCTGAAACAAGAAATGCATGACCAAGTGGGATCCACCAAGGGAGATGCCAGTGGGCGCATTGGGTTCGGGGGGGACGGGTTCATGCTCAAAGGGGCTACAGGTGAGCTGATGATGGGGTCAGCTGGACACAGTCAGACTTGTTGTGCCATTTTTAAACTATGTGACCCCGGGAAAATTGCTTCGTGTCTTCCTAAGCGTCAGATCTCTGAGAGACACAATAGTTAAAGCCATCATATAGTAAATGGTGTTTTGGGGGGTATGCTGGTTCATGAATTGTAACACATGTATGGATCTAGGAAGCAGAAAAGACAAAAGACAGAAACCTGAAACTCAGTCCAGTTTTCCAGCATCTTTGTAGCACAGAGAGTACAAGGATCTGTCTCATTGGAGCTAAATGAGTAAGCAAATACCAACTCCTGAGACCAGGGTCAGGTGCATCAGACACATTACATAAGTGTACAGCTGTTCTTATCTCCCAGGCTTTTTAGATAATGTGTACGGATTATGCCACCACACAAAGGAGCACTTTTGCAAGTCAGGGTGAGACAGGCAAAAAGAAGTGTGTCCAGTAAATATGACTTGCATCTTTTGTGCTGTTTTGTTTTTAGGGTATTGCTCCCAAACTAGAGTTTGCCACAAGGACAGCCATCCGAGAATGTGCGCCTCTGCATAGGGACAGATTTCTGGTAAGTGTAATAACGACAATACTGATGATGACGATGACAATGATGCAAGCTCCGATAGAGTGGGAATTTTCTCTCCAAATTTAAAGAATCTTAACTCCGACTTGGCTTATTACAAAACTACACCTGCACAGCCTAGCACCGTAGAGCAAGCCTGTTTGATCCAGCTTGCCCTGGATGACAGAAGTTGCCCTCAGAAGCAACACTGAAACTTGAACCCAGGCCATCTATGGTGGAACGTGTGTGTGTCCCACACAGCGTCTTAAGTCCTGAACCCACTGCTCACCCCGTGTTTCCTTTCTAAATGAATACCTGTCTTTCTCTTACACCAAAAATATCACATTTTTTTTTACAGTATTAGAAAACAAAGTATAAAGGACAAAATAAAAACAAATTATCTGATTTTAAAAAATCATGTGGAAGTGTGACTTTTTAAAAGTTATTTTGTACACACATGTAATTTTATTGTAAAAGAATGGGTCATACTGTACTCCATTATTATTTTAGACACTTCTGTTTTTATTTGCTATTGTCATGAGTATTTTCTCAAGTCCTCAAGTATTTGTATCCCCGAAAGGTTTTCATGGTCTCATTGTATTCCACCATGTACTGGGTCTTGTTTGTCCAATCATCTTCCTTTTGTTGAGTATTTAACTGTTGTATCAGTCAGGATCCAATTGAGAAATCCAACTGTAATTGTTACTGTAACAGAATGATGTAGTGCCAAAAAAAAGTGACTAAACGGGGGTTGGAGGACTGAAGGATAAAGGGGATGCTGAAGGGACCTACGGAAAAGAGCTACAGGAATTAACTGCGGTCAAGAGTCTGGAAGCTTGAGGAACAGACCCCATAGGCACGAAGGTGTTGCCTTCCTGGGAATTCCGAAGCTGGACTTTGAGGAAGCTGGACTGCTGGGAATGGTTTCGGGAGCAAGCAGGTGGCTCTGGCCAACTGATATTGGTTATATCTGAAGGGGCGCAATGAGGCTGCTTCTGTTACTGGGGTGGGGAGCAGTTATAAAACTAGAGCTATTTGCTGCTACTAAGGGAAAGAATGGGTGTTGAGGCGCTACTAAGCTGAATAGAATGGAAATTCAGCCAGCCAGCCCATTTTTTCCGTCTGCCTTGACGTTTGCCTCTGGTGCCCTCTGGTGGCAACGCCCAGTAAAACAACGGACGGCAAGGATGATTTGCAGAATTCCAAGCCTTGTATCATAGAGGTGAGATGGGTTTGCAGCCAAGAGGCAATTGCGTGCTCACCAATACTCTTGGTTCCTAATTCTCAAACTGTGATAAAGTCTTTGGTAGTTATACAATCAGCCATCCTATTTCTTTGTAATAAGTTTATTGAAGTTAAATTGCAGGATCCAAGTGCATGCCAAAATTTTCTTTCTATCTTTCTATCTTTCTATCTATCTATCTATCTATCTATCTATCTATCTATCTATCTATCTATCATCTATCTGTGATAGGAATGAATGTCTTATTCTTTGTTACAATACACATAGATCTACTTGTTACTTAAACAATAAGTATACTTCAATTCATGAAAAAAATGGACTTGATATTTTAATGCAAAAACTTTTGAAATAGATGTACAGTTTCTTTCACATGTGTTTTTCAAGAACTTTTTGAAAACTCCCTCATATGCATGGATTTTTAAAATTTTTGCACCAAAATAAATTTACCTTTAATTCTAGTTTCCATGAACTGTTTTTCTTTCTTTTGGAATATTTATATGAGATGGTCCTAGTAAATATATTTGGGAACTACGTGAAAGCTGAGGTAAGTAAGATCCTGGCTCAAGGGTGGGGCAGAGGTGAGTCCTAGGCCAGAACATCTGTCACTTATAGTTGCAGGCACTGGTCATCATGGCCATTTTTTCTTTTTTTTTTTTTGAAAGGTTTGTTTATTTTTGTTGAAAAGACAGATTTAGAGAGGGAGAGACAGAGACCTCCCATCTGCTAGTTCACTCCTCAAATGGCTGCAATGGCCAGAGCTGAGCCGATTTAAAGCCAGGTGCCAGGAGCCTCTTCCAGGTCTCCCATGCAGGTGCAGGGTCCCAAGCACTTGGGCCATCCTTTGCTGCTTTCCCAGGCATAAGCAGGGAGCTGGATGGGAAGTAGAGCAGCTGAGACAAGAACCTGTGCCCATATGGGGTGTTGGCACTGTAGGTGGAGGTTTAGTCCGCGGAGCCACTGTGCTGGCCCCTTCCATGAACTTTTTTACATTACAAGGTAATGAGTGGTTATAAATACAGATGATTTTAAAAAAGATTTAAAATACATACTTATTTATTTGAAAGGCAGGGAGAGGGAGATAAACAGAGAGAAAGCTTCTGTTTACTGATTCGCTCTTGTAATCCAATAGGTAGGGCTGGGCCAGGAGGAAATCACAAGGCAGAAACTGCATTTGGGGCTCTCACATGAGTGTGGGGCCCAAGCATTTGGACCATTTTACACTGCCCTCCCAGCACCCTTAGCAAAGAGCTGGACTGGGAACTGAGTAGTTGTATGGGATGCTGACACCTCACGTAGCAGTTTGACTTGCTGTGTCATCATGCTGGCCCCAATGGTGATTTTAAGCTCTGAAGTAGAGAAATGCTCTTTCAAAGGCTTATATTGTATACATCTGAAATGTTCTGTCCTCTACTTTGGTTTTAGAAATGTCAATTGGGGGACCAACTTTGGGTACAGTTGTTTAAGCCGCCATCTGTAATGCCTGTACTTGCTAGGAGTGCTGATTTGAGTCCTGGCTGCTCCATTCCCAGTCCAGCTCCCTGCCAGCGCACCTGGGAAAGCAGTGCAGGTGCTCGGGCACCTGTACCCTTGAAGGAGACCCAGATGTTGGAGTTCCAGACTTAGCCCAGCCGTAGCCACTGTGGCCATTTGGGGAGCGACTCACAAGATGCAAGACCTCTCTTTCTCTCTCTGTAATTTTGACTTTCAAAAAAAAAAAAAGTCAATTTAGTAATTATATCCTGATTGAGTTTTCTTTCTTATTTTAAAAATATATATTTTTACGTTTCAGGAACAAAAGTATAAGTCACAAAGACCTTTATCACCATCACGTAGACCAATATTCCCCTTAAATAACACCAATACCAAGATGGTAGTGAAGATGAATCGTCTGGACAGGCTGCCCGCAGGCGTGGACCCCCGGGTCCCTTCTCCCTACTGCATGCGACATTGCTTCCTGCAGCAGCCGGCTCTGCTCACCCCTGGAAATGACTGCAAGATCTCTGCAGGAAGCAAACCTCCATTTGTGGTTAGACACGTGAGCCCAAAGTTCTTACTGATTTTTAATGTTGCTGCTGGAAATGTCTATGGTGAGAGGGAGAGAAAGGAAGAGAGGAGAGGATGGAAGAGGAGAGGAAAGAGAGAAGAGAGAGAGAGAGAGAGAGTCAAAGCCAGGATCCTGGAGTTCAATGTGGGTTTTCCACGTGGGTGGCAGGGGCAAAATTCTTGAGTCATCGTCTGTTGCCTGCCTGCCAAGGTATGCTGAGCAGGAAGCTGTGCAGAAGAGTACCGAGACTTGAACCAGCATTCTGATGCAGATTGTGGGCATCCCAGGCCAGAGGTCCCTCTCCCTACAGGGATTTTTCAGAATACTTAGAAATGGTGAGAGTGTGAATGAGGCTAGAATAAAGGAAGCCTGGTTCATAAGTACAAATGAATGCCACTTAAGAACAGCATTCTAATAATGACTCTTGTTAAATTGTACTTGTAAAAGGTATCTGACGCAGAAAACTTGTTCAGTGAATGCCAGCTGTCCCAGTTTTGAATGTCTGGGAATTGTTAATAGAGTGTGATGGTGACATACGATAAGTCACCATTACCGGGAGCAGTCTGTGATGTCACCCAACTGGTCATAAGGAAAATATGAGCAGTCACCCTCAGTAAAGTGAGAGTTGATAGAATCTGGACACTTTGAATGGGTGGTAGAGTGGGAGGTTACAGTGTCACCAGGTGACAGCAACCTGCTGTGAGAGAGGACCATGCTGCACTGTGTAGGGATAGGAGATTGCCCTGATTTGAAAGATTGTGAAATAATGTTCCACTTGCTCTCTTTTCGAGTTCAGTCCTTGAATGTTCCCCTAAACTGATTCGTGTCCAGTTTAGCTGGTACGCTTGTGTTTAGACTCAGTGAAATCAGTGGCGTGGGTTGTTGTGTGGGTCTAACCCATCATGTGCTCCGAGGTTGCATATTGGGTGTTTACTCATCTCTCCTAACTTACAGAACAGGCAATTGCAGGTGGGAAAGGGGCCTAACGGGTACCAAGGAAAGAGTCATACAAGCTATGATGGATTAAACTGTTAACTCTTCCTTTGCAGGTGGACAGTGCAAAACCTTTTGGTGAGAACAATTCGGAACACTGTTCCCGGAAGTCTAAAAGAAAATCCGAGTTTTCAAACTTTCCCTTTCCAATGAGAAGAGGTACTTGCGTTTTCTTGTTCTGCCTGTGTGGGTCCTGTTTTTGCTCTGTGGAATCGTGAGTAAGTTTGGAAACTGTGGGCCAGCTTCCTAAATGCCCTTCAGCCGTACAGTTTCCAAGGCCAGGTTCTTTTGGAGCAGTGTCCTCTGCGAAGGTGTTCATTGGAGAACTCATGTGGCTGGCGAAGGGGGACTCGTGCCAGTAGAATTGCTAATCAGAGCCTGCACTTGCCCTGGGTGGCTTGACAGAATGATCAGGCTATTATAGGTAGCTTTTGGCAAATTCCCTTGTACAGTTACCAAAAAGTAAGAGTGCAAAAGTCCAATGATGTCTTAATGAGATTTGCGTAACCCTCTCAGATCTCTGGAAAGATGTGGGCAAGTCCCCTGGACCACATGTTAACTGTGTAATAAGACCGCCTTGAGAAGTCTTTGTATGATGACTGACAGTGACGTGGGTGATGTAGTGAAGGGTGTGGCAGTTCACCCATTCTTGAACTTCATTCAAACACTTAGGCCAGACAGCACTGGAGGTGATCTAAGTGCTTTGCCTGCTGGTAGGATGGTACTTGGGCCATCCCTTTATAACAGTGTTCCCTAGCATAGGTTTAAAGCTTTGTCCTTTCAAGGGGCTGCAGGGGCTCTTGGGATGCCTCAAGCCAGTACTGTGTAACAGCAGCTGAGCAAGGACAGAGGATAGTAGAGCGTGCTTCACCACTGCTGCCATTCCATTGAAGACCTTTGAACTGAAAGTCACCCAAAGCCCAGAGAGCAACACTGGCTTGACTGTTACAGGGAAGCGAAGCAACAATCAATGTTCTTTCCTGGGGAGGACAAGCTGGGCTTAATGCTGGCTTGGGTCTAAAGAGGCAGCATACTGGCCTCTCTCACCTCTTAATCCTGGCAGAGAGGTTACAATCTGTGTAGAGGTCACACATCATTTTTTTGGGAATACCTCCTTTTAGGAAGACGGTCAGAGCTCTGGGCTCAGATCCTTGGAATCCCTGTAGCTTTCAAGTCAGATCTTGGCTTAAATCACAGATCACTCCTCCAGGCCTAAGGTAGATGAAAGCAATGTTCTTCAGACTCGAACATGTATCACTCAGGGATAGTGTTCAACTGCAGGTTCTGGTTCAGTAGTGCTGGGCTTGGGGTGGGATCCTTCTTGGGAGTATGAACTTCTACATGGTGCTGATGCTACTGGTGCATGGACCACACTAACCAGGGAGCCGAGGGAGGTCCCTGGCCAGGAGAGTGCTGCAGACCAGTGGCCAGGGTTTGCAGGGTCACAGGACAGACTTGTGGCCATAGCTAAAAAGGACCTTGACGTTGCTGCTTCTCTGCTCAGCTTGGGGTGGGAGAGATGAAGGTTGCTTAGACAAAGCAGACACCTACATATATATGGGTCCAGAGGACATGAAGCCACTATTTTGGTTGTTCTTTTTACTGCCAGTAGGTGAGGGATCATTAGTGAAGGAAAAAATCCATTGTGACTGTGTAAGCACCAGCCACACTGGAGGATGCCTTACAAATGACACATTTCAGATTTGTTTTTTTTAATCTTGGTTTTTCTCTGTGTGCGTTTACAACTTCACTTCTTTGTCATTCGTATCATTCTGCCTTAGGTCCACTTATGTATTTAGAGAGCCATCATGATGATTTCCATTTTTGCCTTGTTAGATTTCTCCAAGTCCTTATGTATTCATTGTCTCAATTGAACAATTGCGTCTAACCTTGGGCAAAGATAAAATCCTCTCCCCGTCCCCCAAAAACCCCACAGACAATGGCAGAGGAGACATGGTGTAGGAATTCTATGAAGATTGAATATCCATAACCTAAAAATCCAAAATACTCCAAAAGCTGAAATTTTTGAGCATCACCAGAATGTCACAAGTGGAAAAGTCCATCCCTGACATGATGTCATGACTCAGTTAAAATGCAAGGGCACTAAAAATATTGTGTAAAATCATCTTTGAGCTTTGCGAATCAGGCATATATGGCATACAAATGAGTTGTATGTTTACATTTGAGTCCCAGGCCCAATCATCCTATATGAGTGGATATTCTAAAATCCTACAAAAGCCATTATCTGAAACACTTCATGGTCCCAAGAATTTTGGAGAAGGGGGCTTCAGCTTGTATTAGATCCACATTGCTATCATTTGGGCCCTGAGAAACAGGAGTTTTGCAGGCTATGGAAATATAGCTCCAACAATATAGCTCCATTGTTGATGTCAAGAGGTCAGAGGCTCATCTATAGAATTTCTGTGACCCAAGGAAGACTTAAAAAGGGACTGTACTTTATAAGCGTTTAAGTTTGTAATGAGTCAATGTCTAATATTTTTGTACTGCTGTGGTCTCAATGTAACAGCAGTTGTGGGATTAAATGGTATCCATGAGTCATTGAAACACTTGTTCTTCTTTCTTCTAGCTTCTTCTCTTGACAGCCTTGCAGCTAACGTAAAGGTAATTTTAGAAGTAGCGTTTGTAAAATGTTCTATTTCCAACTATCCTAAGTCACATGTTGTGGCTTCTCCAATTGGTAGTGGGAGTGCATAGGTATGGCTGTTTTAGCTTGATCAGGTACCCAGGCTCCACTATAGACTTTGCTTGGGGGTAGTTGGTCTTTTCATTTGTAGGGTAACTCACCAAGAAGGGTGTTTGTAGACCCAGTACTTATTTAATCAGTAGTGGTATTCATTGCTTTTTCTCTGATCGAATACCTGTGTCTGTGAAGGTGATCAATTCCTTGTTCTCAAACTTTAATTTGTAAAAGTGAAGGGTTGGTCTGTGATACACGATGAGAATAGATGTTGTGAAGAGAACTCAAAGTATTGTGCTTCTTGCATCATGGAATTTGAGTAGTTTGTGGAGAAATTATGTCTGTCCCAGGCCCAAGAATCTCCAGTCCTCAGAAATCAAAAGTTCAGAGCACGAGTTGCTTTTGGAAATGTAGGGACTTCCAGTTATTTTTTCCCCCTTAACTTTGACTCCTGAACATTTTACCTCTGGTTGTCTGTATCCTCACCCCTCATCTATTTACAGCAGGTCTCTGGACCCGCATTTTTATCTTCCTTGCCCTTAGATCCCTTTCTTGTCCCACCTCAACCCCAGCTTTACATTCCACAAATGTTTCAAAACAAAACCTCAAACAAGCAAACAAAAATAGGCTGTATTGTTGCCACTCAGGTTATCAAAGAGCCAGATGAACGCATCATTTTAAGGAGAGGATTGCCATCAGCCTTAGACTCCAGGAAGTTGGAAAAGCTGTCACCCAGGAACCAAGGGGATACCGACTGCCACCGGGAAATGTCGTTTGCTACCTCCCAGCACTCCAGAACTCCCAGCCCGCAGGATCAGCTCCTGTTCCACGAAAGGTCAGTGGCAAGCCCCTTTCTCTCTCCCCACACAGTGCCTTGTGTTCTGTAGAGAGTAAAACCTTTCCTAAGAGCACTCAAATGTTGACACCTGGTTGTGGAAAAAAAAATGGATATTCCTTCTGGATCTTGGGATGTTGGTTGTAAACTGAATAGAGAACTCACTGGAGCGCAGATACAGGTCCAAATTGCTAAAATCCCTTTAGGCAGTTTCAGAAAACAGTGTCTATGTTTCTCTTCTTCCAATCACTGCTAAGGACACTTAGAACTCTGAGTGTAGGCTCTGGTTCTCTGCTCCCTCCAGAATATGAAGGCATGAGTTCAGTCGCTCAGCAAGCACCTGCTAACAACTGGTACTGCATGTTGGTGGGTGTGCCCTGCGATAAGCTGTTCACCCGAGTCTCACTTTTTGTGCAGCAGTAGGAGCAGGCATTAAGCAGACAGTGATACAATGTCCGCTGGCAGGAATGCTGTGGGTGAAGCATAGTAGACGGATGTTCCAAGCCGAGCTCCTCCTCTCAGTAGGTACAGGATCCTGAGGCTTTCGGTCATCCTCAACTGCTTTCCCAGGTCACAAGCAGGGAGCTGGATGGGAACCGGGGCCGCTGGGATTAGAACCAGCGCCCACGTGGGATCCCGGCGAGTGCAAGGCGAGGACTTTAACCACTACACTATTATGCCAGGCCCCCCTAATGCATTTTTTAAATACAGATATTGAAATGACAATTTGCAAACCACTTTGCACGTCTCTGCTCTGTTTCCTTATGGCTTAGTTTCAAAGAACAACCTATTTTATGTATTCCAGATAGGTGTGCATTTTGGTAGCTGCGTAATACTCCCCTCCACTGACTCTTTTGGGCAGGTTCCAGCCTTCTTCTCGGCCCACCTGGAAGAAGATCCATGAAAGAGTGTGCCGTCTTCTGACATCCCACAGAGCCCAGCAACACCCCTACATGGTGAGGTTTTCTGATAAGACTATATCTACATGGACAAAATGATATGGGAAAATGGGGCCTGGGGTTAGGGGATAGATATCAATCAAGTAATAATGATACCAACAGTGCACGGTGAGCGTAGAGCATGTTATAGAAGATATTTGAATTGGTTGAGATTCAGGGTAGGCTGCTAGAGGAAGAAGCAGCAAGGAAACTACATCTAAGTAACGTGTGTAGCAATGAGTTTGTGGATTGCCTTCATTAGACAGAGGCCCCGCACTAGTTCCTTTCGAAGCATAGAGACTCAATAGTCTAAATAGGCCACAGCAACTTCCCCTCCCAGGCATACAGGACTCCAGGGAAGAGTACAGGGTGGTCTGGGCAAAGCCACAATGCAGAAGGAAGTCTTTCTGAAACTTAGGAAGGTGGGTCCCCGTTTGAATATAGGACTGTCAGATGTGTTTCTGATCCATTGGTGGATATGCCGTGTGGACGGACAGTAGACACAAAGGAAGAATTCAAATAAAAGGTGTTAAAGGAGCCTCCAGCGGTTGAATTTATGTCATGTAGTCGGATGTAACACTGGCATGTGTTAGATTTATAGGATGACACTTATAAATGAACGTGGATGACCTTAGCCATGGGGATACTGAGGGACTTGATTTCCTCCTTGCCAAGTTGTTGCTTTTTTTTTTTCTGTAATTACCAACCTTTTTAAAAAGAAGCCTTTGAGATGGGAAGCCGGAGGGAGACAGTCTGCATACACACATGTTTAGTGAATTCTGTACACATCGTGTATGTGGGAGGCACGGAGCTCATCCTTTGGTAATGTAATTAGACGTTGATAGCCATGCGATACAATGGCTGGGTGTGTTTTGTTATAGGAAGATCCTGCCTCTGAAATCAATTATATCGCTGAAAGACCAAGCAGTCCTTGGGAGAAATACCCACAACGTGAACAAAGATATTTCTAAGCTGCTGTCTTGTGTAAGTAAGCACCTTCATCTCCTACGAGGGGCTCCTGCTGTCCATATGAAGTTAACTAAGGAATGTGGGGAGCATGAGGCATGGAGGCAAGCTAGAGGTGCATCTCTCAGTGTGATCATGAAAGCATCTGTGTCCACCAACCCTCTTGCCTGTCTAGCGGACTCTGACTTCTTTGGGTTCCTTGAATACAAGATCTTGCGCATCTTGGGGCCGTTGTACTTGCTGCTTTTCCCTGAGTGAATCCTTCTTCCGAACCTACCTGGGGAACCGGGGAACGTCTATGAGCCCTTTCCATGACACTCCATACTCTTTCATGAAAACGTCACAGCATTTATTCTTATTTGGGCTATTGTTTAAAATCAGTCTCCTAGAATGAGATCCAGAACTCTGTCTTCATCGCTCACTATTTTATACCCCGTGTTTTAGCCCAATGTACAGTCGCAGGTTGAAGGTGTACACCCTGTCTTCCCACCTGAACCCCCCCTGTGTCCTTGTGTCACTAATTCTATAGTTACTACTTAGGAAATAAAAAATGCATGTATAAGATTTTATTTATTTTTGTGGCTTTACTTGAAAGGCAGAGGTGCACACAGAGAGATAGGAAGAGAGAATGTCTGGAATTCAGGTAGGTGGCAAGTAACTATTGTGAGTGTCATACTTTCTTAGGTACCCTCATCTTTCCCCCTTTCTAACCCGGGTCCAGAATATTACCAACTTTTGTCTTTCAGGGTGTTACTCTCACCTGTGGAGAGGGGGAGGTGTAGTGAAAGCTGGGGAGCTCCTGTCCCACCCTTCTGGTGCCATCCTTCTCATTTCCTTCTCATTATGTGTTTCCTAAGTGGGAAGAGTTGGTCTATATTTTATAGGTAGTAAACGGTTTATAATGGTCGCAGCAACATTATGAGCTAGGTGCACTTTACACAGAGGGAAACTGGGGTACTGTGAGCTTAGGTGCTGTGCTCTGAGTGACATGATGAGTGAGTGGCAGAGCTGAGAATAGGAACTTGGGTGGTATGGCCGTGAAGACCATGCATTTGACCATGGCATTCTGTCGCTTTGCAAAAGCCAGAGTGTCTGATAGGAGAACACTGGGAAGAGAGAACAGGAGTTTGAAGGAGAGAGCCCTTTGGAACCCAGGAAGGGTTTGTAGACACTGTCCTTGAATGTCTTTCATTAGGGTGCTTCTTTTGTGCAGTCCTCATTCCAGCAGCATTAAGATAACTGCCAGCTGTCTTACGTAATAGAGGAATGTGTGATGATCTGCTAGCTTTTCACTGTAGCCATGCACCTGAAAGTCGGCTTGGAGGGTTAAGCAGACAATGGGGCACAGATTGCCTTGGGGCAGACTGGGGCATGGTGGATAGCTCATTAACTGCTTGGTCTGCGGGCTTTGGCATTGGAACGTTCTGCTTGGTAGATTAAAGGATAGATTCTGGGCCATTTAATCTCTGGTTGCAAAAACAGTCATGTAGACATTTATTACGAGGTTATTTGGGACATAGCCTGTGTAATTACCAATGGCAAGTTGCACTGAATTTCAACATGAGTCACATCAGACTACATAATAAAGCCTTGATAATGTGGACACTGATGTGAGGATACTGAGAGGAGGTAAGAAGGAAAAAAAATAACCTAGATTCTGTCCTGGGAAATGAATGTCTTACAAGTCCATTTTCGACCTGATGGAATATGCTGGTAGGTCTTCCCTGCAAGCTCTTCATACTGTCCCCTACCTTGAGTTTTGGAGCCGTGCTGAAGCAGAGATCCTGAAATACTGGGCTCATGTATGTTGTCTTGGTTGTGAAACCTTTGCATGACTCTTGGTAGTCTTAGGTTTTTAGGAAAATACTGATAGTCCAATAAACACGGGAAGGGTCCCAACAGGCAGGGTCGTGTGCCATGCCGTCTGTGTGTGGGGAAGATGGATTCCAGAGAGAAACTCAGTGGTTCCCACCATGTGGCCCAGTTCCTTCTTTTTTCCACGACTCCTCCTCCTTCACCTTTGTGAAGTGACTTGTCCAAGGGTACAAGGTGCTCATTGTCTTACTCTGCATTGGAAACAGAAGAAGCAGCTCAGAGCCCAACTTGACCCAAGGTAGACTAGCTCAGTGTCAAGCCGATGGCAGTGCACATTTTTTTTTTCTGTTTTACTCTCCTATTGTATTGGTGGTTCACTTGTTGAACGCCACGTGTAGTTTCTGTTGTTTCAATTTTCCCAGGAAAAGAGGAAGGCAAGCTGAAGGAAGATCACGAAGAGTGCGCTCATCAAGACAACAGATGCATCCTTCCAGAAATGAATGATTTGTGTTGTCTCTGTTGAGTTACTGGGGTCTAACCTATTAAGTCAAACTCTGTACTCAGCCTTTTGTGCCAAGGTAAGAGTACTTATTAAAGTGTTTCCTCTTTGGGGCTCAGATTTTCTTGTCAGATTAGAAAAATAAATATTTTAGTTTGTGAGTTTGAATATGAAATAGGAAATAACAATGGGTAGGTAGGTAGCAGGTTTTTTTTTTTTTTAATGTCAGGATGTCTCTTCATTCTTGGCAGTAGATGTGTTCTTGCAAAGTTCTATTTCCTGAATCTAAATTTCATAGGAAGTAGAGGATGTTGCTATTTAGAGGTATAATCTGACAAATCCTCTGAGTACATAGACTGCCAATCTGTTTTTCTCTTTTTGGTAAATCTCATTATTTTTCTTCTATAGCTGTGTGTTTATTTTCTAATATTAGGCTTGATGTTCACATGGAGTTCACTAAAAACTTAGGAAATGAGAACATTCCAGTCTTGATTTAGAAGTTGAATTTTCATGACAAATTTCCAAGAGGAGACTAGCTATAGTTTAAGCTGTTCCTTCTCTTCTCAGCAATTCTTAATTTGTATGAGGAGAAAGAAAACTTCATTACAATGTTCCTCTCTGAGTTACTTAGAGTAGATAGGTTCTGCAGATATATGACTGTCAAAATCAGATTTTAGAGTAGTTAGTAGGGAACCCTGAAGAAGATGCATTCAGTTTGTGGGACCAGGAGTGAGAGAGAGGAGTAAGGTGATGGGGGGACCGGGGGTGCCTTTGCTTTTGTCAGCACGGAGACAAGGGGGTCTGAAGACCGAAGCCTTTGTCTGTCCTCTTTTTCACCATAGCAGTTTTCTCTACTAGGCCTGCTAGAGTCTCAAAGTTTATGTTCCCTCAAAATCTATATGTGGAAACCCTAGTTTCTAAGGTGGGAGTATCTGGAGGTGGGTTCTTAGGAAGGTGATGAGGGCATGAGGGTGGGACCCTCCATGAGAAGGGTCCCAGGGAGCTCCTTGCCCCTTTGCCCATGTGAGGATGCTGAGAGCAAGTGCCAGCTGTGAACCAGGACACAGGTCCTTGCCAGATTCTGAATTTGTTGGCACCTTGACCTTGAACTCTAGGAAAGCGAGAAACAGATTTCTCTTTTGGTATAAGCTATTCAGCTTTAGGGTGTTTTGTCACTTCAGCCCTAATGAGCTATTAGACAATCCTCTAATACTCTTTCAGAAATTTTCAAGATTCAGTGAAAACCACATTTCTTTTCTTATGACTATAGGATTTGATTTATCATACCAACCAGGAAGGAAAATGTCAGGGCTGGGTGAGTTAAGCCACTACTTGGGATACTTCACCCCGTATCAAAGTGACCGGTTTAAGTCTTGGCTCTTCCATTTCTCATTCAGCCCCTTGGTAATCACTCTGTAAGAGGCAGAACATGATAGCTCCCAGTACATGGCATCTTCTGTCTACAGGGGAACCCGTGATAGAGTGCTAGTTTTCTTTTGGATTTAGCCTGGCCTAGCCCAACTGCTGTGGCCATTTGGCGTGGGGGTGGGGGGGCGGTGAACTAACAGATGTTAGATCTGTCTTTTTCCTTTCTCTCAGGCACTCTGCCTTTCAGATAAATAATCAAAGGAAAGAAATATAAAAAATATCCCCAAGCTTATTTGTCTTCTAGAATTTCAGCCAAACATTACAGCAAGCGTTCCATCTTTAAAAGGCAGATGGTGGGCTTAAATTCCATGTACTTACAGGCTTCTCCAGTCTGTGAAACAACAGGTGTTGATTTGCCCTTTTTCTCACTTCTAAGTCATCATCAAAAATTATCTGTTTCCTTAAGATTATGTTCCAATTCTCAGGAAAGGGTGATTCCTATTTGTAGCTGAAAGAAACCAGGCGGAATGAATTGACGTTCCATCCTAGTCACTGCTCCTTTAAAAAAAAAATTAATGGTTTGACCAAAACCTCTTAATATAATGAGTTATAAATTTTTCTTGTTTTTTTTTTGTGGTTATTTTTCTCCTTGCTATATGATCTGATAACTCTATTGGTTATTTCAATTTTAACTCTTTGTATTCAAAGAATTCTATTATGAAACATCATGTTTGGGACCTGGATTACGGTGGAGAATTCTTTTTTCTTTTCCGGTAAATATTGATGGGAATAATTTTGTGTGCTGTATTAACATTTGGATTGTCATGGAAAGATCTGTTATTAAAATAGTAAGAAAAAAAAAAGAGGTCCCATTGGTTTTTCTTTAGTCCATAACCTCTCTCTTGATCTTCACAGCTGTGAATCCTGGAAAACATGGGCCATATTTTAACACGTGTCCCAGGATCTGCATTACAGAGGTTCCTGGGAAAGTCGCCTCTGTGGAAGCAAGGCTCTCCCAGGAGAGGTCATTGCACAAAAGCATCGTTTCTCTGAGGTCACCAGACCAAGCCCAACTTCACTGAAGCCAATAGGTTCCAAATTTATCAGAGAATTTTTTTTTTTAAAAAACAAGTGCTGCAAATGATGTGTTGGCCCTAAAAAAGGTGGTTAGTTTCAAGAGTGTAATCTGAGAAGACTGATAGTTATGTTCCTGTGTGAATTTGGCCAAGCCTCCAGTGCTGGGTCACCATCAGTACTAGGTATACTCAGTAACTCCTCAGTACAAGGTCACTCAGTCAGGTGCACTCCTTACCCCTCTGCAGACCTGAGCAGCAGGCCATGCCCTGTAGTTATTGGTGCCAGGACCACACTGCCGGATGCCACTGCTGCCCTCTGCAGCTCTGTGGGCCCATCACAGCAGTGCTTGGGAGGTGTTGGAAGGAAGCCCTGTCCCTTCTCTGTGTGTGTGTCCTGGGAGCTCTGTCACCAACCAGAGCAGTGACCCTCTGCCTCCTTGATCTGGAATCCTCTCAACTTCCACTCTGTGTGATGGGCACCTCGTGATAGCTACAATGTCATTCAATTGTGGGAGGAAAGTGCCTGTGCTTCAGAACTAAGGGATTTGTCCACATCAGAGGGGATCCTGGGGTCCCTCTCAGCATGGTCGGCTCTTAACACAGTGAGGAGTTCCAAATTCAACATTTTAGGGTTCCATTCCTTGTCAAGCTATCCATTAGTCTCCCTGCAAACACACATATTCCTAGCTGTAGCCTGTAGCATAATACCCATTCTCAACGTCTCCTAAGAACCACCTTACAAAAAATCAAAATATCTCAAATAAATGATCTTATAATGTCCCTCAAGGACTCATTTAAAAAGGAAAAAAAAAATGATCAGGAAGCAAGAAGTTATAAAAATCTCAGCCAAAGACAAATGGAATTGAACCTAAAACACTACAAGTTGCAACAGGAAAGTCCTTCTTTAAGAAGATGAGCAAAACACACTCGTGGCCAGACTAGCAAAGAAAAGCAAGAGTGGCAGAAGATAGAGAGAGAATCTTCCATTCTCTGATTCACTCCGCAGGTGACCTCAACAGCTGGGACTGGGCCAAGCTTGGAGGCAGGAGCCCAATCACAGCAAGCATCTTTTGAGACCGTCCCAGGCCACAAGCAGGGAGCTGCATGGGAAGCGGGGCTGCCAGGGTTAGAACTGGTGGCCATATGGGATTCCGGCACATTCAAGGTGAGGACTTTACCTGCTGGGCCACTGCGCCGGGCCCAGAAATCCTGATTTTTAAAACACAGAGCCTGGATGATTCAGTTGGGTATTTCCTCCCCTTAAAAGCATCAGGATCCCATATGGGCTTTGGTTCAAGCCTCTGGTACTCTAAGAATACGGATGTGTCTTGAGTAAGGGACCTTGTACCCAGTGGGCTTACAATTTTGAAAAAAAGTAATTTTTTCAGAACTGATGATGTTATTCCTCTATGCACTAAGTATGCTTTAAGTGAGCTCAAAATCACGTGGAACATCAGTCCTCAACCAGCTCCTTATCAGAGAGTTGTGTTTTGTGGGTATTTCTTGTGTGTTGTCAATTACGGGAACTATCCTACATTCTTCTAGCCAGGGTGTAATAGACATTTATATATATATATAAAATGTATATATGTAATAGACATTTATATATATATATATAATATAAAATAGACATTTATATATATATATATAAAATCTTATTCCCTTTCATCCAAAGTTGCCCATTGATGTCTGACACATACAAGAAGTCCAGCATTTTTGAGGGGTACAGGACGATGTCATCCCTTTAAAGAACATACAGTTCAGCTGTTTCAAGTTGATGTCTCATCTCAGAGGGCAGGGTTGGTTCTTCATGAAACCCAGGCCCCACGATGTTGACGTACGATTGCTTTGCTACACTAATTGCCAACAGAATTCTGCCCTCATCTTGGTCTCTGTATACAGGCACAACTGTTCATAATGGCGCTATATGCCAGTTCAGTCAGGCCACCCAACCGTGTGAGGAATCAAGTTACTTCTCTTCCACCCTGCTTTTCCATTCTTGGATTTTAAGTTTTGAAAACAATAATAATTCTGAGCCAATTAAACACAGCTTTTTCTTCTCACAAATGTCCAAGAAAAATACATTAAAAAAAAAAAAAACCAGGAAGAAAAAGATGGGGGAGAAATTGTAGGGAGACAGAAATGGAGTGTTGTTCTCTGGGGACTTAAGGACAATGTCAAGACCCCAAAACACCTCTGCCAACTGTTGTGCAACAAACTGGAGGGACCCAATAAGGAGGTGGAAGCACTCAGTGCAACATAAATCATTGACTCAACTTCCTTTACATTTATTTTCTATAAACAATATCAGTAATTGCATTTTAAAATTCACATTCAACCATTGATTGCTACGATGATTACAGGACAGCTGGGCATCAGTCTTGTAGATTTCAGTGGAAGATGGTCAATCCTGAGCGTTTCACTTACTTTCTTGCTGTCTTTGGCACAATTTCTGGCTCCTTTGACATAAAAGCGCATGTTTGAGCTGGCTACCTAAGACTTTACGTCCGTGTTGGAAGTCAGTGTGAGGACGCCTTAAGCATTATTTACAAATTGAAAAGTGTAGCACAGCCTTTAGTCAGTGATCTTCCTAAGTTAGCAGGGGGATGATGACAAGCAGTGGGTTTTAATGAACAAGGCTGAGATTGACAGTTCAGTCCTCCTTGGAGGGGACAGGTGTCACAGAAGGAAGATTTACCCCTCCGTTACTGATACCGTTATCTTATGTCCTGTGGTTGACTTTGCAAGAATCCCAGGATTGTGACAACTCTTTCTCTGCAGTATGGCTCTTTCAGTCTCTGGGTTCCATGTTAAAATACAGCTTAGCTGGCCACTTGCCACGGTTGTTTGGGGGCTGATAGACTCAAAAGTCCAAGGGTAGCATAGCACTCGTCTCTTTACCTGGCCTGAGTGAACTTGGAAGAACAAAGCCTTCTTATTGGATAAGCATGCATCCATCTTTTTTTTTTTTTTGAGTGACAGCTTTCTGTACAGTCTTGATGTAAAACGGATATGGATTCACTCCAGGCAGCCCAAATCTGGAAGATGTCACTACAATACATCTCTCGTTTGGGGCTGAGACATAGGAAGTGACCAAACAAAACCATTTCTCATTCTATTGTTGATAAAAAGGAAAAGAGTTTTGATAAACCCCGCAGCTATGAGAAGTTGTAATAATTCTTCAAGTACAAGGACAGTTCTTTATTTCATATTGACAATTCAATTTTGATCTCTGGAAAATTATATGAAAATAATAAATATATACATATATATGTACATATATATATATATATATATATATAGCTCTATACTGAACACTGGGTGAACAGTTTTCAGCATTCCATTACAGTACATTAATAGAAGAACTCTTCTGCCTTCCCCACAAAGCCTACACTCATCTCAAAACTGTCATTAATGAACCATACTGGTTAGTTTTCTTTCAAAGCCAAGTTCTTTGAGACTGGTTAGAGAGGAGTTCAGTATGGACAATTTGGCCCATGAGCAGGGAAGGTTAAATGCTTAATAATCTATAAAAACAAAAAAAAGGTGAGGTCAAAGGAAACCCATGCTTACTAGAAAGCCTGAGTAGAAGTTGGTAGCCAATGACAGAATAATTTTTAAAAACACTGGTCTGTACACGAGAAAAACAATTTCTCTGCCATACCCATAATCTAATTAGCAGTTATTTCATACACTTTCCAACTTTTCCCTATGGAATTACAAAAATTCAGAGAATACAACTTTCTAATAATTGGAAATTATTAGAAATGTTTCTTTTTCATATTATCCCCTACCTCCCACCAAACCCCAAAACCCAGAGAACCAAGGTTGTGAATTCAAATAGTGAAAATAATCTGGAAGTCCTAGATATCAAATTAAATGTACAATTGGCCATTTGTATTTTCAATGAATTAACGTTTGAATCGGCGAAGAGATGACTCTTGTGCAACATCCTTCACACCAGTCATCCAGTTACCTGAAGCCAGTGGCACTAGAACTGCGAGGTCTGCGTGAATGAGATGGTGTCCGACTTGTCCACGGCAAAACCTCCATTGATGTAGGACTTCTTGGTGTCCGAGTCTTCACTATCATTGGGCACAGATTCCAAAGCAAAAGGGTTCACGATGTTCACTTCGGAAGAGGCATCCATTTGCTCCAACTCCTTCTTAGAGAGCTTTTCCACAATGCCTGTACCAAAAGCATCCCCGAGGACATTGACCATGGTCCTGAACCGGTCCCTGAGAAAGAACGAGGAGGAGTCAGGCAGAGGACAAAAAAAGCTCCAATATGTTCATTTCAGATCCCAGGGAATGCTGTCCTCCTGGCCAGGTGACCAGAGGCACCTTATGGGCCTGTGGCCTGAGGTCATTCATGAAGGTACGGAGTGAACCAACAGGCTCCACAGGGGTTGCGCCCCCTGCCCCAGTCAGCAATGCCTTTCCTTAAATCTCCCTAGATTGTTTCCCCTCCTCGCAAGTATTTGGGGCAGTGGGACTGCAAGAAGTTCAAAATTCAGCAAAGTCTTTTGTCCTAAACTTTGTCTTATGGGTTTTCCAACTTCAATATAATTGACATTGTACACTCTCCTTTGGCTAAGATGACAGAAACTGGGTATTTCAACTATCTGGAAAATTTACCATTTCCCTTTCTTCCATCTCAGCTGTTCCCTTCTAACTGTACAGCACTGGATTCTCCACTAAGCCAAAACCACTGAGCTGGTTTTCAGCGGACGGTTCAATACAGAGCTACCCTTAGGTCAGGTGGCGAGGAAATGGAGTCAGGCTCTGAGGCCGGCAGACCAAGGCCCAGAGCGGATGTTAGAATGCATGTGCTCAGCCAGATGTTCTGCTGTGTTCCTTATCTCTGTGAGTGTGTGTGTGAGAGACACAGACCATTGGTCAGTCTCTGAATGGCCCTAACTCTAATCACAACAACAATGCTCACCATGTACTGAATGCACACTGGCTGTCAGACGTAGGCATCTCAACTCATGAGATCCCTGATGCTTTGAAACCCTATTGTAATGTCTACAATAGCTTGTTGAGTCAGGCATCTTGCAGATAATGCCAGTGGCCTTCAAAGAGGTTAGAGCATCTGTTCAGAAAGCGAACAAATCAGTCTTCCATGTTCATGCCACTAGCTCTGATGGTTCTGTAGGCAGCTGGGGAGTTGGGATTTATCCAGAACCAGCTGGTTCTGAACCTCTGATGCTGAGACAGAGTTGGAGATGTGCTAGGGTGCTTATGCAGTTTGCAACATCTGGGGCCTTGCCCAGCTTCTTCCTTTTATTACTCTACATTTACCTTGTCCCATGCCCAACCCCTAACCTTGAACATTGTCAGGTACAGCGAGCTAATGGACTTCACCGGCTTTTAAAAACCTTTGCTCGAAGTTGTTTGGGGTTAATTTTTAAGCATGTTATCAGATAGCCTGGTCAGAGGGAAACAGAAGCAGCCCCAGATGGCTCATTAGGCAATCTGGGGACAGACTGCAGATGCCGGATGGGTGAGAGGCCTGCTCACCCATCTGGGTAGGGTAGTGCATGTATTCCAACTCACAGGAGCCAGTCGACAGCAATGATGAGCGTGACGTCCTCCGCTGGCAGGCCCACAGCGCTCAGCACGATCACCATGGTCACCAGGCCAGCCTGGGGCACACCGGCCGCTCCAATGCTGGCAGCCGTGGCTGTGACACTATAGCCAAAACACACAAGCAGGAAAGTTGAGACACCCACACGTCACCCTCTTTAAAGTCATCCTTTTCAGTCCCAGGAAACTGCAACTGCTGTGTTCTTGGATCAGGCGGTCTGAAACTACTCTCAGCTAAGAACCAGTTGTAGGATGCTTATAGAAGACTTTACTCATGAGTGCATGTATCCATCTTAAATACGTACCAGGTACCTACACCTGCTTCCTCCTGGCTACTCATCTAACCCATCATTAACCGAGCATCCAGTATGCACCAAGAGTTTAAATTGCCTTGAAAGAAGGGTAGAGAGAGTAGTGGTAGCAGATGGATAAGGAATTTCAGGGGAGGAAAATGGGTTACTTTTTTCTTTTTAACTGACCTCTCTGGGAGCTGTCCTGTAGGATACTGGGATGGAGAAAGCATTTGGAGTCGCATCCAAAATGTAAGCATTTACTTCTGACTGCACCTTCTAGCTAGTGATCTAGAATCTTCTAGAAGAGTGGTCTAGAATCCAGGAGGGGCAGCCAGATGAACCTCATTTCCATGGTTGTTATTTATCTATTTATTGCTTTTTTTTTTTAATGCTGTGTCTTGAGCTGTGAAACAGTGGAAGCTTCTCACCAGCAATATTTCCCTCACTTTTGTTGCTTCCTTCTGGAGCCAACAAGGGCTCAGCACTCTGCAAAGTCCCTTTATTTAGGAGGGCTTTGTGGCACGATATTTTCTGGGTTGAGGCTGAACTGCGGTCAGGATGTCAGTGGGATGAAAGGTTAAGATGGGTCCGGCACCATGGCTCAGTGGCTAAATCCTCGCCTTGCACACTCCGGGATCCCATATTCCACTCTATCGTGTCCTAGCTGCTCCACTTCTCATCCAGCTCCCTGCTTCTGGCCTGGGAAAGAAGTAGAGGATGGCCCAAAGCCTCAGGATCCTGTACCTACTGGGAGAGCTAGAAGAAACTCCTAGCTTTGGCTGCTAGCCAGTTGGGGAGTGGACCAGCAGATTAAAGATATTCCTCTCTGTATCTCCGCTCTGTAAATCTGTCTTTCAATCAATCAACCAATAAACCTGTTTGAAAAGGTGAGGATATGGAAACTGCCAATTTCAATAAGAAGCCTTGGTGTGACCAACAAATCCACACAGCTTGGGGCTGGGCTTCAAGCTCAGAATCCACTAGCCAAAGAAAGCTGTCTCTGAGCCTTGAGTTAGTTTGCTGAACCTTGGTATCTTGACTGGTTTTGTTTTGAATCTCAAAGCTATCAATCTGCAGAAAAGGAAAATGGTATAAAAACATCATCTTGCTGATGTTGACTTAGAGGGTTTTTACAGAAGAAAACCTAACCACCATTGGTACAAAGTTCCTTCTTAACTATGAAGTCTAGTGTTCATTTAACTCAGCTCTCTGAGGGGCCCATGAGCTGGAGGAGGACCCACGTTTTGCAATCAGACACTCCTGGGCTATACATCTGGTTCTGAGGCCTTACTGACAGCGTTTTCTTAGGCTACTGCTTTCCCAGTCCACAAACAGGGAGCAGGATGGGAAACTGGATGGGAAGCGGGGCCACTGGGATTTGAACCGGCACCCCTCTGGGATCCCAGCACATAAAAGGCGACAACTTTAGCTGCCAGGCTACTGCGCCAGACTCTGGTTTAAAAAATTTGAAATCCATGCATACAAGGAGTGTTCAAGAAAGTTAATGGACATTCATATTATAGAAATAAATGTACGGTCCTAAAAGAAAATACTTGAACTAAATCATAATCAAACATTCTGTGTCTGAAAGTCTAAAAAGTTCTAAAATTTAAAACTTTCTAAAATGGTTTAACCTTTGTCCTCAACCCTCAAATTACTGTGAGATGAACAGAGAACACATTCTATATAGTTCATACTTACAATTATAAGCATACACTGAGACTTTCTTTTTTTCTGTCTTAAAATCGGAAACATTTTGAGTGCCAACCGTCCAAACTAAAAGTTTGGAGAACTCTACAAGTGACTTCATGTGACAGCTCTGTCAAAAACACTGGCAAACTAAAAATTTGAAAGTAAATCATTCTCTAGCTATGTGAATGATAAGCACAAATGGAATCCATGTTTATCCCTGGGTCCCACCCCAAGATGTCTCATTACTGTAAGTGCAACTATTCCAAACTCTGGAGAAACCCACTACAAGTCTGTTCCCAGGTATTTCAGTAACACTCAACCTGTGCTATCAGAACCACAGCACCTGCTCCTCCCTATTCCTCCAGCTCTTTCTGGGCCCCAAACTCTGTAATTATTTTTCCCTGAAGACAGTTCTTCTTCACTCGTCAGCAAACATGACAATGAAACCACAACAGGGTGTGTTTCGAGTGACTATTTCTTAGGTGTGCATTCCACAGACAGAAATATAATAGTAGGGGTTGAGAAATGTCTTTAACCATTAGCCACAGGAACTATAACTGGAGCCTGTAAAGTTAAAACTAACTTTTTTTCCAGGTTAAGCCAGAGAGGGTTTTTCTTATGTTAAGTCAATGATTACATTTGGCATTATAGTTGGGATTGGTTTGGGGCCAGTAGCTGGCCTTCAAGTCAGATTTCAGAAGACATAAGAGAGAAGCAGGAGTGAGGTGTGGATGAAAATGGATTATACAAGTTCTAGGTGCAAAGTTGATTCCTTTAGCAGTCAGGTAATAAGATATATGGGTAGCAAGATCTAAGAGATTTATGACCCTAGAAGAGCGAGGAAATTTATGAATGAACCGGCACCTTTTGAAACCACTCCTAGGAAATCAGTTCAGTGCCAACTGGGTCCTCCAAGCTGGGGTGAGACAGGTGGAAAAATTCCTGGAATCTGTTGCCAGGTGCTTCTTTAGCCACCAATGCATTTTTATAGAATATGCAGCTTTGATGTACCTCCCCAGCTGATGTGCCAGGAAACCCAAAGGGGCGAGGACATTGAGGAGGAAACGGCTCACTGAGCATTCCAAAAACTGATCAAGTACTGGACATGTCAGTGCTGGGTCTGTTAAAGGTGGTACCTGCTAGCATCGTACATGGCTCGTAGCTGACTGAGTTGGATGGCACTGCTTTTGAACAATTCTGTCATTGCAGAAAGGCCCACTGGAGTGATGGGCTGGGATGAGAGTTCACTTGGGGACTTCAGTTCGATGCCGATATATATTTAAGCCTAAGCTATGTCCCAAGGCTTACTCAGCATTGGATCTGAACCCTTCAGAGTTCATGGACCCTTAATACCCACAGCCTAGATAGAGGGTAAGAATGTGGTTTGTCAACCATGTTCTAACACAGTACACTTTTCTAAGATCTCCCCAACCCTGAATCCTGCAGTATTTATTCCTATTCATTCATTCCTGGAACTGACTGAAGATGAGTACAGATACATCATGAGGCACATCAGCTGGCGGAAGTACATCAAAGCTGCATATTCCTTTGCCTCCCTTCTCTCTGTACACACACTGCCTACGCGCACGCCATCCTTTCCCATCATAACTGAGTACTCAGGTTGTAGGCACTGATCCAAGCATTTTATATGCATCATCTTCCTTAATCACCACGACTTGAGTCAATTATAGGGGCTATTATTACTCTCACTTTGCAGGTGAGAAAACCCAAGATTAGAGAACCCAAGTCACTTGCTAATCATGCTGTTGTCGAGATTCAAACACAGACAACTGACTCCTGGCCCAGATGTGTGATGGTCATTAAGCTCATGACCTCACTTCCGTGTCTGCCAATCCAGACCTGCATGTTCCCTGCATGTTCCCTGCATGTCTCCACTTGGAAGTCTTAGAGGCATTCTAATTCAGTGGGGAAAAAAATTTTAACTTTATCTTTTTTTTTATTACATTAAAGATTTATTTTTATTGGACAGTCAGATACACAGAGAGGAAGTGGGACAGAATCTTCCATCCACTTATTCACTCCCCAAGTTGCCACAATGGCTGGAGCTGAGCCAGTCTGAAGCCAGGAGCCCAGAGCCTCTTCCGGGTCTCCCACACGGGTGCAGGGTCCCAATGCTTTGGGCCATCCTCGACTGCTTTCCCAGGCCACAAGCAGGGAGCTGGATGGGAAGCTGGGCCACTGGGATATGAACTGGCATCCCTATGGGATCCCGAGCACATAAAGGCAAGGACTTTAGCCATTAGGTTATCACACCAGGCCCTAAACTCTTTATCTTTCCACCTATCTTGGTTGCTAGTCTCTGTTCTATATAATCTACTAATCTATAATCTACTAATCTAGGATCATCTGTCATTCCTGGGAGTCAAGCTAGCCTTTTTCATCTTGCAACCTGAGTCCGAGGTCTGACTTTTCACTTCACTAGCTTCTCCTTATAGAGAGCCTTTCATGATATGACCCCTGTCTTCACTTTTTTATGTCCTCCACCCTGGCCTCAATATGCCAGGTCTCCCCAAATTAACATGTATTCTGTAACCAGGGCACGACTAGAACACAAACCATGTACATGCTCTTTCTGTTATCCAAAATTCCTCTAGCATCCTGCTGTGCCTGTGATATTCCACCGCTCTTCTAGGATCCAGTGAAATGCTTCCTTCCTCTGGGAAGCCTTCATCACCTTCCCAGGTTGGTTCAGCCCTTTCTTCCTGAAGCCATCACGGAAGGTTCTAACCCTCATCAGAGCCCTCAGCAGCCACCCACCTGGGATGCCTTACAGTCATGGTCTGGGCACTTGTTCTGTCTTAAGTCTTTGATACCTATTCTGTGCCTGGCACTCATTGGATGCGCTACACTCTGCAGACTCTTATCTTTGGCTACCTGGACTGTGAGGCCTCATGTCTGCAGTCCATGAACCCTGAAGAGACCATAAAAACTGATCCATCACAGGGCCGTTCTTGGTCTCCCTTCATAGACTGATGTTACTGAGGCCACCACCCCAGGGACAGTCGGCAAATGAGTGCGACACCTTGCCTCACCTGATGGTGATGATCTGCCCGATGGTCAAATCTAAGTCATTCAGCTGTGCGATAAATATGGCTGCCACGGCCTCATACAATGCGGTCCCATCCATGTTGATCGTGGCTCCCACGGGCAGCACGAACCTCGTGATCCTCTTGTCTATTTGATTCTTTTCTTCTGCACAGCGGAAGGTGACAGGCAGTGTTGCTGAACTGCATGGACCAAAGCAGAAAGAAATGTGGGGTCTTAGAATGGTACACCTCAATCCCCACCTGAAGACACTTCATTTCTCAAAACAGCAGGTTGGGAGCTGCAGGCACGCAGGTGCTGTTGACAGATTCAAGCATCAGAGGGTGCAGTGCCCACCATGACTCCAGCTGCACAGGAACCCTCCCTGGGCTCAGGCCAGGCCAAGGGAGCGAGAACTCAACAGTATGAAGAGACGGGCATGAAGGACATGGCCAAAGATCACGGGAGGGCAGCTCTCCTCAACAAAGTGAGAGCTGATGGGGAGGGAGTGGCCTGGGGGATTTTCACAGAGACCTCCTATGGTGGTTACCTGGAAGAGATCATGAGTGCCGTCAGAAGAGCCTGTGCCATGCCCATGGCAAACCGGAAAGGGTTCTTGCGTACCACGATGAAATATATCAGCGGGAGGATTATAATGGAGTGAATGGCAAGCCTGCAAATGAGGGAGAAACCATTTCAAGGGTCATTCTAGCTCCTGGCGCTTCATTACGGCAAACACCTTCTTTGTCCATGGTGGTGCTTTTTTTTTTTTTTTTCCAAAGATTTATTTATTTTTTGTTGAAAAGGTAGATTTATGGAGAGGATGAGAGAAGAGATAGAAAGATCTTCCATCCTCTGGTTCACTTCCCAGGTGGCCGCAAAAGCCGGAGATGAGCCAGTCTGAAGCCAGTCTTCCAGGTCTCCCAAATGGGTGTAGGTCCCAAGGCTTTGGGCTGTCCTCAACTGCTTTCTCAGGCCACAACCAGGGAGCCGAAATGGGAAGTGGAGAAACCGGAATATGAACATAGCCCGTATGGGATCCTGGTGCATGCAAGGTGAGGACTTCAGCCACTTGGCTACTACACCAGGCTCCATGATGGTGTTTAACTGTCATGACACCCTGACAACTCAGGCAGCAACGCAGGGGCATGTCCCGTGTCGAAGTCATTGACGACCATGCATTTTCTGTGTTAATATGTCTTCATCCAGGAGCACCATTCATAATACACCCCAACCGATCTCTTCTCAGGGAACCGGGCCTGGGCTGTATGAGCACCAAAATGACCTATTCCTGCTTTATGGTTTTTGAGAAACTCCACACAGTTCCTGTTAACCCAAAGGCTTCCCCCGTACCCTCTCTGATCATGGAGGTGTTACAGTCTAACATTAGCATGCCAACCAGCACTGGGGGAGATTTTTACCTGGGCAGTTAGTTTGCTTTTTTTGTTTATTTGTTTGTTTCAGGAAATGAAGACCAGGAAAAAAAAAGAGCCAAAGGAGGCTAATGAGTAGATTTCTCTCTTGATTGAAAAACTGATTTCAACACAACCCATAAAGGCAGTGACCAAGCCTGGTCCAGGCTGTTCTGCCAAGAGCCGGAATTAGCACGGCATGATCTGCCTACTTGACAGCTGTTCAAGGACAGGCTGGCTCCCCTCTACCCTCTTATCACTGAAGCCCGTCTTCTCTGCATGTGGCCAAGATGTTGACTTCAACCGACTGCAGCTAGACTTTTCTGCAGCCATTCCCTGGGTATCTGGCTTCTTGAGAAAAGAAGAGACATACCCACTCAGGACAGTAGCCATGTAAAGACCCAGCTTGCGGAAAATCTCCCAGTCTTCCACTTCTATGATCTTCCCCGCAATCAGGAACAAGATACCGAGCGGCATGTAACTAGAAAGTGAGCGTGACAAAGACACAATTCCATCAGCAGGGGCTTTCTTAATGCAAAAATACCCAAAATACGCACTCAACCAGGGAAGCATAGATACATCATGAAACCAAGGGCTCTGTTGCAAGTCTGAGGTGGACCATGTTGGTTCTAGCTTTTTGTACCTGCGTGCATGTTATATACTACCCATCCAAACCTTCCTGAGAATAGGTTACCAACATGGCACACTATATGCAGTGAGCATGGTACTTAGCCTGGGCCATGTTCTCAGTTCACATACATCCTACCGATTGTCATTTCTGCTTATCTCAGTTGAGCTTCATCCTTGCTGACAAACACGGACGCATGCGTGTTTCCCAGATAGCCACAAAGGAAAGGCGCCTGTGAAAGCTGCATAAGCAGTCATAATAGCTCCAGATGTAGACCAACCCCCCCTTACATCCTGTGCTGGGGAGGGTGTTTTACATGCACCATTTCTCTTAACGGACATCTCCTCAGCCTGGGGGAAATTTTTATTATCTTTATTTATGGATTATGAAGCTGAGGATCCTGCAGGATTAAATAATTCACCTCAATGGCTTGTCTTCCACAACACAGTAAGTCACTGTAAATAATGTTCAACCAACTCAATGAACAAATGGAAGCAGAGATCTCCAGGGATGGGGCAGAGGGTGCTATGCCCAACACCTGCTGGTCTCACATGGCAGCTCTCACTGCAGATGACATGGGACCCCACTCCCCTCCCGTTGTGCCAGCTAAAAATGTTTTTGCATTTCAGTTCTGAATGGGGCCTGATAAAAGAATAAATTTTGTGTTCTGATGTGCAAGGAACTCCTTCAAATCATTCCTTTAGGAAGTTACTTTGATCTCGCAGAGCTGGAGGGTAAAGACAGTGGCTGGAAACCGGACTGTGAACTATGCCCTGCAGAGTGTGTAGGGGTGATTTCATAGTCTGATGGTTTTCACAGCAAATATTCACCTTCCCTTACAGTGAGCTGAGTGGAGGAACAGACGCCTCCCCTTCTTTATTTTGAGAAGGCAGAGCCATCAGGGGAAGCAAAATGGCATGAAACTACGTCTGCTCACCACATAATGATCTGGACGATCTTCATGGTTGCATCACTCAAGGCGTTGAAGAAATCCACCAGGATCTGTCCCTTTTCACCCATTTTCCCAATGACGAGTCCAAAGACCAGGCAGAAGACAATCAGGCCCAGGACATTGATGCCGTCCGAATACTGGCCCACGACGGTGTATTCCTTTGTCCTGTTCTGTGGATCCAAACCAAGAAAATAGATTGGTACATGATTATACTCCTGTTAAAATGTGCACAAAGCTGGGATGAGAAAAAAAAATGAAAGTCAAACATAATAAATTAGGGATCTACCCAGGCATGATCAACAATATTTCTGAAAATAGTAATGGTAATAAACCTAGGTACGCAATAAACTTTACCCCTCCTCAAGGCTTTTTTCTTTTCTCAACAAATCCACATCTTAAGTTCTTAAAAAGACTTTTTGTTAACGTTTGAACTGCTTTGCATTTTTATTATAAATTTTAGCATCAAGGCATTTATCAGTCATGAGTTACAGTTGGAGTCTGCTTAAAAATCAGAAATCAGTGCAGGAGGTACCAGATACTTACCTGTATAAACTTTCTTTAGGGCTTATTCTCATGTGTTCCACCCCAATAATGAGGCAAAGGTGCATTCTTTACCGCCTCTGGTCATGGGTGACCGGCACGATTTTAGAAATGAACACCAAATTAACCAGTACTAATCCAGTGCTTACAGGGTAAGTTTTCTGGCAACCTCAATGACATCATTCTCAATGACCAATATGTGTGTGTCTTATGTGTGTGTTTTAAAATACTGAAATTATTGGGACTGCCGTGATGGGTTAACTGGATAATCCTCTACCTAAAAGTGTGGGGATCCCATATGGGTGCCAGTTCATGTCCCAGCTGCTCAACTTCCCATCTAGCTTCCTGCTTATGGCCTAGGAAAGCAATAGAGGATGGACCTTGGGACCATGCACCCATCTGGGAGAACCTGGAGGAAGCTCCTGGCTCCTGGCTTTGGATCATCTCAGCTCTGGTCTTTGTAGCCATTTGGGGAGTGAATCATGAAATGGAAGATCTTTCTCTGTCTCTCCTTCTCTGTAAAATATGACTTTCCAATAAAAATAAATAAATCTTAAAAAATACTGCAATTAGTAGAAAGTTGAACCACTAACATTGAAGTCATGATCAACACCACCGATTGCAGCTCTTCTAGAACAAGTTTTCTCCACATCCTTCTTGGTCTTTGGGATACTTCAATATTGTCTCAGTCCTTTTTTTTTCTTTTTAAGATTTATTTTCATTGAAAACAGATTTTACAGATAGAAGAAGAGACATCCGCCGGGTCACTCCCCACATGACCACAATGGCTGGAGCTGAGCTGATCCAAAGCCAGGAATCAGGAGCTTCTTTTGGGTCTCCTTCAAGGGTGCAAGGTCCCAAGGCCTTGGCCTATCCTCTGCTGCCCTCCCAGGCCACAAGGAGGGAGCTGGTTGTGGGACATGGACAGGCACCCACGTGGGATGCCTGCGCTTGGAGGTGAATAAGATTAGCCATTAGAGCCAAAGTGCCAGTCCCGCTTTAAGCAGTGGAATCACTCACTGCTCACTCATTAGTGGCAGAGGTAAGCTGCCAGAGGCAAGCTGGCCAGATGGCCAGCAGGGCATACCTCAGGAACGGCTGTGGTCATCATGACGGCTGTGACGGGCTCTTCAGTGGCATTCGTCCCTGTGCTGTTGGAAGGTGTCACTTCTTGACGCGAGGTTTTGTACTGTACATTAGAAAAAACACAAAGATGATCATATAACAACAGGAAAGTTACTCAGGCAAACAAGGCTAAGTGACAGAAACACGGGAGAGCCCGGTTCAAGTCCTGACTCCTCTGTTTTCAATTCAGCTTCCTAAGTCCCTTTCACCCGTGTGGAGACTGGATTAAATTTTGGCCTCCTATGTCGATGCTTTCTCGGACAGACTCTAAGGATTCCTATCAATCATTTTTATTTCTGTCAATAATTTCAAAGCTGGAGGAAGCACCTCATCACTTTAATAAATGGCGGAAAGATATAACTACACAGCTGATCCCAAATCATTAGAACCTGTAGAACTATGCTGTGAGCATCCAGTTCACTTCCTTCATCCCTGTTGGGTTCTATATAGTGTTAACACTGCAGGGGAAGAAAGAGCTACTATGCTGTAACACCAGGCACCAATGTCCCTTCTTCAAGGTTCTGCCAGCCAGCACCACATACTTAACAAGTGAGCACTTGTGGCTGAGTTGCAAAGGCACCCTGGCATAGGCGCGCCTCTGTGCCTCACGAAGTTGGCCATGAACACCACGTCTGCCATTTCTCTTGGTGCACACAGAGATCTCTATTCATGTAATTTATGCAAATGAACACCAAGACTTGGGATATTGAGCTCTTTTCAAGCATACAGATCACTAAAAGGGCCTGAAGTCAATGGAATGGAGAGACGGGCAAAATTCGCCTGCAGAAAAAAAAAAAATCTCAGCTGGGTTGCCTCAAAGAGTGCCAGCCATGCGCACACGACGGCTAAGAAAACTCTGGCCACACCGTGTGGGTCAGCTGGGCTGAGCCAGCCTGAAAAGACAGGGAAAAGAGCTTATGTGCTTATGGCTATTTCCTTAAAAAATACATGATAGTGCTCTCCCAACAGGTAGTGCAGCCCACATTTAAAAGTCCTCATTGTTTGTTAGATTCTGACTTCCTCCCTTTTGTCCCTTTCGGAGGACAAAAGTATCAAGGGAAAACGGAGTGGGGTTAGTTACCACATGCATTTCACAGTGGCTTGGGACAGCGGCCAGCAGGTGCACTTCCGGCCACCCTATGCTGCCAGATCAAAGCTGGAAAATAAATCACCCTAATTGGTCATGGCAAGAGGGGAGTGACGGGAGGGCAAAAGCCATTCATATTACCTGCTGAAAGCAGGCCTGCACGAGGTTCTCAGGGAACATGTTCCTGGTGGAGAAAAAAGAAGCAGTATTATGTCAGGGTGATTTAGTCATCCTCAACACACTGGTGGAAATGCATCTGACATGAACGAGTCCTTAGGGTTCTCCTCTGGCCCCTCTGCTTTGTAAAACCTTTCCAAGACGGACTTGCTATCCACAATGAAATGCTGCCCCAGTGCCTAGGTGGTAAAGGGACTGTGGATCTTTTAAAATTTCCTGTGCATTTCCTCTTTGCATCTATGAGGATAGATGCTGACCAAGACTCTGTTCCCCACATGTCAATGGCCAACTGGCATCATAGTTAGAGAATGAAATATTATGTAAGTCAGTGAAATGTGGGTGTGAAAAAGGAGGTGTGATTTCTAAAACTAAGCTCAATGCCTGGAAACTCAATAAAGCCAAATGAGTAAAATGCCTGTGGTTAGATCAGGTATGGGTAAACATCGGAAATGACAAGAAATTGGCGCTCAGCTTTCTTTGTTATTGCTAAGGGTTTTGTTACCCCATTTCTCAGAAACGGGATCAGGAAATGCAGATGATGCATAAATAAAGAAGGGTAGGGCATGGTAACAGAAATGATACGAAATGACAGTGAATGGACCCACTCAAAAGACCTTGGCTTTACATCAAAAGTTAGTAAACACATGTAGTTAAATTTTAAGCAGAGACAAAATATGTAATGCCTCTCCTATATCAGTTTTGTTTGAGTCTCTGCTTTAATGACCGCTCTTGATCAACTGATTGATTTCTGATACTGAATGCTGTGGGTAAAATTCAGATAACATGGGCTGGCGCAACGGCACGGTAGGCTAAACTTCTGCCTGTGACACAGGCACTCCCTATGGGTGCCGGTTCATGTCCCAGCTATTCCACTTCTGATACATCTCCCTGCTTTTGGAATGGGAAAGCAACAGAGGTTGGCCCAAGTCCTTGGGACTCTGGAAGAAGCTCCTGGCTTTAGATTAGCTCAACTGCAGCCATTGTGGCTATCTGGGGGGTGATCCTGCACATGGAAGATTTCTCTATGTCTTTCCTTTTTCTCTGTAACACTCCCTTTCAAATAAAAAAACAAATCTTTTTTTTTTTTAAGTTCTCCTGTGCAGTCGAAATGTGGGTTCTTCATTTTGTGCTTCAGAAGCGACCATTTTATCCAGACCAACACGAACGCGACAGGTGTACTTTCTGCGTCTATTCCTGTTTGCCTCCCTAGAGAGGGGCCTGGTTTTGGCAGATAACGCAGAATCATGGCTTAACAAGCAGGACTGGTAGAAAGCAGGACCTACAAAGTTCTGGACAGAAGGAAAATGTCTCATAATAACGAGAAAGTTGTGTAAAACTTCAAAACCATGATCACAGAGCACCGTGATGTCGACAGGGGCCTCATGCACCTCAACAGATCATATACCACTGAGCCACCTGCGGTGTACTCACCTGACCAGGTCTAACATGGCATCCACTGTGCTGACTTCAGGGGTGCTGCCCGTCCTGTCGATCTCACCCACCTGCTGGGAGACGCCCGGCTTGATGCTCACCACCAGCACGATACCTGCAGCCAAGCACACCACCCACAGGACATGAAGAACCTAGTGCTGTCACCTGACACTGCATCTTCACAACAGGAGGCGGAGTACGTCCTGTGGTCAGGGGGAGCTGGTGGTCCAGCCAGCCAGAGCAGCCTGCTTAATGGCACTTACATTCTAACCAACAAGCAGAAGGAAGAGTTCCTTTTTCCGTGTGTGTGTGTGTGTACTTGTGCATAAGTGTGCATGTAATGAAAGGACTGCATCCCAGAACTGCTTCTGGAAACACGTTTTGACAAGGATTATCTTCTTCTCTTGAGATTGTGAGGTTGCACACGCAGGTGCTGGGGTGAAGGTGACTGCATCGTCCCAGCCGAGAGCATCCATTCAATATCGTTGTGTGACTTTTATCCACAATGCTGGCTGATTCTCCCGTGGGGCCACTCAGAACAAGCCTGATACCTCAAGCCCTTTGGAGGTCTGGAACTATGTCATCTGTCCTTTGAAGGGGATGGCACAGGGGCACAGGGATGGGAGGGATGGGGAAGGACAGTTCATGTCACAGAAAGAAGTGACCACAGGGCAGAGCATCTGAAAGCGTCTAGTGGCTTTTGGAAGTGACAGCTTCCTGTTTTGCCACAGGTCCACATGGGAGATGACAGAAGAGACAAAGTCATTAGAGGCTTTTCCACTGCAAGTGAAAAAGCAGAAAAAAAATGTCCCCAGGCCCTTTTGTGTTCTTTCCCCAGGAGGAGGAGATGCCAATCAGAAGCCATGACTTAGAGATGTGAAATGCCGGAGAGAGACGGGGAGGAGGTTGCTGAGCGACAAAAGGGCCTTTGAGACTGGGCTTGGTCTACTGCCTTCCCTGACTCAGGGCTGGAGTAAGGATGCATGTCCAGTCCTAAATAAACAGTATTCCACTTCCTTGGAATGTCCTTCCTTTGTGTCTGTCTCACTCAGGAGCCCCACGAGGGCCCTCAGAGGTCCCCTGCCTAGTAGCACTACAACCTTAACCACATCATCCACTTGAAAAGGTCTCCAGGCTCGAGCTGGCTGCACGTCTCTCTTCTGGTTCTGGGCATCCTAACGAATATTCTGTCCCGTGTCACCAAGGAAGGACCATGTTCTCCTCACCTAATCAGAGTGGTACAAGAGTAGCTATATTCCCTGATTAAAAATTGCCCCTCTATACACGGGGCTCGCACTTGGCAAGGCCAGGCTCTGTTGGCCGTTAGCTTACGTGAAATGCATTGAAATGCCATCTTTCTGCAAATGTTTCCTAATTAGAATCAATGCCACTATTATGGACCAATTATCCAGATGAAGGAATATGTGAATTCTTGGTTTGACAAGGTAGGGAACTGTCACCTTCTTTCATTCCTCTCTTGAGGCTAATAAGTACTGTTAAAGCTAAAACACATTTTCACATTTTCCTTACATAAAAGATGCTATTTAGACTGCAATGCAGAAAGCTTCGTGGCTGTTTGACAAAACTGCTTTCTGATTAGAAAATAATAGCAAAAAGCAACGCCGAAGTCCACATACTTTGTAAATGAAGTCACAATTACAGAGAAGCGTTTCAGGGAGGTTACCTAAAATGACAGCGATGATGGTGGTACACAGATAATACACGACAGCACGCAGCCCAATTTTCCCGGATACGTTGGAATCCAGCGCGGCAACACCTGGCAGGGGGCAAGGGAGAGAAAAAGAGGTGAAATTATACCAATTTGTATTTAAGATGTTTCTGGGGCTCATGAATAATGAGCCGAGAGCTGTTCTCTGCATTTTACAAGGCCCATGTCAGCAGCCTGGATAGGATACCAGGGGCAGAAGAGGGGCTGGCATGATGGCTCAGTTGGCTAATCCTCTGCTGGCAAACGTCGGGATCCTATATGGGCACTGGTTCGTGTCCTGGCTGTTCTACTTCCCATCCAGCTCCTTGCTTGTGGCCTGAGAAAGCAGTAGAGGATGGCCCATAGCCTTGAGCCCCTGCGTCTGTGTGGGAGACCTGGAGGAAGCTCCTGGCTTAGCTTTGACCACCATCACAGCCATTTGGGCAGTGAACCAGAGGATGGATATTTCCTTCTCTGTGTAAAATCTCCTTTCCAATAAAAATAAACATAAATCTTTACCAAAATTTGTTCCTCTTGTAACTTCATATTCTTTATGATAAACCTTCTGGAATTCACTTTAACCTTGAGGAATTGAGCTAGATCTCTCACCATGCAAAGATGAGAGGGACTCAGTCAATCAGAAAGTTTAACCTTTATGTGTGATGAGATGATAAAAGAGAAAAACACAAAAATGAGAACATTAACTACTTTATCATTCCAGTGGCTTTTCAACCCTTATTTTTTCTTGATACTTTTGTAAACAAGCTGAGACAATTTTATCATTTTAGCTCTTTCTCCTAAATACTCTAATATAAGCCTTCTCCCTTATCATCACCAATTTGCTCTGATATTAATTTTAACGGGTACACAGACTTCCGTCACGTGTCTGAAACACATATCATGTTTTTAATCATCCACTTACGGCTGGGTCTTTCGATTGTCTCAGGGTCAAAGCCAATAATAAATCACAATAGTTTCATTACCCAGCCCAGCCGGCCTATTTCCTTCCTCTTTTCATGATTTTCAACTGGGTTCTACGGGAACAACCCTATGGTGGACTGCCTCTGCTGGGAGACAACTTACAGTGCCTGCTTGAAAGAGGAAGGAAATACAGGAACAATTTCTGACAGTTTAAGAGACCTCAGACCACTCTGTGAACTGTCTCCACAGGGACTTACAACTATCAATCAAATGACTGCACATCGCCTCCACTTGGAAGACTTGTCTGGAATGGCAAAGAGAGTGGTGTGAGAGGTAGAAGTCATGTACCCTTCCTTTTAAGAAACCCTTTCCTCTAACGACGAAGTCAGAAGATGCTGCTAACTGTACTTCTACAGGGCAGGGAGAGAAGGAAGGCAAGGGATGGAGCCAGCCCTTCCTTGGTTTCAGACTCAACCCTGCCTGATTCTGAAAGACAATGAATTTGTGTCTGTCATTTGAAGAGTTGTCCAGTAACCAATTGTAAAGCAGAGATTAGCAAGAAAAAAGGGCGTTGCAAGGCAACCCGAAGGGAAAGGCAGTAAGCCTGTGTGGCTATCAAGGTGCCTGGAATGTTTACATTTGCTTCTCATGCTGGAAAAGACCTATCCATTCTGTTAAGTGAGAGGGGATTAGGCTTCTCATATGATCTCATATGGACATGATGTACAGGAAAGAGCTGCTAGGAAGCTATCACCATTATGATGACGCAACAACTAATTTCTCAAGCTAAACACGACGTTTCCCCTGCTGCTGATTGCTCCCTTGGAAGTTAATATTTGGAGAGAAGGTGGTTTAGTCTGTTTAGTAGCCATACCAGGATGTTGTTAAAATGCCCATTCATCATCATCCGCTGGCACAAGACTGTGTAAATCACCTGTGCCGAGCACACTGTAACAGCCACATCCAAGGGTAACTTTCATAGGTGTTTCTATTCTCTTTCTTGGGAAAAACGCACTTGGGAGAGGGCTAGAGTTTATTTCCCTGATGGCAAGACAAATAAAAATAATAACCATATGAAGAAGAGCACAAATCAAGAAGGACAAAGGTTGTAATTCAGAAATAATGATGTGGACGGAGTCCCAGCTCCTGCCTTCAGCCCAGCCCTGCCTGGGTCATGGCAACCACTTGGGGAGTGAACAAGATGACAGATTTCTTTCTTCCTGTGCCTCTCTTTTGGTCACTCTGCCTTTCAAATACACAAAATCCTCAGTAAGGACAAATTTTCCTACCTGTCCCTTCACAGGAGGTGATCATTAACTACGAAGACAAGAAAATCACCCCTTGAACGGATGTCCAAATAACCTGTAGAGGCACACTGAGCTCTTATCCACCTGAAGGAGTTCCCAGGACCTCAGCAAGAGCAGACAAGTGGCAGGTTCACAGGGTTGCTACACAACTGTCTAGGGCAGGTGTTCGATGCCCTCTCGGGATTTTCTTCCAACGGGGAAAACAAATTAGATCTATGTGGGTAATTGTTTCCAGCATATGTTAATATGTCTTAATTTGTCATAATAGCTTGGCCACGGGCTGGTGCCTGTGCTTGTCCTCTAAGACCCAGCTGGTAATAAAAGGCTTCATAATAATGAGCCTGTTGGAAATATCCTAAACAAAGCCATCTGTAGGCAGTCAGCCAGCTCCTCTCTGTTGGAGCTCAGCAACTATTTTGTAGTCACTTTGAGGGACAATCTGATTTCCCATTCCTCTCTTCATCTTCAGTTCTAGCATGCTCCTGAAGAGATCAGAATGTTTTTTTAAACCAGCAACCATCTTTCCCCATGCTCTGCAGTTCCCCTTCTACTTCTCAAGCCATCAAGGATCGGGGTGGTCCCCAAATCCAGGATCTTCAATGATTTATAAGGTGGTGTTGGGAACCAAGTGGAGACCACCAGAGAGGAATGTGACACACAAAGAACCACAGCTTAAAGTTTGAAAATCTCTATGATGGGACATATTAATGACTATGAAATATCTAGATTGCCTAACACTCCACAAGCCAATAACAATGATACTGATGACAATGGATACCATATTGAGCTGCCTGTTTATTAATGTATTATTTCCTTTAATTGCTATTATAACCCTATGGAGCAGGCAGTGTTTTTTTAAAGATATTTTTCCCATTTATATTGGAGAGGCAGATTTATAGAGAAAACTAAAGATAAAGAGAGTAAGATCTTCCATTCACTGTTTGACTTCCCAAATGGCTGCAATGGCCAGAGCTGAGCCAATTCAAAGCCAAGAGTCAGAAGGTTCTTCCAGGTCTCCCACAAGGGTGCATGGGCCCATGGACCTTTGAGCCATTTTCACTACTTTCCCAGGCCACAGTCAGGGAGCTGGATGGGATGTGGAGCAGCTGGGACATCCGGGACGATGGTACTTACACGGGGAGGATTAGCCAACTGAGTCACTGTGCTGACTCCATCATGCCATGCTGGCATCATTCATGTACTGCAAAAGTCTAAACAGCCCTGTCCCAAAGAACACCCAGTGGTGACAGAAGTTCCTATGTCTTTGTAGTAATCAAAAAGCTCTGCATCGCAAGTGAGCAGGTGGCTACTGCGATGGAAGAAGAACTTTGAATGCTGTGCTTGAAGCCATCCAAGTGACCAAAATGCACTTCATACAGACAAGTTTTGCTCACATACTCAGCCCATTTAAGAGTTTCACTCCCTGCAGAAATTTGGGCCTAAGCAGGTGGCCTCCTTAGAAACCACTTAGACACAGTGGTGTCATGTGGCTTGGTTTCCAGGGCAGCTAACAAAAAATGTTCATCACCCATAAAAGAACTCCATGTGGGAGCATGCACCTCAGTGTCTCCCAACATTTCTTTTCTCATTATTGGGTGTCCCCTCCCTCAGATATTTGCTTATTTTTCTCCCGAATAAAAACCACCCTTAAAACTTCAATACCAGGAACTACCTATGCATGTACTAAATGAATGCATGTGCCTTACAGATAAATAGAATAGCAAAGAGTAACCCAGCAAACCACAACAGATTTTGCTATAGTGCAGTGGAGGAGATTTTATTCCCATTCAGCCCTTATGACGTAGCTCAATGATGTCTGCCTCTTCAGGACAGGCATTAAAGCCTAAAGACAGAACCTCTTCATCACCTGCTAGGCAGAGGTAATATCCCACGCTTTATTCCACAGCATCTCTCAACAGCCACTTGGCTTTCTTGCTACTAGGGCATTCCCAGAGCCCTCTGAAGTCTTAAGGAACACTTCCGTTTACAGTCAACTCCAGGGACTCACTTGAGGGAGCTGATGGTTGCCCTGCTGGGGAAGAAGGGGGCTGGGCGCTCATTTATCACAAAGGCAAGTACAAAGGACCTACAGAGAAGTCAACCAAAACTGCTCAAAAGTGTTTAGAGTGGACAGTGATTTGCTCCCTGTCGAATTCATTTTTTTTCTATCACTTCTCTATGATTACAGTTTACAAAGGTTAACAATCCCTGCTTTTTAAAAACAAGAATTTCCCCATTTGATTGGAAAACTGGTTGCTTTGTCAGATTCTTTGAAGACTAAGGATGGTTTTGAGGCTGAGCTATGCCCTAGAAACCAGGATAAAACCCCAGATTGTCCTTGGGAGTGAGGTGCACCTGCTGGCTCTTTATTGTAGAGGGAAAAAAAAAAAATCATTTGGTTTCTCTGTCTCTGAAGAAGGTTCTGATGAGCTGGGGCATTGGCTCCTGCACAAGCCAGTAATCATTTGGACTTGGTATAAAGCTCTGTTGCCTGAGCTAAACAATAGAAGGCTTTAAAAATAAACATTTGAGGGTTAAAGACTCTGCAAGAGAGCTTGCTGATTAAACCGCCGCCCACTGGAGAAGAGAGCTGCTGTGAGGCCCGCGACACTCACTCTCCATTTGGCTGTCACAGTGTCAGAAATAACTCTGAGACTGGAAGCTTTGGAGTCTGGTGCTTCCCGACTGTAAATGAACAGCACATTCTAGAAACTCCGTGTCTCATAGGATTTAGAGCCCACCCATGTGCACAGGGATCTCATCTGTACCATTAAGGCCACCTGCAGGGGGGATAGAAATGGGTTCTGGTGGGAGAGGGAGGGCTCAAAGCGCAGTCTTCTA